CTTAACATAACCCAAGCTTAGGACTTTAACACTTTAACATCACGTCGCCAAAAATACTTACACTACATTCCCAGTGGTGTGGTCAGTAAGGCTGCGTGTCTAGTAGTGTGGTCAGCTAGGCTACGTGTCTAGTTGTGTGGTCAGTTAGGCTACGTGTCTAGTTGTGTGGTCAGTTAGGCTAAGTGTCTAGTTGTGTGGTCAGCTAGGCTACGTGTCTATAGTGTGTTCAGCTATGCTACGTGTCTATAGTGTGGTCATACTTCGTGTGTAGTTGTGTGGTCAGTTAGGCTACGTGTCTAGTTGTGTGGTCAGCTAGGCTACGTGTCTAGTTGTGTGGTCAGCTAGGCTACGTGTCTAGTTGTGTGGTCAGTAAGGCTATGTGTCTAGTAGTGTGGTCAGTTAGGCTACGTGTCTAGTTGTGTGGTCAGCTAGGCTACGTGTCTAGTTGTGTGGTCAGCTAGGCTACGTGTCTAGTTGTGTGGTCAGCTAGGCTACGTGTCTAGTTGTGTGGTCAGTAAGGCTACGTGTCTAGTAGTGTGGTCAGACTACGTGTCTAGTTGTGTGGTCAGCTAGGCTACGTGTCTAGTTGTGTGGTCAGCTAGGCTACGTGTCTAGTTGTGTGGTCAGTTAGGCTACGTGTCAAGTAGTGTGGTCAGCTAGGCTACGTGTCTAGTTGTGTGGTCAGTTAGGCTACGTGTCTAGTTGTGTGGTCAGCTAGGCTACGTGTCTAGTTGTGTGGTCAGTTAGGCTAGGTGTCTATAGTGTTTGGTCAGTTAGGCTACGTGTCTAGTTGTGTGGTCAGTTAGGCTACGTGTCTAGTTGTGTGGTCAGTTAGGCTACGTGTCAAGTAGTGTGGTCAGCTAGGCTACGTGTCTAGTTGTGTGGTCAGTTAGGCTACGTGTCTAGTTGTGTGGTCAGTAAGGCTACGTGTCTAGTAGTGTGGTCAGACTACGTGTCTAGTTGTGTGGTACGCTAGGCTACGTGTCTAGTTGTGTGGTCAGCTAGGCTACGTGTCTAGTTGTGTGGTCAGTTAGGCTACGTGTCAAGTAGTGTGGTCAGCTAGGCTACGTGTCTAGTTGTGTGGTCAGTTAGGCTACGTGTCTAGTGGTGTGGTCACCTAGGCTACGTGTCTAGTTGTGTGGTCAGCTAGGCTACGTGTCTAGTTGTGTGGTCAGCTAGGCTACGTGTCTAGTTGTGTGGTCAGTTAGGCTACGTGTCTAGTTGTGTGGTCAGCTAGGCTACGTGTCTAGTTGTGTGGTCAGCTAGGCTACGTGTCTAGTTGTGTGGTCAGCTAGGCTACGTGTCTAGTTGTGTGGTCAGTTAGGCTAGGTGTCTAGATGTGTGGTCAGCTAGGCTACGTGTCTAGTTGTGTGGTCAGTTAGGCTACGTGTCTAGTTGTGTGGTCAGCTAGGCTACGTGTCTAGTAGTGTGGTCAGTTAGGCTACGTGTCTAGTTGTGTGGTCAACTAGGCTACGTGTCTAGTTGTGTGGTCAGTTAGGCTACGTGTCTAGTTGTGTGGTCAGCTAGGCTTCGTGTCTAGTTGTGTGGTCAACTAGGCTACGTGTCTAGTTGTGTGGTCAGTTAGGCTACGTGTCTAGTTGTGTGGTCAGTTAGGCTACGTGTCTAGTTGTGTGGTCAGTTAGGCTACGTGTCTAGTTGTGTGGTCAGTTAGGCTACGTGTCTAGTTGTGTGGTCAGTTAGGCTACGTGTCTAGTTGTGTGGTCAGCTAGGCTACGTGTCCTATGATGCGGTCAGTTAGGCTACGTGTCTAGTTGTGTGGTCAGCTAGACTACGTGTCTGTGGTCAACTAGGCTACGTGTCCTATGACGCGGTCAGTTAGGCTACACGGTCACTCAATCAACCTGTGTCCAGTGTCATCTCTTTCCTTTGAACTGACGGTATGGGGGGGGAGGAGTTACCGGAAGTCGGCCGCCACACATCACGACAGGAATAGCGACGCGCTGTTCAGATGAGAGAAGAGGCCCGCCCCAGCTTCAACATTTTGAGAACCCCCGTGATAAGATCGTAAAGTGTGAATATTTCTCCCACTATCAGAGATTCACCATCGAATGTGTGTCGCCAGTTATCACATCGGCTGTCACACAATCTCCCGGCACATCTCTATTGGTCTGATAACTGCACCGGATTAGCCTTGACATGTTTTGTTGCCTCGGTTAAAAGCTCGGTACAGAGGATCATCTTTGATGTGTGGTCTTTCGGTGATGTGGTCGTTCGTTGATGTGGTGGTACGACCTGTGGTTGTTCAGTGATGTGGTCTTTAGGTGGTGTGGTCTTTAGGTGATATGGTCTTATGGTCTTTAGGTGATGTGGTCTTATGGTCTTTAGGTGATGTGGTCTTTAGGTGATATGGTCTTATGGTCTTTAGGTGGTATGGTCTTTAGGTGATATGGTCTTATGGTCTTTAGGTGGTATGGTCTTTAGGTGGTATGGTCTTTAGGTGATATGGTCTTATGGTCTTTAGGTGGTATGGTCTTTAGGTGGTATGGTCTTTAGGTGGTATGGTCTTTAGGTGATATGGTCTTTAGGTGATGTGGTCTTATGGTCTTTAGGTGATGTGGTCTTTAGGTGATATGGTCTTATGGTCTTTAGGTGGTATGGTCTTTAGGTGGTATGGTCTTTAGGTGGTATGGTCTTTAGGTGGTATGGTCTTTAGGTGGTATGGTCTTTAGGTGGTATGGTCTTTAGGTGATATGGTCTTATGGTCTTTAGGTGGTATGGTCTTTAGGTGGTATGGTCTTTAGGTGGTATGGTCTTTAGGTGGTATGGTCTTTAGGTGGTATGGTCTTTAGGTGGTATGGTCTTTAGGTGGTATGGTCTTTAGGTGATATGGTCTTATGGTCTTTAGGTGGTATGGTCTTTAGGTGGTATGGTCTTTAGGTGGTATGGTCTTTAGGTGGTATGGTCTTTAGGTGGTATGGTCTTAAGGTGATATGGTCTTTAGGTGGTATGGTCTTTAGGTGGTATGGTCTTTAGGTGATATGTATGGTCGTTCTGTGATGTTGTCGTACGACGTGTGGTCAGTCAACGTAGTTGTTGCTTGACGGAGAATGAGCCTTAGTTTGACGGAGTATTTATTCGGCTGAGCGTTTGTTGCGCGGAATGTTTGTATGACTGAGCTTTTCTTCGCTGAAATGTTCGTTCCGCAGAACAGTTGTTAGCTTTTTCAACCTTTGGCGGAGCATTCGTTCGGCGGAACAATTCTTCAAGAAATGAGACTAAAAATACAATGCAACAGAAGGGAGTTAACTCTAAAACTTGTCTGGATAGGGCTATACAATAAAAATAACTCAGCTACGATTGCAGCTCCCCTTCCCTTGTATAACTAAACAGTGACATCTTTATGGTTGCCGGATAGACGTTTAGCTACTCTACCGGTCTATTGTCCAGTCACAATGTCCGGTTACCTTGGCCACTGTTCAAGAAAAAATCAATAGATTTGTCTTCGATCTTAAAAAATCGATCTGGATTTAGTCTGCTAACTTATTGTTAATTTAGTGAAACGACTTCGACTTTCTGGGTGTTGTTTTGTTGAAGTAGAACTATAGCCCGCAGTAGGTCTGTGTGTTAGGCTTAAGAGGTTATAGATTCTATCGGGAAATCACTTTTGAGACGTCCTGTTAGCGACATCAGTAAAATAATTTGTTAGTTTTTCTTTTCTTTAAAAGAAAATCTTATTGAATGACTGAAGGTTCCTTTTTTTATTACTATTTTTACTAAGTATAATCGTAACAATTTAAGAATGACAGTTGAAAGTATTTTGTACCGACAGACAAATATTTTGTACTATGACGCAAGTATTTGTACTATGACGTAAGTAATTTTGACGGATAGACAAGCATTTGGGACTGATAGACTAGTATTTTGGACAGACAGACAACTATATTGGACTGATAAACAAGTATTCTGGACGGGCAGGCAAAAGTATGTTGGACTGACAGACGCCAGTATTCCCATCAGCAAGCGAGTGACGGACGAATGACATCGAATTGGTATTATAATTTTTATTATCTACTCACGGAGGCGAAAGGATCAAAGGAATGTGACGTGATTGACGCTCGTGGCGTTTGTACTCTAAGCGACCCGGCCTTGACCTCGTCCCCGATTGAAGCATCAGCTCTCCAATATCTAAAAATAACGCCCTGTCGAGTGTGCCGGCTACTCAACAACACGCGCATAATATAATGGCCGTAGCCGGTCAAGGCTAGACCGTGCGTGTCACCGATTGTGTGCTTGTGTTTACATGAAGTGGTCAGTTAATGAGTCATGCCACTACACGACACATCACTGCCAGCGCGCGCACGGCTAGATGCGCCAGATGGCAAGAGAAAACATTGTAGATTGTTGAAAGATACAGGCAGAAACATGGAGAGTGGGAAGGGAGAGAACGCCAGTTTACGGGAGAGTTGTGCACGCTGTTGATAAGGACGCTTTAGATCTTGGCTGTATGCGGCGTGTTTGTTTAGACCGGATTGTGGGTGTGTGGATAGTGAAAGCTTAAGATTTAAAAAATATTTACTTTATCTAATTTGTGTAATTACTACAGCTTCATAAAATTACAGTTTTTGTTTATGAATAAAACTCCAACATGATTGTACTAAAAAAAGTGTTGTTGAAAATTGAAATGAATTTAGTTTAGGTTTAATCCAGTGCAAGTTGGTCTCTGTTTTATTAAATACTACTCAAAGTTAAGAATAATAAAATGACATAAAAATAAAGGTAAACTTAGAGGATTAAATTGATGTAACATTTGAGTAAAACCAACCATACAATTCTTTGAAGGATTAGGGCTATTTAATCTGTATTTAATACCCAGACCATTCCTGCTTATTTTATTCACAAGTTTTATTATACACACATCTGATCTAAAATTGATTTGCTTGTTTTCAATTATTTCTGCACAACTTAACTAGTCCTGTCTCGTGGTATGTTTTCTTAAGTCTTATTAATTACAACTTTTTATATTTTTTCATCAATTTCAGAAACAAAAACAGCCCAGGAGCAACTTTTGACAAATACAGGAGCCCAGTCTCAGAAGTCTTGAACAGGAGCCCCATCACAGAAGTTCTAAACCGGAGCCCCGTGACAACAGACATCCGCAACATCAACCGCAGCCCTGTGGCCGACATCCTCAACATCGGCCGGACCGCCGGGGCTGAAGGCGTGAATGCCAGGACGGAGAACAACTTCCTGCTGGAGGAGCTGGCCCAGCTGATCTCCGAGAGCATCAACACGGATATGAGCACACCGCCCTCCACTGTGTCCGCCTGCAGTGGGAGTGGCAGCGACAAATCTGCGACTCAGCCAATCAAATCAGGTAAATAATGACATAATTACGTTGCTGAAATTTTATGGGTCTTCATCTCATCACTTATATACGTCACAATAAACTTTTTTTTACACATATATATATATATATATATATATATATATATATATATATATATATAATGTATATATATATATATACATACATACAGGGAGAGAGAGGCAGTTCCTTATATATAGCTACCACCACCGTGTACAGAATGTGGCATCTCTGTCGTAGCTTAAGGGTTAGGATCAAGTTAATGGTTGCTGTAATGTTACCTGCCCTACTATTTATACAAATCTTTGTCTAGTTAACCTGCAATCACCTTCGTTGTATATAAGAAAACTACATCTTTTAATAGCCTAAGGGCTAGGGTTAGGCTTATGTCTGCGTTAATGTTATCTACTGTCTTTACAAATCTGTAGGTGTGTTTAATCATGCCACTACACACTGTGTAAAAAACTTAAGAATATTAGGTGGAGCTCAGAGAATGCAGTACAATACATCACTTCATTGAAATGTTTTCCTAAAATTATTTTTTTAGAAATGATTCAATAAAATAACTAGTAACTATTAAGAATTACAGTAAACAACATACATTTATGGTTGTAAAGATTAGACAATAATAAATTCCGTTAAAATAATTTTTTGTTACTGAAATTAAAAGACTTTCTTATCACAAAAATAAAACCTTCCATTTAGCAAATGCAAATAGTAGCACACAGGTGGGAATAACTGTTTATATTTAAGACAAGCTAAGGGTATAAAACAGTTTGGACGATACTTTAACTCAAGAAATGTAACCTTGTCCAGACAACAAAACCTCCATTAAAGCAGTCAACACGGTTTCTGCTCTGTTTGTTATCATCTGACTCGGTTACACTAAAGTGGTTGGGGTAAGGGTGAGCACTCGTAACCACGTGGGGGGTACGTGACCCCAAGACTAGAAAGAAAGACTTCTGCGTTGTTGCTCCAAGTACGTGATATCACTCGTATTCTAGTTGTCTCATAAATCTACTTTTCTTATCCATTTAGCTCAGTCGACTTACTTTTCTTATCCATTTAGCTCAGTCGACTTACTTTTCTTATCCATTTTGCTCAGTCGACTTACTTTTCTTATCCATTTAGCTCAGTCGACTTACTTTTCTTATCCATTTAGCTCAGTCGACTTACTTTTCTTATCCATTTAGCTCAGTCGACTTACTTTTCTTATCCATTTAGCTCAGTCGACTTACTTTTCTTATCCATTTAGCTCAGTCGACTTACTTTTCTTATCCATTTAGCTCAGTCGACTTACTTTTCTTATCCATTTAGCTCAGTCGACTTACTTTTCTTATCCATTTAGCTCAGTCGACTTACTTTTCTTATCCATTTAGCTCAGTCGACTTACTTTTCTTATCCATTTAGCTCAGTCGACTTACTTTTCTTATCCATTTAGCTCAGTCGACTTACTTTTCTTATCCATTTAGCTCAGTCGACTTACTTTTCTTATCCATTTAGCTCAGTCGACTTACTTTTCTTATCCATTTAGCTCAGTCGACTTACTTTTCTTATCCATTTAGCTCAGTCGACTTACTTTTCTTATCCATTTAGCTCAGTCGACTTACTTTTCTTATCCATTTAGCTCAGTCGACTTACTTTTCTTATCCATTTAGCTCAGTCGACTTACTTTTCTTATCCATTTAGCTCAGTCGACTTACTTTTCTTATCCATTTAGCTCAGTCGACTTACTTTTCTTATCCATTTAGCTCAGTCGACTTACTTTTCTTATCCATTTAGCTCAGTCGACTTACTTTTCTTATCCATTTAGCTCAGTCGACTTACTTTTCTTATCCATTTAGCTCAGTCGACTTACTTTTCTTATCCATTTAGCTCAGTCGACTTACTTTTCTTATCCATTTAGCTCAGTCGACTTACTTTTCTTATCCATTTAGCTCAGTCGACTTACTTTTCTTATCCATTTAGCTCAGTCGACTTACTTTTCTTATCCATTTAGCTCAGTCGACTTACTTTTCTTATCCATTTAGCTCAGTCGACTTACTTTTCTTATCCATTTAGCTCAGTCGACTTACTTTTCTTATCCATTTAGCTCAGTCGACTTACTTTTCTTATCCATTTAGCTCAGTCGACTTACTTTTCTTATCCATTTAGCTCAGTCGACTTACTTTTCTTATCCATTTAGCTCAGTCGACTTACTTTTCTTATCCATTTAGCTCAGTCGACTTACTTTTCTTATCCATTTAGCTCAGTCGACTTACTTTTCTTATCCATTTAGCTCAGTCGACTTACTTTTCTTATCCATTTAGCTCAGTCGACTTACTTTTCTTATCCATTTAGCTCAGTCGACTTACTTTTCTTATCCATTTAGCTCAGTCGACTTACTTTTCTTATCCATTTAGCTCAGTCGACTTACTTTTCTTATCCATTTAGCTCAGTCGACTTACTTTTCTTATCCATTTAGCTCAGTCGACTTACTTTTCTTATCCATTTAGCTCAGTCGACTTACTTTTCTTATCCATTTAGCTCAGTCGACTTACTTTTCTTATCCATTTAGCTCAGTCGACTTACTTTTCTTATCCATTTAGCTCAGTCGACTTACTTTTCTTATCCATTTAGCTCAGTCGACTTACTTTTCTTATCCATTTAGCTCAGTCGACTTACTTTTCTTATCCATTTAGCTCAGTCGACTTACTTTTCTTATCCATTTAGCTCAGTCGACTTACTTTTCTTATCCATTTAGCTCAGTCGACTTACTTTTCTTATCCATTTAGCTCAGTCGACTTACTTTTCTTATCCATTTAGCTCAGTCGACTTACTTTTCTTATCCATTTAGCTCAGTCGACTTACTTTTCTTATCCATTTAGCTCAGTCGACTTACTTTTCTTATCCATTTAGCTCAGTCGACTTACTTTTCTTATCCATTTAGCTCAGTCGACTTACTTTTCTTATCCATTTAGCTCAGTCGACTTACTTTTCTTATCCATTTAGCTCAGTCGACTTACTTTTCTTATCCATTTAGCTCAGTCGACTTACTTTTCTTATCCATTTAGCTCAGTCGACTTACTTTTCTTATCCATTTAGCTCAGTCGACTTACTTTTCTTATCCATTTAGCTCAGTCGACTTACTTTTCTTATCCATTTAGCTCAGTCGACTTACTTTTCTTATCCATTTAGCTCAGTCGACTTACTTTTCTTATCCATTTAGCTCAGTCGACTTACTTTTCTTATCCATTTAGCTCAGTCGACTTACTTTTCTTATCCATTTAGCTCAGTCGACTTACTTTTCTTATCCATTTGACCAAGCGTACTTAATATATTATCCACCATGTGGACGTATTTACTTACATTTTTGTATACATACTTTCATGTTGACCTGTGTTTATCCTTATTGTCCAGTTAATCCACATTTACTTCTGATGTAGCTATGGTGATCAAAAACTTGATTTTCATCATCTCTGACTTGCATTTCCCCCACCATCTGTTGAGTAATTCTCTTGTATATTCATATGATGTATACAGCTCCTCACTTTAAATCTTCTAGCCATGCTGATAGAAGACATTAAACTTAGGTTGTGATACTCCCCATATAACGGAAACCCCTTCAAGAATCTTGTAACCAAGTTTTCCAATACACTCACTTTGTAAAGTTGTGATACTTTCCATACTAAAACCCCCTGCCTCCTTGATTCTTGTAACCGAGTTTTCCAATACACTCACTTTGTAAAGTTGTGATACTTTCCATACTAAAACCCCCTGCCTACCTGATTCTTGTAACCAAGTTTTCCAATACCTTCACTTCATAAAATTTTTATACTTCCCATATAACACCCCCTCCCCCTACCCCTTGATTCTTGTAACCGAGTTTTCCAATACATTGACCCAAGATTGCAATGCAGTTGTCTTGTGGATGCCATGTGCTGGTAGATATGCCCCCTCCATGTAACAAAATGTCAGATAACTCTTATCAAGCAAACAGCTGCAGCCTGCTTTACAATCTGTCACTGGGAGTTAATTCCCTTGACCTTTCACTAAAATGCTTTCAGGAGCTAGCTGGTTGAGACACTACTTTTACCAAAGCTTACATTAAGTGTGTGCTTCCCTTACATCTGTAATATATTGCTTTACACTTTTATTCTATTTATTTTTCATCATTACATCTGTGACCCGCTGTTTTCCCTACATATGTAGTATTTGCTTCAGACATATGTTCCATTTACCTGGCAATATTCTGTTTCGATTCACCTGTTGCCTCATTACCGGGTAAAAGCCTCCACACCTTGTTCAACTCACACACTCCCTCACACCATTTCTCCATCTCACACACTTTAGTGTGTGTGTGTGTGTTTCTCTCTCTCCCATGACCCAAATCCTCAGACCTAGATTACGCTATAAACAAGAGATAAACACTTTTAGCAAGAAAACAACCTGACCCACAGTTTACAGTGTGTTGTGTTTACTGACACACAGATGTCATGTCATGTTAATTGTTGGCTTTAGTGTGTTGTTTTTTGTTTATCTGAGCATAGCAGTGTGACAAATTAATGTGTTAATGTGCTGAGAAGAATTTTTCTTGTTTACGATTTAACAGGTGGTGATGCGGTATTGTTGTTGATAAACTTGGTAGTAATGATAAGGAGGATATTGAAGATTAGTGTTAGAACTTTATTATTAGTAGATGGTACGAAATTGGTAAACTTTATAAGGAGGAAATTGAAGATTTGTATATGAAGCTTGCTATTCGTAGACGTTATAAAAGTGAAGTCATACAATTTATGATGTGCAGATTATATCACACTTAAATAGCCCTTTCTATTTTAAGAGATGATGTCAGGTGACATCAATATAGCTAGACTTAAGAGGTTAAGAAAAAATTAAAAGTATCATTTTAAAACCCTGACATAAATAAAATTGCATGCAATTTTCATCACAGACAATACATTGTCTTTTTTGCACACATTATAATTCATTATTTATATTGTAATTAATTTTACTTGTGATCTGTAATACTGATGACATTTTATTATCCATAATGTTAAATTAGATAATTTACAATATAGATATCAAGTGAATTATTGTGCTGTATAGGCATAAAATGACATGTTTGTTCAAACCGTCTGATTGGTTGACATTTTTCTCTCGATTTAGAAACCAGTCCTAGCCAGTCACAGGCCAATGCTGTACAACAAAGCCAGGTGTCTTCCAGCAAGCCGTCCTTCGTCCCCAACGAACTGCTAGGTTCACTTCTGCTCAAGGTCAGACACTTCTCAGCCTAATATTGTTTGCTGTGGGGGTAAAAATAAATCATTGCAGGATGTTTAATCATAGCTATAAAAACAATATGAATTTGGTTTTTTAAAACCAAAACAATTTGAATTTGGTCTGTTAAAACCAAAACAATTTGAATTTGGTCTGTTAAAACCAAAACAATTTGAATTTGGTCTGTAAAAAACAAAACAATTTTAATTTGGTTTGTTAAAACCAAAACAATTTGAATTTGGTCTGTTAAAACCAAAACAATTTAAATTTGGTCTTTTAAAACCAAAACAATTTAAATTTGGTCTTTTAAAAACATAACAATTTGAATTTGATCTAGTTAAACCAAAACAATTTAAATTTGGTCTGTTAAAAAAACTGTATGCCAGTTCCTGACTGCATTTGGCAGGTGAAACAGATTTAATCTGTTTATAAATAACCTTGGTGTATGATGAATTATATGGTCAGCATACGGTCAGTTAAGCACCTTTGAAGGTAGTGTAAACTCAAGAGTATTCTTTTTCTTGAGCCTTGGAACCAAACTGGAGATTAATCAAGTTGCATATCCCAACCAAGTTGTCCTTCAGTTAACCTGTTGATCATTTCATCCGTGAATTTAATCTTAACATTTTTTAGTTGTCTTTTTACAAGTGTTACAATGGTGAATTTTTATAACTCTCTGTACTAGACCTAGATATTTGTATTGTTGGTGGTAAAATTAGCCAGATATTTGTATTGATGGTGCTGTTGGTAAAGTTAGTCAGATATTTGTATTGATGGTGGTAAAATTTGCCAGATATTTGTATTGATGGTGGTAAAATTTGCCAGATATTTGTATTGATGGTGGTAAAATTTGCCAGATATTTGTATTGATGGTGGTAAAATTTGTCAGATATTTGTATTGATGGTGGTTCTTATGGTAAAATTAGCCAGATATTTGTATTGTTGATGGTTCTGATGGTAAAATTAGCCAGATATTTGTATTGTTGGTGGTTCTGACGTTAAAATTAGCCAGATATTTGTATTGTTGGTGGTTCTGACGTTAAAATTAGCCAGATATTTGTATTGTTGGTGGTTCTGATTGTAAAATTAGCCAGATATTTGTATTGTTGGTGGATCTGATTGTAAAATTAGCCAGATATTTGTATTGTTGGTGGTTCTGATTGTAAAATTAGCCAGATATTTGTATTGTTGGTGGTTCTGATAGTAAAATTAGCCAGTTATTTGTATTGTTGATGGTTCTGACGTTAAAATTAGCCAGTTATTTGTATTGTTGGTGGTTCCGATGTTAAAATTAGCCAGATATTTGTATTGTTGATGGATCTGATGTTAAAATTAGCCAGATATTTGTATTGTTGATGGTTCTGATGTTAAAATTAGCCAGATATTTGTATTGTTGTGGTTCTGACGTTAAAATTAGCCAGATATTTGTATTGTTGATGGTTCTGATGTTAAAATTAGCCAGATATTTGTATTGTTGGTGGTAAAATTAGATATTTGTATTGAGGTTGGTTCTGGTGGTAAAATTAGATATTTGTATTGATGTTGGTTCTGGTGGTAAAATTGGCCAGATATTTGTATTGATGTTGGTTCTGGTGGTAAAATTAGCCAGATATTTGTATTGTTGATGGTTCTGATGTTAAAATTAGCCAGATATTTGAATTGTTGATGGTTCTGACGTTAAAATTAGCCAGTTATTTGTATTGTTGATGGTTCTGATGTTAAAATTAGCCAGATATTTGAATTGTTGATGGTTCTGACGTTAAAATCAGCCAGTTATTTGTATTGTTGATGGTTCTGGTGGTAAAATCAGCCAGTTATTTGTATTGTTGATGGTTCTGATGGTAAAATTAACCAGATATTTGTATTGTTGATGGTTCTGATGGTAAAATTAGCCAGATATTTGAATTGTTGATGGTTCTGATGTTAAAATTAGCCAGATATTTGTATTGATGGTAGTTCTGATGGTAAAATTAGCCAGATATTTGTATTGTTGATGGTTCTGATGTTAAAATTAGCCAGATATTTGTATTGTTGATGGTTCTGATGTTAAAATTAGCCAGTTATTTGTATTGTTGGTGGTAAAATTAGCCAGATATTTGAATTGTTGGTGGTTCTGACGTTAAAGTTAGCCAGATATTTGTATTGTTGGTGGTAAAATTAGCCAGATATTTGTATTGATGGTGGTAAAATTAGCCAGTTATTTGTATTGTTGATAGTTCTGACGTTAAAATTAGCCAGATATTTGTATTGTTGATGGTTCTGATGGTAAAATTAACCAGATATTTGTATTGTTGATGGTTCTGATGGTAAAATTAGCCAGATATTTGTATTGTTGGTGGTTCTGATGGTAAAATTAACCAGATATTTGTATTGTTGGTGGTAAAATTAACCAGATATTTGTATTGTTGGTGGTAAAATTAACCAGATATTTGTATTGTTGATGGTTCTGACGTTAAAATTAGACAGATATTTGTATTGTTGATGGTTCTGATGGTAAAATCAGCCAGCTATTTTATTGATTTGTTGAGTCAGCTGGCCATATGTTGATGGGGTTTCTTCCCCCTGTCAACACTCTGTTGGTTACAATCTATATGCTGTCTGGACGCTCGGCTGTATGTGTGGTTGTTTTAGTGAGTTGTATGCTTGGTCGAGTTACTGTTGTATGTTTGCTGATGTTGTTTTATTGTTGTTTGTGTAGTTTTGCACATTTGATAGTGTAATTGTTTTGTTTGATTTAGTGTTGCATGTTTTAAAATTATATTTGTCATATTGTTGTTGTAGGTTTGGTTGTGTTTTAGCTGTGTGTTAAGTTGTTATTTTTATATTTTAGTCTTCATTGTTTGACTAGTCAGGCTTATCTTGTGTTGGTGTTTTGGTCCTTCTAAACACGGTGTGTTTGATGTTCAGTTTTGTTGCGATACATTTTGTCTTTATCAATCTAACAATCTTTATTATACCCACAAATTCACAGATAATCAAGATAAATACTTTCCCTAAACAAAAAATTTTTTTTTAAAGTCTTAACTCTTTTTTTACCAAATATTTTTATTACTGTGATTTACAAGATGTGTAATTTTTGTAAACATGTAAACCCACCTGCCACCCCTAAAACTCCACTGACCCCCCCCCCCCCTATAAACACGCACACACCTAAAACTCTGTATTCTCTGACCAATCTGTTGATTACATTTTTCCCCCCACAGGCTTTGAATGGGTTTTTGTTTGTAGTCAACAGCCAAGGAAAAGTTGACTTCGTCTCTGACAACGTAATTCACTATCTTAAATACACGCAGGTATGTGCAACCACTATCTCAAATACACACAGGTATGTGCAACCACTATCTCAAATACACACAGGTATGTGCAACCGCTATCTTAAATACACACAGGTATGTGCAACCACTATCTCAAATACACACAGGTATGTGCAACCACTATCTCAAATACACACAGGTATGTGCAACCACTATCTCAAATACACACAGGTATGTGCAACCACTATCTTAAATACACACAGGTATGTGCAACCGCTATCTCAAATACATGCAACCACTGCTTATATATTTCCTATTTAAAAATGGAGACAAAATATTGACTTTAAAAAACATAAAAAATTTTGTTGCCATTATTCTTGTTAGTTTTAAAAAATTAATCTTGTACATTTATAAGGTGATTATTTTATCAACTAAATTTTGAAATTAATGTGTAAAACATACTGTTGAATGAAGGTTAGAGGTCACTTTGTAAATACCATACTTCATAATAATACTATAACTAGTAAAACAGGATGTTCTTAAGCATGATAACTAGCTAACATACGATAACGAGCTAAATTTTTATAATGATATGTTAATTACTTTCACAGGAGGACCTTGTGGGTAAAAGTATCTACAACATCATTCATGTGGGGGACCACCCACAATTCAGCAACAATTTACTTCCTATGACCTTGAGTAAGTGAATTTGATGGTGTGAGTAGATTCTGTGGGCTGGCCTTGAAGATTCTGATGGCATGATGTCATGTTAACTAGGTTGACCCATAGGTTGGTTTGACCTGTGGGTTAGGTTGACCTTAGATGTTGACCTATGGCTGGGTTAGGTTGACCTTAGATGTTGACCTATGTCAGGGTTAGGTTGACCTTAGATGTTGACCTATGGCTGGGTTAGGTTGACCTTAGATGTTGACCTATGTCAGGGTTAGGTTGACCTTAGATGTTGACCTATGGCTGGGTTAGGTTGACCTTAGATGTTGACCTATGTCAGGGTTAGGTTGACCTTAGATGTTGACCTTTGGGTTTAGGTTGACCTTAGATGTTGACCTGTGGGTTTAGGTTGACCTTAGGGTTGACCTGTAGGTTAGGCTGACCTTAGGGTTGACCTGTTGGTTTGACGGAGTTTTTATATGTTCACTTTAGAGATTAACCTGAGTTTTAAATTAACCTGAGATCTAATCTGACCTGTATATTCAGGCTGACCTTAAGCTTAGACTGTCCTTTGGGTCAGGCTAAGCTGTAAGTTTCTATGACTAATGTTACCTTGACCTACAAGAAAGTTATTTTTAAAAAAGCCATGCTAACACCCCCATAAGCCCAAAGTAGGCAGGACCGCATGCACTCAACTCATGACTTTCTCCCTACAGCCAGTGGTCTAGCATGGCCAAGCGACTCACCTACAACCAGGGGGTGCAACTTTTCTTGTCGTATGCTCATTAAACCTCCAAGTGAGTATCAGCCATATCAGAATCTCTCTGTACATAATGTATTTCCTTGTTGGTACCCAGCACTTCAAAGTATTCCCAGTAGTAGTCAGTAGTGTAATAAGTTCTCAGTATTTTATGGTACTGGTTTAATAATAGGTAGTAAAAGAAGTCACCCATAAAGGTTTTGTATCTGAAGTGAAGTGGGACATGGTGGGTCCTCATTGGTTCAACTTGTGAGAGAAGAAATAATAAAAACCAGTGGTGAAAGATAGTTATGTTAGGGAGAGTTGAACTTGTTGCAACAAAAATTAGAGATGGGGGGGGGGTGTCCTTTGTGCTGCATGAAAAATAAAATATCAAAGTTGGCTAAAATTTAAAATTGTGTGAAGTCATCTATATGCTTAACTGGTTTTTTTTTTAAATTGCCTTTTAAATTTGTTTATTTTAAAATTTACTTAAATAGAGCTACATGTTTTTTTTTTATATATATATTTTTTTCTGTCTAATGATTAGTTTAACTGTAATGAGTATGTTTGTTGTTTCTCCTAGCTGAAGAGGAAGAAGATGTAGAGGTGAAACAAACTTATGTTTCTCAGTATGAGAATATGCAAATCACAGCCGTATTTCAGCCTTGTCTTGCTCAGAAATTGACAGATTCACAAAGTAACTCTCCACACTCTAAAGGTACGTTTTGCATTTATTTTTATAGAGTAACTCCCCACTCTCTTAAGTTGAATAATGATACATTTTTCCTGCTACAAATTATCATAATTATGTTTCTGAAAGATAATTGAACTTGCTTAGTTTAAATGTATATCTAAAGATTAAAAAAAAAAGCAAAAATAAAGTTTATTTTTACATTTAATTTAACTGAAGTAAATAGCAATGACAAATAATTATAACAGACTAAAAATAATTTTCTATACAAATGGCTATTTTCATCTTTGGGAAAATCTTACTTGAAAACTATGATCCAATAGTGTAACTTTTCTTTAACATTTAATCTTCTATTTTTCCCTACTGTTTAATCTGACAGATAATCCCACTTGCCTAGTGTGTATAGCTCGGTGCCTCTCTGTAACAGAGAAGAACAATATGATGATTGGTGGCTTAGACCAGTTCTCTACCAAACAGGACCTGGACGGGAAGATAATTGGTGCAGAAACAAGATTTGGGTAATTTCCCCTTTTGTTTTTATTCTGTGCTGTAGCAGATGGTCCTGAGGTTAAAAAGATAGGCTGTTCAGTTGTTTTCCTCCATTTAGTTCATGTTTAGTATTCGTGAATTAGTCATGGTTGATGTATTTTAATTCTTTGAAGTATTTTTAAAATGCCTTGTTATTATGCCTGTTGAAATAATATCTGGTGAAAAAAATTGTTGTTTTCCAGTCAAGGAATGATTGCGTTAGAAGGCGCTCACTTGAAAGATTTCTGCCATGTGAATGACATGCAGCTGATGATGAAACACACAGAGGAAGGTGAGTAGTACAAGCAAGACGCGTGCTACGTATTGTAGTATGTACACATGCAACATATTGTAGAGTACACTTGCTACATATACGTGCTACATATTGTAGTATGTACACATGCAACATATTGTAGTGTACACATGCAACATATTGTAGTGTACACATGCAACATATTGTAGTGTACATGTGCTACATATTGTAGTATGTACACATGCAACATATTGTAGTGTACACGTGCTACATATTGTAGTATGTACACATGCAACATATTTAGTGTACACGTGCTACATATTGTAGTATGTACACATGCAACATATTATGTACAAGTGCTACATATTTTAAAATGTACACATACTACATACAGTAAAATGTACACATGCTACATATTGTACAGTGTACAAAGTACTATCCACACTACATCTTTGTAAAGGTCGGATGAATAGATGAACTCTACTTCACCTCCCCATAGACTTTAAATTAATTTATGTATTTTCTACATTTAAAATACATAGTAAAGATTCAAGGTACTACACAAGACACACAGTGCAAATACTGTACACTGCATCCTTTCAGTACCATACTTACTCCACTTGTTAAGATTTGCATAATGACACAGCTTACATTACCACTTGCCATTACTCTGCTAGTTCAAATTTTAAACAGATGGCACCTACATGTGGTAGCAACAAATTTTAAATCCAACATTCTTAGCGTGGGAGAGGGTGTGTGTTAAGAGAGAGCTGTATTGTTATTACTCTGAAACTTATGATTCTCCCCCATTTCCCACAACCTCCAGTGTAGGATGCTTTTATTCCTCCAATATGTTCATCAACCTTTTGACCACCACTTGATTATTTCTCCCTTGTAAATATATAACACATGCGTTACATACACAATATATGATCACTATAACACATACGTTATTCATTACATAAATATAAAAATAATATAATACATTACTTAAACATAATAGAACACTCAAGCTATTACATATTACATTTGACAAACTACACAGTACATAAGATAGGTTGGTGTGGCTTAAGCAGTAGAGCGCTAGTCTGCTATTCCAAAAGTCTCTAGTTCAAATCCGGCTTCAAGTCAGAAGATTGTCCTTGAGTCCACTCAGCTCTGATGGGTACCTAATACACAGTATTAAATTACACAATGTTCAACGAGAGTGTTCCAATAGTCCATTATAAGAACCATATTTAAAAAATAACCAAAATTTGTATGCCCTACAATGTAGAATGGGGGTACGGCGTGGTCTAGCGGTAGAGAGCTGGACTGCTAACCCGTTAGTCTTGTGGTTGAATCCGGGTTTAAGTCAGTGGACCGTCCCTGAGCCCACCCAACTCTCACGTTAGGGAAAGTAAAGGCGGCTGGGCGTAGTGATGACCACACTATCCCTTCATATGCCGAGGTCACAGAAACAAGTGAACTCTACTTCACTTGCCCTATAGACAATCAGGTTTGAAAGGGAACTTTTTTTACAATGTAGAACGTCAGTTGATTATTGTGTGTCAAAAAGGTTAGTTTAGATTAACACTAGCCAAGGTGTAGAATGTCAGTTGATTATTATGTGTCAAAAAGGTTAGTTTAGATTAACACAAGCCAAGGTGTAGAATGTCAGTTGATTATTGTGTGTCAAAAAGGTTAGTTTAGATTAACACTAGCCAAGGTTTGTTTACATGTTGTTTACATGTTGTACAAGGGTCAATAGTCACACAGTTCAAAGGTCAAATGAGTTGATTTATCACAATATTTCACTCTCATGGTCACACAGTTCAAAGTTCAGTTTCCATGTCCACAGTATTAAAAAAGTCTTCACCATTGCCTTCTATCAGTGTGAAATAATTAAAAACATGATATAGGGTTTACAACATTGACTTTTAATACACTCAGCTGCCTGTTATTCTTCTCTTTGTTGTCCATCTTTGTCCAGTGTCACAGTTCAATTTGTTTTGTGCTTAAATACAGTGTAAATGATGTGGTATAAAGACTTGCATAAATGATGAGAAAAAGACTTGTGTAAATGTTATATAAAGACTTTTGTATAAATGATGTTATATGAAGACCTGTGTAAATGATTTACATAAAGACATGTGTAAATGATGTGGCATAAAGATTAGTGTAAATAAGGTAATATAAAGACTTTTGTAAATGATGTGGTATAAAGACTTGGGAGAATGATGATATGATGTAAACTTGTGTGTAAATTATGTTAAAATGATAAGACATGGTTAGGTGAGTTATAAGACGTGTGTGAATGATGCTTTTTTTTATAAATGTGTATGCGGAAACAGTTTCCCAAAATCATATAAAATAAATTGTATTAAATCTCTGGGTACTAAAAAATCTACTATCCCAAAATTGTCTGACGTTCTTGTTTCTTTTAAAATTGGTTTGACTAGGACAGTTTAACTCATAATTATTTTAAGAATTAACATTTGTGTAAAATGTTGGAAACTTGCTGCAAGTGGTACTGTAATGTTTGCCTTGTGTAAATGATGCTACTGTGTAAAGACTAACTATATAAATGGTGACATGCTGATAAACTTTTTCCCCAGCTTTGAAAATAGGCACCAGCACAAGCGGTGTGTACCGGTTTAGGCTGGCGGAAAACAGATACGTCTTCGTCCAGACTAAAAGCACTCTGTTCAGTAACCAGGTCACAGGAGAACCCGAGTTTATCATGTCCACTCACTCTATCCTCCGGTCAGTACCTGAGTTAAACATGTCCACTCAATCAGTACCTGAACCAAACATGTCCACTCAATCCATCACCCGGTCAGTGCCTGAGTTTATCATACCCTCTCATTAATTATTTCATTTGTATTTTAAAATTTTTTCACAATTTTTTGTTCCCTTCATTACCTGTTCCATGTTTTTTGTGAACCAATTTGAAACCATTGTAGATTTGTTCATTTGTTCTGATGTAACATTGCAGAGAATGTGACTCAGACACTGAACTCAAGGGCTCAGCCTCCACCAGTCTGATGAAATCCATCATCAGCCCGTCTGGCGCTAGACAGAATGCCGGCAACACAGCAGCACAGCCCACCAATCAGAACGCTGCGTTCACCACTGGCGGCATGGGTCCAGCCAGCGCTCCAGCCCCCCTGGAGGTGACCAGTAATGATTTGGACATGCTGTTTGACTGGGACTCAAGTAAGTTTATTTTTTGCTCTAGTTATTAGTTAAGACATGTCATTCAATTGGACAAGTCATTAGATTAGACAAGTCATTAGATTAGACAAGTCATTAGATTAGACAATTCATTCGTTTAGACAAGTCATTTATTTAGACAAGTCATTAGATTAGACAAGTCATTAGATTAGACAAGTCATTAGATTAGACAAGTCATTAGATTAGACAAGTCATTAGATTAGACAAGTCATTAGATTAGACTATTCATTCGTTTAGACAAGTCATTTAATTAGACAAGTCATTAGATTAGACAAGTCATTCATTTAGACAAGTCATTCGTTTAGACAAGTCATTAGATTAGACAAGTCATTCGTTAAGACAAGTCATTCGTTTAGACAAGTCATTCGTTTAGACAAGTCATTCGTTTAGACAAGTCATTAGATTAGACAGGTCATTAGTTTAGACAAGTCATTCGATTAGACAAGTCATTCGTTTAGACAAGTCATTCGTTTAGACAAGTCATTCGTTTAGACAAGTCATTCGTTTAGACAAGTCATTCGTTTAGACAAGTTATCATTACAAACTTCCCCACACAAAGTCTTACAACCCTGGACTCTGTCTAGTAGCTTCATATTTGACCACTCAATTATTCCCCCATTGATCATAACACTACCACAGAAGATCTAAACCCTAGTCACTGAGTTCAAGGCTGCACTGAACATCAATTTATAGTTATCTAAAACTTTTCCAGAGTTTTGACAGCTTTATACAATTATTACAACATTTAAAGTTATACATATTATAAAGGCATTTGTATCTAGATTACATTATGAATAAAAAATTACATGTAACATGAACTCTACTTCATCTGCCTTATGGATCATTAGATCTGAAAGTGAAACTTATCTTTTAAATTATGTGACTCTCATAAGTGATGTCACTTGACCTGTGTAGTAAGTATGCTTTGACCTTCTGACCTCAACTGTTTTGTGCTGCTCTTCAGATGACCCATCCGACCTGAAACCCATGGTGTCCAGCGAGGCGGCAGGTGGGTCAGCCAGCAACTGGAACTCCATGCCCAACATGAAGTCACCAGCCAGCCAGCCATCTCCACTCCAGTACGCCCTGCAGGCCCCCAACAAAAGGCACCAGATGCTCAACACAGTCCCGAGAAGCATCTCTACAACTTCTTTTGATGCCAGTCAAAAACCACAGAGGTTCACCCCCAGCCCCGGGTCAGGGCCGCGGAGCGCTGGGTACAACCAGCGAGCCATGGGGTCGTATGCCAACCAGCGCAGCCCGGCGGGTATGGGGATGGCCTCGAACTCTTCTGTAACACAAAGCCGTAATCAGAGTGGCCAGTTTACGTTGAACTACCAGCGTAAGACACCTGTCTCACCTCTCCTGTCACCCCAGCCAGGTACACTTACCATGTAGACTAATTTATCTAATTAACAATCAAACTAAATTTTCATGGCTTAATATGTCTCCTATACCAAATACTCCATACTGGTTAAGTCAATTAATTTTTAAGTGTTTAAATTTAATTTATGTTTTTTTTTTCTAAATGCTCCATTATAAGTAGGACCATGTTTATTAAAAATAAATAATTTAATTAACTTTAATATAGACTTTAATTCAAACTTCCCAGTATTGCATTATTTTTACCTTTTCCCTGCACTGCAGTTTCAGACTTTTAAATATTTTTACTTTAATCCAGTTCTTTTTTAATTTTTTTTTTGTTGTTGTTGTATTTTTGTAAAATTTTAATATAAATTTGTTTTGCCTATATCAGTTTCTACCTTGTTTTTTCTAATTAAAACCTGGTTTCCCGTTAAATAAAACTTGTTTTCCACTAAAACAAATGCTGCTCCTCCCACTAAATCAAATACTTTTCCTCCCACTAAATCAGATAATGTTCTTCCCACTAAATCAAATAATGTTCTTCCTACTAAATCAAATACTATTCATCCGACTAAATCAAATACTGTACCTCCATTATTTTCAGCCAATCCATCAAGCCCGTGGAGGCCCTCGTCAGCCACAATCCCACAAACACCGCCTGCCTTTAATGACTTCATGAACACATCCCATATCTCTGCTTTAGACTCCCAGTCTGGGCTAGGCGGGCTGGACATCAACATATCCTCGTCCGTATTTACTTCACCGTTCCATTCCTCACCCTCCCCGTCATTCTCAAACATGGATCTCAACACCATGACAGGCAGTGCCAACAACAGCATGCTCCAGTCACAGGGCATGATGCCCATGTCGAGCAGTGCCAACAGCAACATGCTCCAGTCACAGGGCATGATGCCCATGTCAAGCAATGTACTGCAGTCACAAAGTATGACATCCATGTCGGGGAGTACCAACAGCAACATGCTCCAGTCACAGGGCATGGTCTCGATGGCCGGCGGCTCTAACAACGTACTCCAGTCCCCGGGAATGAATTCTATGACCAGTGGAAATAACAGTAATATACTACTGCAGTCTCAGAACATGACGTCTATGACCGGCAGTATCAACAGTAACGGCATTAACTCTCAGCGGTCCGGCAAACTTTGCCAGCTGCTGACCCAAAACACGAACCCTGAAGCCCTTCACTCCCCCGCCTCCGTGGACGGGAGACGACCAATAACCGGGCGGGGGCGACACGCCTCCGGCCAGGTCAACTCAACCATGTCCACGCCCAATTCAGTATCCAGCAGCAACAGTTGTATAACGACATCCACGTCCAGTGGCGTGTCCAACAGCATGACTCTGGACATGCACCACCAGAGTATCCATTCCAGTATGATCAAGTCCCCGGATGACCGGCTACACCAGTCCCCTACCGAGGGCCCTGGACAAAGTCCGCAGGAGAAACCCCAGAGCACATCGAACGACGACGGCGACATTGAGATGACGACCAGGGGAAGTAACGCTACAGGCGCGTCGGACACTCGGAATAACATTCTGAAAAATTTGCTGAGTCAGGACGATGATGACGAGGACCCCCCCATGATGGACGGCAGCTCCCCGTCCTTCAGCTCCCGGTCAGCTTTTGCGGACTTCAACATGTGTGATAAGAACGAAGCCGAGCCTAAGAAGCAGAATGCCTTACTAAAGGTAAGCATTTTGTTTGTCACCTGTGGTGTAAGTAGTGACTTATCATCAGACACCAATATTTGTGTAAACTGACAACAATAATTGTGTTAATAGATACTTATATTTATGCAAACAATTACACAGATAGTTGTGCAGACAACAATAATTGTGCAAATAGACATTTATCCTCATGTGCAATATTTTAACCTTTTTTTGCTTGTTAGTTTTTACCAATTTCTCCATCATTTCCCCAAAGGTTTACCTCCCTTGTAAGGTCTACATCATTAGTATTTTGTCACTGTTTCCTCACTTTTCAGGATATCATTTAGTGTAACCACAGGGACTAATACTAATACATATACATGTTTTTAATTGTGAAAACATTGATAGATTTTTTTTTTTAATGATCATTTCCATCCTTTTTTTTCTCACCGAAATTTGTGATAAAATTGTTGATAGATCTAATAATTCCCCCCCCCCTCCCCTTGTCCACCACCCCATTTCATATCCCTAAATCATTAGCAGGTCTAGCTTCTTGGGGGAGGGGGGGGGGGGCCAAGGTACCTTTTAGTATATGTGTAGATATAAAATATACACAATATAAAAACACCTGTCCTTAGTACTGCCACTGATCCCAAATGCTGGTATCTTGTAATAGTTGGGATGATGTCACTGCTGTTTGCCATTGTGCCAGGAGCTCATTGTAAATAGAAAATTTCTCCTATATGTGCTTCATAAACCTCCTGGTTTTAAAGAAAATTCTAAAACAACACACAAGCTAAATGCAAGAAACATTTTTTAAAAGCAATTATTATTTTTAAAAAATGTTTTGTAATGTTTATCCTTTAAATTTGAAGAACGCTAAACTTAATATCTAATAAAGTGGAATTATTTTGTTCTCTCATTTAACATTTAGCAGCTTTTAGGTGATAAAGGTCATAAGCCGAAAGATAATGAATTAAATGACAGAATACGCAGAGAACTGCTGGAGAAGAACAGATCTTCTTCAGATGCCTCTAGTAGTGGTTCCATTGGCAAGACCAGGAGACCTAGTGAGGGGAGGGAACTCCTGCACCAGTTGCTAGATGACAGTGATGAGGATGATCACAACAGATCCAGCATCACAACATCTGCCCCTGCTGTAAGTTCATATCTAAAATTAACTTTATCTCTTAACTTTATTTTTATATATGCTTTCAAACTGTAGAAATAAATTACTATAAAGTTATGCATACATTAAAAACTAAATCTTAACTGTTGTCTAAGGATTGTTTAAAGTAAATTTTAACTCTTGTAAAAGGATTGTAACAAGTAGGGTTGTTTTGAACTATAACTACTGAATCTTTGCAATAACTAAAGCTTAAAAAGTTATGTGACATGATTTAATTCTTCTGTATGTCAGGAAAGTACATCAGCAGATCATGATCCTGGGCCACCCTCTAGATCCAGGCACCAGTCAGAAAACCAAGAACCACAGTCCACATCATCCCAGGCCTCGCACTCAGAGCCTCCCACACCACAGGGTCACTCAAGACAGGGGTCACTCAAAAGGTCGGGGGCGATGAGTGCATCCAGTGACATGCCCAACAAACAGTTGGACGAGTGAGTGACATGTTTGTGTTGTCTCGGTGTCGGCCAGGGTTTTCCCTGCTGTAGTCAGTGCTAGGAATATGTTGTTGTCATGTTTGTTTGTGTTATTTCTATGTTAAAAATTGAACCAAAGCTCAGCTTTATTCATGTTGTACAAGGTAGTCTTTTTTTTACTGTTAAAGGTTTTAGGTAGTCAATGGGGCTCTTGTTCTGATCGTCATGTTGCTTGTTTTGGAATTCAAAGCATACCGAAAAACTTCAGTTTTGACAGTTTATGCATTTTGACCAACAGAGGATAAATTGTTAAATTTATTATTAGATTTTATAAACAATTATAGAAGTTTAACAAGATATAGTTAGAATAAAAGATTTTTTGGATTTAGAATTAAATCAGTCTGCCGTAACTGAAAATAAAAAGATATTGCTACAATTTTGTGTACACATTTTTTTTAGCTTGCTACATTTACAGTGGGAGAAAATGTTGCAACAATTTTTTTTGGGTACACATTTTTTTAAGTTTACTACATTGACAATTTGGAGAAAATATCGCAATGATTTTTGTTACACATTTTTTTAGCTTACTACATTCACTGTGGGAGTAAACATCGCAATGATTTTTGTTACACATTTTTTTTTAGCCTACTGCATTCACTGTGGGAGAAGGATGACAACCCTAACAAGCTACAGGCAATAAGTAGCAGCACTGGCAAAAATCTGGCCAACACCAAGCGAAGAAAAATCTCTCTCCCCGATGTGGACAGTAGTGATGGTGTGGATATGGACACGGAGCCGAGCACGTCATCCGGAGGTCCTAGCACACCCCAGAGCAGTAAATTGTGTGAGAAGAACGCACTTCTTGCGCAGCTGCTGAGTAAAACTGTACAGAAGGACACCGTGCTCAACACAAACATTTCCATCAACCCCAACCCCATGGGCGTGCCGCAGAGCAGGTATCCCAGGAACCTCAGTGAGAAGATCATCACGGTTAAAAGCGTCGACAACGCAGAGGGACATTCTTACGGTCATAGCTCAGTGCCGGACAACAACCAGGGGGGGAATTTTCAAGTGTCCACCTCGGGTAAATCTCGGACTTCGTCCTTGACAATCAACACCACAAACCAGATGCCAAATTTTTTGACTGGTCCTTTCCCAGATCACCAGTCTCCAATAGATTCAAATTCGATGGATATGTCGCAGTCTGCCGAGTCGCAGATCAACCATATCCAGAGCCTGTTGGAGGGTGAGGACTCCATATTTGGTGGGGAGCCAATTGTTGCGGAGTCCATCTCCAATATTTCCGCTGATAATTCTCTAAATGATCCGCTCCTACAACAAATCCTTCAACAGGCGGCGGATCTGCATGACGATCTCCAGAAAAAAGCCATGAGAAATCCAACTTCATCCATGTCAGGTTTATCCATGTCTGGGCTAACTGGGTCAATGGAGTCTGGGTTGAGTGTCAGCAATTCCATGGCGTCAACTGTCACATCCATCGCTCAGGCGCTGAGCTCGTCGGTGCAAGCGCAAGAAAATAACATGAACCTGTTCCAGGAGAGAAACCAAATGAGCAAAAGCCATCAGCAGAGGAGTCTGCAGCAGGAGTTACAACAGCAGAAGCTGCAGCTGCAGCAGAAAGCTTTGAAGGTTGCTCAGCAACAACAGCAGCAGCTTCAGTCACAACTTCAAGCACAACAGCTGCAGTCACAGCAACAGCTGCAGTCACAGCAACAGCTTCAGTCACAGCAACAGCTACAGTCTCAACAACAGCTGCAGTCTCAACAACAGCTGCAGTCTCAACAACAGCTGCAGTCTCAACAACAGCAACAACTTCAAGCACAGCAACAGTTGCAGTCACAACAACAGCAACAACTTCAAGCACAGCTACAGTCTCAACAACAACAACTGCAGTCACAACAACAGCAACAGCTACAGTCACAACAGCTGCAGTCACAACAGCTACAGTCACAACAACAACAACAACTGCAGTCCCAACAACTTCAAACACAACTTCAGTCTCAGCAACAGCAGCAACCATTCTTATCCCCACCCCAACAGCCTTCATCAACCACCTCCTTACAGCAATCCATATCATCCCAGCATGGTGACATGCAACTAAACAAACATCACCAACTACAACAACAACAACAACAGCAGCAGCTTCAGCTCCAACTACAACAACAACAGCAGCAGCAGCAGATGGTTGTTTCCTCTGACATGGATTTGTTGAACGAAGAATCCAACCTGGTGGCTCAGCTGGAAGAGTTCATGAAAGAGACTGGCAACTGGCCCAATGACAACTTCCTGTCCAGCTCCAACCAAACACAACAAGGCCAGTCCAACCTGGCCAATGAGCAGTTGGTTATTGACGGCATCAAGCGTCAGCTGATGGGCGATGATCCCTTGGCTGCCCCGCAATCACAATCCATGATTGGGAATGAGAATGTCTTGGCCAACAGGCAGGCAGTTCAGGTAAAAAAAAAACAGTTTTTTAACAGCTTAAGTTTATGTATGCTACCTTAAAAAGTAAACCTTTGATTTGATGCTACCTGTTTTTAAACTGCTAGTGGATTAAATATTTGATAGCAATTAAAATTTTAAACATCATTGCAGGTGGATAACCTGCATTAGCTGAGTAAAAACTTGTTTTGTTACTTCACAAAACAGCACATGTAAAACAATGATATGATCTTTAATTTTGTTTTCTGAATTTTCCTAAAAAATCCTGTTTTTTAATATGTTGTGCCCTTGCTTATGTTATAGACATTGTTTAAAAACACTTTTTTTTAAAAACATTAAATATAATTTTTTTTTTTGGACAGCTGTTTAAAAACACTTTTTTAAAACATTAAATATAATTATTTTTTTTGGACAGCGCTCCATACAACAACAGTTGCAGGCCAGTATGTCCAGTCAGGCTCTGGGAAACATGGCCCCCGGCCAAGTTCCAGGCTACAATGGCCAAGGCCAGCAGATGAAACAGAACATGATGGGAGGATTCAGCCCACAGATGTCCAACATTAGATCTCAGCAGCCACAACAGCCAGGCTTCAACCAGCCTCGAGGTCAGTTCTCAGTTTTTTTCAGTCAGTGATTATTTTGTCATTTAAACACATGCTGGGCGGTACACATAGTAGCTGTGAGACACTTGATTTTGTAAGAGCTCATTGATCATTTGATCTGTCTCATTAAGCCCACTTTTCTCAAAACTTACCCAATTCACTCTCACTTACCAGACCATAACCACACTCATCTGCTCTTACCACTCTGCTAACTGTAACCTCTTTTATAACCACACCCACTTCTGTAACCACACCCACCTTTTATAACAATACCTACTTTTTATACCCACACTCACTTTTATACCCACACCTACTAATATAAACACACCCACTTCTGTAACCACACCCACAATTTATAACCACCCATGTTTTATAACCACACCCATATTTTATAACAACATGCACTTTTTATAACCACACCCACTTTATATTATATCCACACCCACTTTTGTAACCACACCCACTTTTGTATTATAACCACACCCACTTTTATATTATAATCACACCCACTTTTGTAACCACACCCACTTTTGTAACCACACCCACTTTTGTAACCACACCCACTTCTGTAACCACACCCACTTCTGTAACCACACCCACATTCAACTTTGTTCGTCTCCACAGGACCTCTAGCTCCTGCCCTACAGAACCCTGTACCATTCCGTGCAGCGAACCAGTCCATGCTAGTCAGACAAAACTTGCTGTACCAGCAGCAGAATCGCCAGATGGGACGCCAGAAGCAGCAACTCCAGGAGAGACAGCGGATGTTGCAGCTGCAGCAACAGCAGCGGCTACAAGGCCTGCCGCAACAGTTTAACCAGAGGTTTAACCAGGTGGGTGCATTCAATAAAGCTACACCCCTATGGTGGTTATCCTTTGAACCTGGCAGATGAAGTAGTCTTCACCTGTTACTATGTTCTGTATGGTTAATTTATTCAATGAACCTGTATGGTTAATTTATTCAATGAATGTGTGTGATTAATTTTTCAATGAACATGTATGGTTGATTTATTCATTGAACCTGTATGGTTAATTTATTCAATGAACCTGTATGGTTAATTTATTCAATGAACCTGTATGGTTCATTTATTCAATGAACCTGTATGGTTCATTTATTCAATGAACCTGTATGGTTCATTTATTCAATGAACCTGTATGGTTAATTTATTCAATGAACCTGTAAGGTTAATTTATTCAATGAACCTGTATGGTTCATTTATTCAATGAACCTGTATGGTTAATTTATTCAATGAACCTGTATGGTTCATTTATTCATTGAACCTGTATGGTTAATTTATTCATTGAACCTGTATGGTTAATTTATTCAATGAACCTGTATGGTTAATTTATTCATTGAATTTGTATGGTTAATTTATTCAATGAACCTGTATGGTTCAAGATTGTTCATTGTAGACCATATAGCTGTCCAAATCGTAGACCATAGTTGTCTATTGTCGACATTTGAAATGGATTCATTTAAAGTTTAAACCGGCTTACAAATTAATCTTATATTTTAAAGCATGTAAGAAATTAACCTTGTTTGTTAATTAGTTCTAATGAATACACCTTGAATCTCTCTAGTCTGGCTTACCTTTAGAAGGCACAGCACAAGCAACTTTCCCTGAAAACTTCAGAGAACTAATGACCCAAGGCCACCCACCTAATGTGACCTTACCTGTCCAGGTAAAATTTGCCAGAAATATGTGTTAGAATGATAATCTCTAGACTATTTCATAACATAGCATGGCTTACTAGGTCATTAGGAACTTACCTGTTCATGTTCTAGTACCTGCACTATTTCAGTCCTGTAGATTCAGATATTTTTGTAGAGATATACACTAATATGAGTATAGTAGATAGTTTTCTATTAAATTCATTGCTTTATTTATTATAATTTTGTACTATGTTTAAAATAGTTATTAATTACACACACAAAATTAATGTAACAAAATAATGCAACATTTAATTTAATATTTAAAAATAAACTTTTGAGTATTTTTTTATTATTTTAGAATGTGAATAATTAGAATATTTCAGTGATAGACTTGTTAATGAAAAAGCTTTTAGATCATTTATCAATCAGAAAGTCAACAAAATGGCTCTCCATAGGACTATTTGTATAGGCTGAGAAAGCTTTGGTTCAGTTCTAGGGAAACTGTGCACGACCATGCTAATTTTACTTTTATTTAGCGAGTTCTTTTTTTAAATTTTGCTTTGAATTTTTTTCTGTTCTGCCTCTCTGGCAATGTTTGTTAAAGTTTTTTCTTCTTCTTATCTCCCTTCCATCCTGTGGTGGGTTGCCTACCCTGTTTGTGATGATAGAGAGGTCAGGGCATGCCTGGTCCAATGTCTCCTCGCTTCACCCCCCAGGGACCTGGTCCCTCACCTCAGCCGAGCCAGTTATCACCCCATTTCTCCCCCCAGCCTGGGACTGGTGTGGCCTGGAGCATGCGGCCCCAGGGTGGTTCAGACCCTATTGGAATACAGCAGGTAATTCCTTCAACACTGCTGGCCATCTCATGCCTTTTAAATGATTTTATTGATTAAAAAATTAATTAATTAATTAAAAAACTCCTTCACAAAACTGTTAGAGAATCAGTTTGTGTGTCTTTTTTTTAAAAGAATATATTTGAACAATGTAATCTTATAATAAATCTGTAAAAATGCTGCCATCTTTTGCCATTAAATTTTTTTTTTATTTAATTAAAAAACTGCTTCACAAAATCATTAGAGAATCAGTTAGCGTGTGTCTTTTTTAAAGAATACATTTGAACAATGTAATCTTATAATAAATCGGCAAAAAAATGCTAATTTAAAATCACAAATTTTACTTCTGTTTTCCATCCTTACAAAATACTACCTTAGATCTGTAGACTTTAGCCTATAGATGTAGTCCACAGTGTGTAAAGGGCATATAGATGTCTTGTTGCATGCCTTGTGAAATAACGAATTATATTTCTTATAATTATAAACATGAGTTAATTATCTGGAAATAACTTCCTAAATGGGACTCTGGCTTATGCACCAGTTAAAGTAGAGTTGATCTGATTGTGAATATGATTTACTTGGAGATTGCTTGACCAAGAATATGTGAATCATTAGTCTGTTGCTTGTTTCTGGCTAGAGCTAAGTGACTTATAAAAGAACCAAACAGCCGGGTTCAAAATGTGCAATTTTTTAAGGCAAAATCAATTCTGTTTAAAATATTCATCCTCTTGAAAATTATTTATATGTAACTGGGGTAGGCCTAACTACCAGTTACAAATGATAACGAACGAGAAGCCGAGACCCAGTGTTGGTCTGATGCAACCGATAACAGGTGGCTTATTGGGTCGGGCTGATAACAACCTCAAAGCCAACGCGTGCTATTTTGGGAAACGGTATTCAGACGGCCTGTCAACTTTGATGGATAGGACGCAGATGTTATTTTACGGTCTGTACGTTTGAACTACGCAACTGGTGGTCGGAGATCGAGTACAAGTATCGATTACGGAGGAATACAAGTACGGAGACGAGTACGGATACAAGGCATAAATAGGAGGGGGCGGCAGGACTCGTTCTCTCTCTTCCCGTTTCAGCGAGCTCTCTTCCATCTTCATCGCTCGCTTAGATCAGTCAGTCTGTGTGACTATGTCAAGTCGGTTATAGAACGGGTTAGCCGTATTGTGTTAAGGAGGATTATAGACATGTGGATTCAGTTATATAAAGCCTAGTGAAGGACTGTTAGGGGTCAGTTGATTCAGACTATTATTGAGAAGCATTCCTGTTGATTTATTGTGTTATTATGAAGCATTTCTTGATTCATGTAATAAAGGATCAATAGCGAACCTGCATCTTGAGTATCTATACTGTGGTCAATGTTGTCTAGAATGAGTGGTTAAACTCGTTAACACGTGGCACTACAGGCAATTAGGTCTCATTACATGTGGCGTTGCGAGCATGGTAACTGTTGGCTCGTTACAATTGGCGTTGTCGGCAGGATAAATGTTCGCTCGTCACAATTGGCGCTGCGAGCAGGGTCACATTTGGCTCTGCGAGTAGCCTAGGTCACATTTGGCGTCGTCGGACAGGATGAATTCAACTAGACTTGCCGTTTAAGGCACCTATAGTCAACCTTGTGCATAACTGTGTTTAGTGTGTGTGTGAATTCGGACATTCAGGAACTGTGAAAATTGAGGAACGAGGAAAAATTTTTCATACACACACGGTAAGAAAGAACTCTTTTTTTTTAGTACTTAAGGAAGAAAATGTCTACTCTGGACGAGAAGCAGACCCATATAGTGGTCCTACCCAGAGAGTCCCATATTAACAAATTTTACGGGGACGGAGATCCAACTTTAACCAACAGGTTCAGTGAAGAGGTCAAAGCGGCCTGGGCCTCGAGACATATGTCACCAGAGGAAAGATTAAGACTGCTGATGGGTAGTATAGGTGAAACGGTTAGGGCAGAGGTTAAGTGCCACGATAGGACCGTCCAATCAGATCCAGATAAGGTGCTGGATCTGATTATGGAGACCTTTGGGGAGAGACGGTCGGGAGTGCAACTGCTATCGGGATTCGTGGGCTTAAAGCAGAGAATGGCGGAGAGTGTGATGGAGTACTCACACAGGATGAACAGGGCCTTTGATTTGGTAAAGGGCAAATCACCGGACATTGATGTACGCCTACTGAGGGACCATTTCATCGAGGGGCTAGCAACCCCGATCTTAAGGAGAGAGTTGAAAGAGGAGGTCCACAGAGACCAGCAGTTGACCTTCCTTCAGGTCAGGAACTCAGCGATCCGCAGGTCCGAGGATGAGGACCAATCGAACTGTTCGGTGGACAAAGTCTCTGTGCCTGAACAGAGACAATCCCCACCCACAGGGGCCGACACGATGGAGACCATGATGGCTCAACTGTTGGCCCACCTAGAGAAGGTTGACCAACGCTTGAAGTGGTTGGAAAGCAGGTCAACAGCTGAGAATCAGGAAAAGAACGGGACAAAACAGGGACGGGTTGGACGGCCGCGTCCTGCCAAGCCATCACTCCAATGGACGGCAGACGGTCGACCAATTTGTTTGTCTTGTTCACAACCCGGACATATGGCACGGTACTGCCAGGGAAACGGTCGTCCTCTGTAAGGCAGGGCCAAGCTACAGAGGGGCGAGGTTATGGCCCAAGAAGCAAAATGATGGGAGTCTGTCCCGAAATGGTGATTACGATTGGGGACATCGCGGTGAAGGCAATTGTGGATACAGGCTCCCAGGTGACGACAATCACGGAAAATTTTTACACCAAATGGATGAAAGGAAAAGACCATAGGTTGAGGTCTGACACATGCATGCGCCTGACGGCAGCTAATGGACTAACCATTCCATACTGTGGTTATTTTCTGGCGGATGTCGTGGTGGCAGGACATAGGTTGAAGCAGGTTGGGGTGTTCGTTACGAAACACAACCTAGAGACAAATGTGTCAAATATACCTTGCCTGTTGGGCATGAATATTCTTGGCCAGTTGCCAGAATTTCTTACAAATATTGTCGGATCGACCACACCAGGTCGGGGATCCAAGTTGGCCAGGTTTGCCAAGACCAGAGGAAGGACAGCAGTCCCGGCAAACACGGTCAAGGCAATCACATTAAAAATTGGTGATAGAAGCGTGAATGGTGATGTGATGATAGAACCATGTGGCGCCGCACTGAGGGCAGGCGTCGTGTTACTGCGGACATACACATCAGCGGAAAACGGACTAGTTCAAGGGTTGGTAGCAAATGTTTTGGATGAAGAAATTTTTATACCGCCTAACACTCTGGTAGGAGTACCACAGAACGTCGAGGTACAAAGGTCGGCACAGTGCATCGAACTGATCAATACCAGTAGTAATGAAGTAACAATTAGGTCGGTCAATGTGACGGCCGAGGTGAAGAAAGAAGATGGCCGATCATATACATTCCCGGAAACTGAGGACCCAAAACTAAATGAATTGCTGAAGAAATACAGTGATATATTTGCCTCGTATGAGGGTGATTTGGGGTACACGGAAGTAATAAAACACCAGATACCCTTACTACAAGACAAGCCGGTGGCGCAACCTTATCGAAGATTGCCACCAAGTCACTACTCTGCGGTGAAAGCACACCTGAACGATCTACTAAAAAAGGGAATTATTACAACCAGTACGAGCCCATATGCGGCACCGATTGTAGTGGTAAAAAAGAAGTCAGGGGAGATAAGACTGTGTTGTGATTACCGGAAATTGAACAATATCACAAGAAGGGATGCATTCCCCTTGCCTCGTATTGATGAATGTCTTGATGCGTTGGGGGGAGCAAGATTTTTTTCTACCTTGGATTTGGCCAGTGGCTACCACCAAGTGGCCATGCACCCCAACGATCAACATAAAACTGCATTTATTTCTCCACTGGGACTGTACGAGTGGACCCGTATGCCGTTTGGTCTAACTAATGCACCTGCTACATTCCAGCGAGTAATGCAGAGTGCTATGAGTGACTTTCTATTTCAAATAATGTTGGTGTATTTGGATGATATTCTAGTTTACTCAAAAACTTGGGAGGACCATCTAAAAAGATTAGAACAAGTGTTTCTCCGTCTTAGGGAGATAGGAGTAAAGCTGAACCCAGACAAATGCTGCTTTGGTTTGAAATCGGTACATTTTTTGGGTTACGTGATTTCGTCGGATGGCATCGCCACTGACCCAGATAAAATTGCAGCTGTTAAAGAATGGAAACAACCAACAACTACGGTAGAGGTCAGGTCATTCTTGGGCTTTGCTTCCTATTATAGAAAATTTGTGCCGGGTTTTGCAAAAATTGCCGCACCATTGCATGACTTGGTAAACAAAATGACAAAGAAACACAGTAAGGAGAAAAAGAAAGGTAAAACACAACTGATAGGTGAACTATGGACTGATGAATGCCTGAACTCGTTTAAGCTCTTGAAAAAGGCTTTGACAGAGGCACCGATATTGGGATACGCGGACTTTGACAAACCATTTCGGTTAGAAATCGACGCCAGCTCTAAAGGTCTGGGAGCTGTGCTATCACAACAACAAAAGCAAGGTTTCAGGGTTATTGCGTATGCCAGTCGAGCTCTGAAGGGATCAGAGAGAAACATGACAAATTACAGCGCCATGAAACTAGAACTTTTGACATTAAAATGGGCTGTGACTGAGAAATTCAGGGACTATCTATTAGGTGCTAAATGTGTGGTATACACTGACAATAACCCCTTGAGTCACCTAAAGACAGCAAAGTTGGGATCCATCGAACAGCGATGGGCAGCAGAATTGGCACTCTTTGACCTAGAGATAAAGTATCGCCCGGGGCGGTCCAATGGCAATGCGGACGCCTTATCAAGGAATCCTTACGAGAGACCGGGTGATGAGGAAGAAACACTGACAGGAATATGTGAGGTCAGAGCGTCAACAGATATCCCTCATGGGGTACAAGTGATGCAAAACGGGCAGACCGGGGTGGAGCACATATCCACGGAACCCGAACATATGGACAGTAGTGATTTTAATTGCCTTAATCACCAAAAGATAAGAGATGCCCAGAGAACGGATAGTGGCTTACAACCGCTATTGAAACACGTCCAGGAACAAAAATTCCCAGGAAGAAGGGAAAGAGAACAATTTGGTCGAGAAACAAAGAAAATACTGAGTCAGTGGAACCGTCTCAGTATAAAGGATGGTGTTCTCATGCGGAGAATTCATGACCAAATTGATGGCACAATACACCAGGTGGTGGTGCCGGGACAGTTAAGAGAAGAAGTGCTAAGGTTGGCACATGACAGGGCAGGACACCAGGGTCAGGACAGAACCCACAAAATATTACGACGGAGGTGTTACTGGCCCAATATGGAAATGGAGGTCAAACGCCATTGTGAGGCTTGTGTGAGGTGTCAGCATGCGGAAATGCCAGTTGTCAAAATGAGACAGCCATCAGGACACCTACTAGCGACAAAACCACTAGAGATTGTGGCTATGGACTTTACGTCGTTGGAGCAATCTTCGGATGGGACGGAACATGTGTTGGTAATGACTGATGTATTCACCAAATGGACGGTGGCGGTGCCCACGCGAGATCAGACCGCCAAAACAGTGGCAAAGGTCTTAATAGAACATTGGTTCATCAAATATGGCATACCAAGACAATTACACTCTGACCAAGGAAGGGCTTTCGAGTCAGAAGTAATTAACCAACTGTGCAACCACTACGGGATCAACAAATCTAGAACAACCACATTTAATCCGAAGGGAAACGGACAGTGTGAACGGTTCAACCGCAGCATGCATGATTTGCTGCGTACGCTAGAACCTGAACAGAAAAAACGTTGGCCTGATTTTCTCCCAGAGTTGGTATATCTATACAACTGCACACCCCATGCCACAACCGGCTTTACGCCATACATGTTGCTGTTCGGACGAGAGGCTCGACTCCCTCTTGATTTGTTCCTAGGAAAAAGGGAGAGTATGACTGGCTCATACACCGCACTGGAATATGTGAATGAACATATGAGAAGAATTAGAGAAATGTACAGGGTAGTACAGGAAAGACTAGAACATGAATCTCGGCGAAGGGAACCGCCGATACAGACGAAGGACCCGCCACTCAAACTGAATGACAGGGTATTACTGCGTAGCCACCCGTTAGGCAGAAACAAAATCCACGATCTCTGGGGACAGGAGATATGGCAAGTCGTGGAGATGCCTAAAGCAGCAGGTGGCCCCTTTAAGATAAGACCCATCGATCACGCCAAACCGGATCGGTGGGCGAATATTGCTCAATTAAAGAAATATTGGAATAGGCAAGAAGAGCAGTTACACACAGAGAAACCCAAGACAATTAGGGAACCGGAAGTTATAACGGAAATTCACATACCCATTCCGGAACCATATCACCATCAACAGAACAACAGCGATACGCAAGGGGAGGATACCGGCAACAATGAGGATCCCGGTCCCTCCAGAAGCAGAGAGACAGTAGACCATCAGATAAGTGGTCCGCGGAGAAGTTTAAGGAACAGAAGGAATACGAAATTTTTTGTCAGCAACCATCAATTCTTTCATGGTCGCGCTGGTATGAAAACAGACTGTTCAAAGAGCTATAGAAGTGAACTGGTGAAGGCACCAAATGGAAAGGGTGGATGTGAATTCTAGAACTGTTTTGTGTCTCAGAAAGATGATGTAGACACAGTTGATATGTGAAATAGGTAGAACTGTCAATCGTATACGAATGGAACGTCGTGGACAGTGAGTGGAACAATAGATTTTTTTTTTACGACTGTGCGATTGACTTTGGAGGAGTGCACCTGCCAGGCGTTGTTTGTGGTTGAAAACACACAAAAAAAGCAGGGGTGGATGTAACTGGGGTAGGCCTAACTACCAGTTACAAATGATAACGAACGAGAAGCCGAGACCCAGTGTTGGTCTGATGCAACCGATAACAGGTGGCTTATTGGGTCGGGCTGATAACAACCTCAAAGCCAACGCGTGCTATTTTGGGAAACGGTATTCAGACGGCCTGTCAACTTTGATGGATAGGACGCAGATGTTATTTTACGGTCTGTACGTTTGAACTACGCAACTGGTGGTCGGAGATCGAGTACAAGTATCGATTACGGAGGAATACAAGTACGGAGACGAGTACGGATACAAGGCATAAATAGGAGGGGGCGGCAGGACTCGTTCTCTCTCTTCCCGTTTCAGCGAGCTCTCTTCCATCTTCATCGCTCGCTTAGATCAGTCAGTCTGTGTGACTATGTCAAGTCGGTTATAGAACGGGTTAGCCGTATTGTGTTAAGGAGGATTATAGACATGTGGATTCAGTTATATAAAGCCTAGTGAAGGACTGTTAGGGGTCAGTTGATTCAGACTATTATTGAGAAGCATTCCTGTTGATTTATTGTGTTATTATGAAGCATTTCTTGATTCATGTAATAAAGGATCAATAGCGAACCTGCATCTTGAGTATCTATACTGTGGTCAATGTTGTCTAGAATGAGTGGTTAAACTCGTTAACACGTGGCACTACAGGCAATTAGGTCTCATTACATGTGGCGTTGCGAGCATGGTAACTGTTGGCTCGTTACAATTGGCGTTGTCGGCAGGATAAATGTTCGCTCGTCACAATTGGCGCTGCGAGCAGGGTCACATTTGGCTCTGCGAGTAGCCTAGGTCACATATATTTTTTAGCCTTTAAATTAACTAAAAGATTCAGATAGTATTCTGTGGGTTTCCTGACTTTGTTAAATATTGTTATTTAGGGCAACCAGTTTTCTCCAAACATGAATCGCCAGAGGTCACTGTCAGGCAACTCCTTGCCCAGCCCAGCCAATCAGCAGACAGCACCGCCCCAGCAGCAGCAGGCAAGAGACGCTCGCTTCCAGCTGTCAGACAACCAGTTTGTGGGGGCAGGGGGCGCTGGCAGCGTCTTCTCTAACCAGCAACAGCAGGGTCAAGGTCAGGGCATTTACCCACCAAACAGGATGATGCAGAGAGTGCCAACAGGTTGGTTTGTCTTTATAATAGGAAGTCATAGCTTACAACGTGACTTTTTTTCTAGTCTGTCAGAGGAAAATATATGGGTACTATAAACCTAAGTTAGAGCTAGATTAGCTCCATGGAAGTGAAGGGGGGGGGAGGTTACATATCATAGAAGCACTAAAAACATTCTGGAATGGTTAAAAAGCTTCTAACCATACATTTAGAAAATTGCATGTAGAAAGAGGATGTTCTATGTGTTGAAATGGGTGGCAGACCAAAAATAATCTTTATCCATTTATAAAATATTTTCTGTTGTTCACTCTTTTTTCAAGTCCCAGTTACATCCTTTTCTGTTCTTTGCTGTTTTCTTTCAACCCTTTCCTAAAATTTACATGCGTTTTACATTTTTCTATGTCAGTTTTTTTGGGGGCTTTTTTAAATTACTAAATGTTAATATTCTATTAAGTATTTTAAAAAAAAATTCTTAATTAATCCCTTTTTTCAATTAACTATAATTTCTATTTTTTTTTTAGCAAATCCCATCTCTTACTTGAGCTTACTTTATCAAAACAGTTTCCTCCACACCTCAAACAAGTCACCAAAGCTGTTCTCTTGTTCTCATGTTCCCATGTTCCCATGTTCTCATGTTCCCATATTCTCATATTCCCATGTTCTCATGTTCCCATGTTCTCATGTTCCCTTGTTCTCATGTTCCCTTGTTCTCATGTTCCCTTGTTCTCATGTTTTCATGTTCCCATGTTTTCTAGTTCTCAAGTTCTCTTAATCTCATGTTCTCATATTCTCTTGTTCTAATGTTCTCATGTTCTCATGTCACAGGTCGCGGCTCCCCCAGAGGACCCCACAGCCCATTTGGTACCAGCCCACCTGACCCTCTGCTCATCTCACCCCAGGCTGTGATGTCCCCTAACTCAAACATGAGACAGCAGTCGTCTGTACAGGTAAGTCTGGCCTATACTTACAGTTACACAAGTGGGGGGGGGGAGATATGTCTTCAGTGAGATTGACTTCTACTTACTCTATGAGCAGGAACTGGGGAAAAGGGAATGTTCCAAGTTTATAAATTTCTCAGAATTTCTGTTTATTGAAATCTAATTTTGTATAGTAAAATAAATCGTTTGAATGAATCAAGTACTATTAAATAGCCTAAAATAAATTAAATATTTTTTTTAAACATTGTCATACCTTTATAATAGATAAAAAACTAATTTAGAATTTGCATTTGTTAAATTGACCTAACTTCTGGCATTTTAAAAATCTTGAACAGATAATCTTTTATAATTTACATATTTTTTATTTTACATTGTAACTGACATGTAACTGTGTTTACCTAGAACTACAATTTGTTGATTTGTTTTACTTAAAAAAATCTTACCATTCTTCAGCAGGTCAGTCCGCAGTATAGCCAAGTTGGCATGACGTCAAATTTTGGCAACCAGCAAGTGGGGATGACCAGTGGTCCTGTATCTTTCCAGGGCAGCCCGTCTGTAGGGTCAGGGTCATCATCCTTCAACCCTGGGGCAACCATGTCTCAGTCTACGGCTAATGATATGCATGACTTTATGCATATATTAAATATCAGTTCCATGGAAAAGTAAGTCACTTATAATTACTCTTCAGTTTTTATATATCATTTTTTTATAATTCTTGCTAATCTGTATTCAAACTAGGAAACAAATTTTTGATATTAACATATTCATTTACTTTAATATCAGCCATTCATCTACAACCATTTTTTAATATGTAGTGTGTGATAAGCTACTGATCAATCGCAAAAGTAATACTTACATGCAACTAAACACCACAAAGTTTGTAGTTAGTTATGTTGTAATTTATTCATTGCAGAAACAGTAATTTCTCATACAAAACAGACAGTTTATATAAATAACCAATGCATCACAGCAATTATTTATTATCACAGAAATAGCTTTTTTATGTTACAGATACAAAATACAATTATTGTTCTCACTAGAGATATTGTATATTTTACTCACTAATACAGTAGAGATATTGTATATGTTACTAATTCACTAGAGATATTGTATATATTACTCACTAATACACTATAGATATTGTGTATGTTACTTACTAATACTAAAACACTAGAGATATTGCATATGTTACTTAGTAATACACTAGAGATATTGTGTATGTTACTTACTAATACTAAAACACTAGAGATATTGCAAATGTTACTTAGTAATACACTAGAGATATTGCATATGTTACTCACTAATATACTAAAGATATTTTTTATGTTACTCACTTTTAACAAAAGAGAATCAACATTTTATGAAACAAAAATTCAAACCAATAAAAAAAAATGTTTCCACCAGTAACAAAAATGTTTCGGGAGACCTGAGCAGCGGAGCCTCCAAGTCCCAGTACGTCAAACAGGAGCTGCGCAACATCTGCAGCGCTAGGTCTGAGAAACAGCAACAGCAGCAGCAACAGCAGTCTCAGATCCCAAACATGGACTTTGACAGCTCGTCCAGCGAGCTGCCGCCTGACATCCTTGAGACAAGTAGGTCATCTGGACATGTCCAGAACTGTTGTTTATAGTGACGTATTGTGTCATATGTTAGGAAGGGGGGGGTATGTGTGAAGATATACTGGCATGAATCTCTCTGTCCACTAAGTTATGATCATCATCTTTTCCTGTTTGTGCCAAAGGCACAAGGGGCAAATGAAGTAGACTTCATCTGTTTCAATGACCTGCCTTTGTTCCTCTAATGTGAGTCAGATACTCATCAGAGCGGGGTAAACTCAGGGGCATCCAACCAGTGTTTCTCCCAGACTTTTTTCTTCGGGGAGGGGGCACTTGAAATTTTCGGAGGGGGGGGGGGCGTATACTTTCTTCGGGGGGGGGGGGGGCGGACACTGTTAAAAGTATATATTTTCTAAAAAAATTATATAAATTTTATTTCGTTGGGGGGGGGGGGCGGTAAAAATTTTTCGGGGGGGGGGGGGGGCTTTAGGAACCAAACTTTAGACTTTACGGCTAGCAGTCTAGGGCTCTACTGCTCTGCAGTTCCATCACTTCCAATAAGTTGTGTCTGGTACCAAATGTCAAAGATGGTAAAGATTACCTGGGCACATAATGGTCACCCAAACCCTTTGTACATTGTAGGTACACAAAAAAATCACCAGCTACTTAGTTTTAGGAAGGCTGTAATTATTGAATCAAAACTCTATTAAGGAGCCATTGGGAATTGGAATGGGGACCCTTTTAAAAAAATAATCGTTAACATTTCTACTTCATTAGCACTAAGAAAGGGTATGGTTTAAATTTGTTAAAATTTATAGTAATATTGAAAATGAAAAAATATCAACCCTTTATTCTGATGGTGATAAAATTAATATTTTAGTAAATGACATGACCAAAGAACATGGCGCCCCATTGGGTTCACTTGAGGAGGCCGATGTGGTTATACAGTCAAGGATTGAGGCTAAACACAGATACCAACAGTTCCGAAAGTTATCCATGTTTCAGCAGGCACCTCCTGGTAAGATATATTGTGTGGACAGCTGGAAATAAATTCTGTGAATAGCTAATGAAAATAGTGTGTTTAGTTTGGTTAGTATGTTATGTGGAGTGGATTGGAGGTAATCCAAAAAGCACTGATATGAGCTGAATAGTAAGCCAAAAAATTTGGTAGTAACAATTTAAATGACTTAACACACAGATTTAAAAAAAAACAAGTAATTTTGATTATGGAATTTTACTGCATGCAAATATTCATGGCAGTATTTTTAAAAAATAGTTTTTAAAAAAATATTTGAATGAATCTCTTTTTAAGTTAAGTCATAAGAATGTTATTTGTTAGGCTATTCAAAACAACAAAAACGTGAAATGTTTAATAGACAATGAATTTATTTATTTGTGTGATTTAGTCAGTATTAAATTTGGTAAATATTACACTTGCAAATGCTCAAAGATATTTCTCAAACTACCATTTATGTTTTCAGTTGTAAATGCTAAAAGATATTTCTCAAACTACCATTTATGTTTTCAGTTGTTGATGCTAAAAGATGTTTCTCAAACTACCATTTATGTTTTCAGTTGTTGATGCTAAAAGATATTTCTCAAACTACCATTTATGTTTACAGTTGTCGATGCCTCTGATGAGGCGCAAGTCAAAGCAACGAGTCTGTTCAGAAACCAGCTGTTGCGTCCAGTTAATAACACACCACCACCACCTACGTCCACTAATGGTCAGCAGTTACCCCAGTCATCCACATCTGGGAAGAATGGAGAAAACGCATCTCAGTTTAATATACTACAGTTAGATAGTCGGGTCAGTTCAGCTTTGTTTTTAAAATAAAAATGTAAAAATTCTAACGTATTTGAATTTCTGTAACTTTTTGTTTACTATCTTAGTGTTAATGTCTACTTAAGTTTTTAGTATTTCTATTTATCTCGTTCCAGGCACCAATAGAAGACATCAGACCTGCTGACAACAAGAACAGCTTACTCTGTCAACTGTTATCAGAATAAAGGGACGTAACTTTTAAATTAAGAAAGATAATAACATACTGGAGATGTGTGTCTAGTGAAGATAAAAACAATAGACTAAACACATTTTATCAAGAGAATTGGCACCATGTGTGTAACAACATATCTGGCAAACTCAGGGAATTCAAATATTTGTGGACTATTTATTTCTCACTGTTGACTTTGTGTAGTGTTTCATAGACAATGGATATGTTAAGTGTTGTAGCGTCTGTTCAACTACACAACTACGATTTCTTTACGCCAGATGAGCATCTGGGAAAACAGTTTTCATGTTTCTTTTCGTTGGCGATGGACTTGATTAGTGCCACAGCTATAGTTGCCAAAAGATTCATGCATCAGCTACAGACTTGGGAATGTAACATTTTTAAACTAAGTTTTAGCTTCTTACAAAGGAACAATCGGACTTTGTGGAAAAACATTGTGACAGCTTCTGGTGTATATAATGTGCACTGGATGTGAAATGTGTTAAAAGCGTGTTTTAAAAACAAACTGTCTGTGATCTATGGAGGTATTAGAGTTGGAGTGAATCACATTTTCCTTGTATTACAAATTTTACTAGCCTGCTGTGCAGAAGAGTGGCAGACGTGTCATAGTTCTGTTTCTTGCATGACATGGTCCAGGTTACCTGTGATAAGTTGACTGTGCAGAGTTAATTCCCTTTCAAATGGAGGTTTATGAACTGAAGATGGGTGATTCTTGTTCTACTGTCACAGTAGTTGTGTATATAGACTGGGGCGGATTTCCAGCATTACAATGAAGACATTCTCTGTTTTGGCCTGTTGTAAAGGAATATATTTACCATTTCATTAATAGTGATTTGTATGTAGTATATGTATGTACAATTTAAAAGATATTTACGCTATATATTTTTTGAATTCTTGCACAATGTCTTTTTATTTATTTTAGTGTTGCCTGGAACACATGTTTATAGCCACCTTGGCATTCATCTAAAGGTCAAGGCTGCCTTGGGAAAAAAATGCCATTTACATAATTTGTCATGTTTAATAATGTATTTCTCATTGTGATGTGCACAAGTTTGTTTAAAAAAATTAGAATTGTTACAAAGATTAACTCTATGTAACAGATATTTATTTTATAAAACCAAACAATAGCATTACAGTAAAGTTGTTTTGTCTCTGTCCTTTATGTAATGATCCCCCCCTCCACTTTTTTATTTTATGTGTGTACACAGTTTATGTACATATAAACATTTATATTTACACTTTAACTTCTTGTTTCAATGAATAATTATTTTTACAAAGCTTGGCTGGTAAACAAAGTGTTAAGTGACTGCAACCCAGATAGAGTGACGAGACCTCACTCAAATTTTACTTTTGATATTATTCAACACCACAGTAGGATGTTTTGTTAAGAAATTGTTGTAAGGCTACTGAAACACTCGACTTTCATTGCTTTCATATCAGTTTAATCATGAGTGGTACTGTTAGATCAACGTAGTTTAAAAGTAAATCCACTCATTTAACCTGAATTCATTTTCATGAGTGGAATTCTTAAAGCTGTGATTATAAATACTCAGTTTAAAAGATATTCTTAAAAACTTTTTTAAAAAACGTGTAACATAATAAGGTTGATATTGAGTAAAAGTGATTTTTAAAAATCAATAAAATTAAAATGGCATAACAAATCTTATGGTAAAGAAAATTAATTATAATTCTTACACAAATGTTTTAAAAATATTTTCTACAATTTTTTTCATGTAACACATTGAATGGTACAGCTTAATAGTTCATGTATAAATGCTATCATTTTTTTAAATCTTAAAAAAAAAAACCATTGTAATTTCAAAGCTCAGTATAATGGTGTTTTTGTATTACTAAAATTATTTTTTACTTGTATGACCCACAGGTTAAATAATTGATTTTAATTGAGATTAATAATTGACTACAGTGTACAATATTGTTTATTAAGAAAATCATTTTTGTTGAAAATTTTAGCTTGGCCAAAATAATGTTTACACCATTGTTGTCATTGTTTCCACAATTAATGAATGTGCCAAGGTTTGGACATAAGATATTCACAGTTGGAATAAACTTCTTGTCGGCCTATACTTGGAATGATCAAGAAACTTTGCTGGGTCTAACTCTCATATTTAAAAATATTTTGTAGCATTATAAATTTAAAAAAAAAAGCTAGTTAATCTTAAAGTGTTAGTTTACATTTTAAATATTTAAGTTTAACGAGCCCAATAAATAATTCTTATCAACTCCATCAATTAAAACGTGGAAATAGAATTTTTTTTTTAAACCGTGTGTAATTAGCATTTTACGGTTAGAAATATTTTTATTAACTCAAACCAGCAGCCACTGTGGTTAGAAAGATTCAGCTAATGTCACACCCCAGCCAAGAACATTTACATTCAATGGGAATATTACTTTATTCCTGTTTATTTTAACTTATGATACGGATATATTTAAACATGATTTACCTGATTACATGCATGTATAATGAGTTCAGCTGGTATTTAATTTCAGAAAAGTTTTCTCGTTTGTATTTTGATGAGTAGAAATAGACTTAGAAAAATTAAAATGTTGAACTGTGTACAAACTCTGAACATTTGTAAAAAAATAAATAAATAAAATAATGACAATAATCCAGAATTTTTTTCCTGCATTTCATCTCTATTTATAACTATGGTTAATCCAGGACCATTTCCATTAGTTAAATCCTGTTAGTATCCCCCCCCAACTCCACATTTGAAGACACTATTCTCTCTACAACTTCTTGAAATAAAGCCTCAGGGATGGATGTAGTGTGCCTTCCATGCCAGATTTTTCTTCATGTGGATATTTTAATGACAATTCATAACTTGTTTTCTGTTGTCGTCATCAAATTAAAATCTTTGTGTACAACTTTATGTTGATACTTTATAGTATGTTCTACCCAACGGTTGTGATGGATTCATAAGTTAAAATTTGTAACAATAAAATCAGAAATAAACCTAGTAAATTAATTTTTTTGGTATTAACATAGATCATAGATTTAAAAATGAATGGCGAATTTGAGTTTTCAATTTTTGTCATTAAATATGAACTGATTTGTTTATACTGGCATAAAATATTTGAGAACTGGATGTCAGTATTGAAATGTTGACCATCACCTGGCCTGTGACTTGTATGATGTAACACTTTTGATGCCAGCAACTTTGTAATATTTTGTTTTGCTCATTTGTGTGAAGCACTGTAGCCGTGTCCAACGTTTAGGTTGTATTCTCATATTGTTAGAATAATGTACCAATTATTTTCTCTTCAGTGTATTATAAGTGCAAATTTTGTGACCACGCCTCTCTACCTTTCTCGTGGTCGCAGTGAGTGATTTGTTGAAATAATGCTGAGTTCAGGAAGGCAATTAAAAAGATATTGTAATACATTATTGGGTTTTTTTTTTATGCTCTGTGGTATGTGTGGCATAGAGGCTATTCGTAATGTGTCAAATGCAAAAAAATAAATACTAAAATACACCCAAAGCAAACACAATATAAATTAATATCTTTATAAATATGTAACACTAATTTCTTTTTCTAAAGACACATCACATAAATTTGTTTCATCAACTTACATTTTGATAGTAAATACTTACTGGGACAACACAACAGTATCTGAACTATTTAATTAGTAAACCTATCAAATAATTTTTTTTAAAATTAAAACTAGGTACTACAGAAATAGCAGGAAACAACATGGTTTTACAATAACATTACTATGTAACTAGATACTCTATTTAAAAAAAAAAATTACTTGATACTTATGTGTGAAACAGACAGAATACATAACTTAAAAAATAAATTTTTAATTTTTCAAGATCTAATCCTTTCAATCTACACATGTACAAAAAATGACAAAATAAAACAAGCCAATCCTATTCTTCAAGACAGTAGATCTCATCTGTCTGGCAAATTAACAGTGAGATGGTTTACAGAATAGACAGTCAAGGTGATTTTTTTTTTGTTACTTGTTCAAAAGTATCCACCTAAATAGAGCATTAATGGTACACCTACAATTCTACACAAGCAGCTATATGAGCACCAGCCAAATAAGGTCATCCTACACAAATAGCTAGGTGATAGCACCAGCCAAATAAGGTCATCCTACACAAGGAGCTATAGCACCAGCCAAATAAGATCATCCTACACAAGTAGCTAGGTGTTAGCACCAGCCAAATAAGGTCATCCTACACAAGGAGCTATAGCACCAGCCAAATAAGGTCATCCTACACAAGTAGCTAGGTGATAGCACCAGCCAAATAAGGTCATCCTACACAAGTAGCTAGATGATAGCACCAGCCAAATAAGGTCATCCTACACAAGTAGCTAGGTGATAGCACCAGCCAAATAAGGTCATCCTACACAAGCAGCTATAGCACCAGCCAAATAAGGTCATCCTACACAAGTAGCTAGGTGATAGCACCAGCCAAATAAGGTCATCCTACACAAGTAGCTAGGTGATAGCACCAGCCAAATAAGGTCATCCTACACAAGGAGCTATAGCACCAGCCAAATAAGGTCATCCTACACAAGTAGCTAGGTGATAGCACCAGCCAAATAAGGTCATCCTACACAAGTAGCTATAGCACCAGCCAAATAAGGTCATCCTACACAAGTAGCTAGATGATAGCACCAGCCAAATAAGGTCATCCTACACAAGTAGCTAGGTGATAGCACCAGCCAAATAAGGTCATCCTACACAAGCAGCTATAGCACCAGCCAAATAAGGTCATCCTACACAAGTAGCTAGATGATAGCACCAGCCAAATAAGGTCATCCTACACAAGTAGCTAGGTGATAGCACCAGCCAAATAAGGTCATCCTACACAAGCAGCTATAGCACCAGCCAAATAAGGTCATCCTACACAAGTAGCTAGGTGATAGCACCAGCCAAATAAGGTCATCCTACACAAGTAGCTAGGTGATAGCACCAGCCAAATAAGGTCATCCTACACAAGTAGCTAGGTGATAGCACCAGCCAAATAAGGTCATCCTACACAAGGAGCTATAGCACCAGCCAAATAAGGTCATCCTACACAAGTAGCTAGGTGATAGCACCAGCCAAATAAGGTCATCCTACACAAGTAGCTATAGCACCAGCCAAATAAGGTCATCCTACACAAGTAGCTAGATGATAGCACCAGCCAAATAAGGTCATCCTACACAAGTAGCTAGGTGATAGCACCAGCCAAATAAGGTCATCCTACACAAGCAGCTATAGCACCAGCCAAATAAGGTCATCCTACACAAGTAGCTAGGTGATAGCACCAGCCAAATAAGGTCATCCTACACAAGTAGCTAGGTGATAGCACCAGCCAAATAAGGTCATCCTACACAAGGAGCTATAGCACCAGCCAAATAAGGTCATCCTACACAAGTAGCTAGGTGATAGCACCAGCCAAATAAGGTCATCCTACACAAGTAGCTATAGCACCAGCCAAATAAGGTCATCCTACACAAGTAGCTAGGTGATAGCACCAGCCAAATAAGGTCATCCTACACAAGGAGCTATAGCACCAGCCAAATAAGGTCATCCTACACAAGTAGCTAGGTGATAGCACCAGCCAAATAAGGTCATCCTACACAAATAGCTAGGTGATAGCACCAGCCAAATAAGGTCATCCTACACAAGTAGCTAGGTGATAGCACCAGCCAAATAAGGTCATCCTACACAAGTAGCTAGGTGATAGCACCAGCCAAATAAGGTCATCCTACACAAGTAGCTAGGTGATAGCACCAGCCAAATAAGGTCATCCTACACAAGGAGCTATAGCACCAGCCAAATAAGGTCATCCTACACAAGGAGCTATAGCACCAGCCAAATAAGATCATCCTACACAAGTAGCTAGGTGATAGCACCAGCCAAATAAGGTCATCCTACACAAGTAGCTAGGTGATAGCACCAGCCAAATAAGGTCATCCTACACAAGTAGCTAGATGATAGCACCAGCCAAATAAGGTCATCCTACACAAGTAGCTAGGTGATAGCACCAGCCAAATAAGGTCATCCTACACAAGTAGCTAGGTGATAGCACCAGCCAAATAAGGTCATCCTACACAAGTAGCTAGGTGATAGCACCAGCCAAATAAGGTCATCCTACACAAGTAGCTAGGTGATAGCACCAGCCAAATAAGGTCATCCTACACAAGTAGCTAGGTGATAGCACCAGCCAAATAAGGTCATCCTACACAAGTAGCTATAGCACCAGCCAAATAAGGTCATCCTACACAAGTAGCTAGGTGATAGCACCAGCCAAATAAGGTTATCCTACACAAGCAGCTAGGTGATAGCACCAGCCAAATAAGGTCATCCTACACAAGTAGCAAGGTGATAGCACCAGCCAAATAAGGTCATCCTACACAAGTAGCCAGGTGATAGCACCAGCCAAATAAGGTCATCCTACACAAGTAGCTAGGTGATAGCACCAGCCAAATAAGGTCATCCTACACAAGCAGCTATAGCACCAGCCAAATAAGGTCATCCTACACAAGGAGCTAGGTGATAGCACCAGCCAAATAAGGTCATCCTACACAAGTAGCTATAGCACCAGCCAAATAAGGTCATCCTACACAAATAGCTAGGTGATAGCACCAGCCAAATAAGGTCATCCTACACAAGTAGCTAGGTGATAGCACCAGCCAAATAAGGTCATCCTACACAAGCAGCTATAGCACCAGCCAAATAAGGTCATCCTACACAAGGAGCTAGGTGATAGCACCAGCCAAATAAGATCATCCTACACAAGTAGCTAGGTGATAGCACCAGCCAAATAAGGTCATCCTACACAAGTAGCTAGGTGATAGCACCAGCCAAATAAGGTCATCCTACACAAGTAGCTAGGTGATAGCACCAGCCAAATAAGGTCATCCTACACAAGTAGCTAGGTGATAGCACCAGCCAAATAAGGTCATCCTACACAAGTAGCTAGGTGATAGCACCAGCCAAATAAGGTCATCCTACACAAGCAGCTATAGCACCAGCCAAATAAGGTCATCCTACACAAGTAGCTAGGTGATAGCACCAGCCAAATAAGGTCATCCTACACAAGTAGCTAGGTGATAGCACCAGCCAAATAAGGTCATCCTACACAAGTAGCTAGGTGATAGCACCAGCCAAATAAGGTCATCCTACACAAGTAGCTAGGTGATAGCACCAGCCAAATAAGGTCATCCTACACAAGTAGCTAGGTGATAGCACCAGCCAAATAAGGTCATCCTACACAAGGAGCTATAGCACCAGCCAAATAAGGTCATCCTACACAAGTAGCTAGGTGATAGCACCAGCCAAATAAGGTCATCCTACACAAGTAGCTAGGTGATAGCACCAGCCAAATAAGGTCATCCTACACAAGTAGCTAGGTGATAGCACCAGCCAAATAAGGTCATCCTACACAAGTAGCTAGGTGATAGCACCAGCCAAATAAGGTCATCCTACACAAGGAGCTAGGTGATAGCACCAGCCAAATAAGGTCATCCTACACAAGGAGCTAGGTGATAGCACCAGCCAAATAAGGTCATCCTACACAAGTAGCTAGGTGATAGCACCAGCCAAATAAGGTCATCCTACACAAGTAGCTAAGTGATAGCACCAGCCAAATAAGGTCATCCTACACAAGGAGCTATAGCACCAGCCAAATAAGGTCATCCTACACAAGTAGCTAGGTGATAGCACCAGCCAAATAAGGTCATCCTACACAAGTAGCTAAGTGATAGCACCAGCCAAATAAGGTCATCCTACACAAGGAGCTATAGCACCAGCCAAATAAGGTCATCCTACACAAGTAGCTAGGTGATAGCACCAGCCAAATAAGGTCATCCTACACAAGTAGCTAGGTGATAGCACCAGCCAAATAAGGTCATCCTACACAAGTAGCTAGGTGATAGCACCAGCCAAATAAGGTCATCCTACACAAGTAGCTAGGTGATAGCACCAGCCAAATAAGGTCATCCTACACAAGTAGCTAGATGATAGCACCAGCCAAATAAGGTCATCCTACACAAGTAGCTAGGTGATAGCACCAGCCAAATAAGGTCATCCTACACAAGTAGCTAGGTGATAGCACCAGCCAAATAAGGTCATCCTACACAAGTAGCTAGGTGATAGCACCAGCCAAATAAGGTCATCCTACACAAGTAGCTAAGTGATAGCACCAGCCAAATAAGGTCATCCTACACAAGGAGCTATAGCACCAGCCAAATAAGGTCATCCTACACAAGTAGCTAGGTGATAGCACCAGCCAAATAAGGTCATCCTACACAAGTAGCTAGGTGATAGCACCAGCCAAATAAGATCATCCTACACAAGTAGCTAGGTGATAGCACCAGCCAAATAAGGTCATCCTACACAAGTAGCTAGGTGATAGCACCAGCCAAATAAGGTCATCCTACACAAGTAGCTAGGTGATAGCACCAGCCAAATAAGGTCATCCTACACAAGTAGCTAGGTGATAGCACCAGCCAAATAAGGTCATCCTACACAAGTAGCTAGGTGATAGCACCAGCCAAATAAGATCATCCTACACAAGTAGCTAGGTGATAGCACCAGCCAAATAAGGTCATCCTACACAAGTAGCTAGGTGATAGCACCAGCCAAATAAGGTCAAGTAATCACACCATAAAATTGTTACAAAAAAATATCACAGTGTTACAACATGAATAACAGTTATTATATTTTTAAAAAATGGGCTTGTAACATTTCATTTCAATGTTAACAGAACAGTTTTTGCTTATTAGAGAAATAACATTTTGAGCATGTCAATAAAATGTAAGTGACAAGCCACTTTAAACTCAACATATCAAAGAGAATATTTTAAATATTCAATTTTATTACTGATCAAAAACGTCTGATTAATGAGCTTGTGCCAAAAGCATTGTTAAAATAAAAATTAAAAAAATTAATTTAAAAAATGATATAAATAAAAGCAATGTCATACAGCCTGGTTTTTCTAGGGAGACAGGCAGCTACTAGGGCAATGAATTTCAGGGGTTGATACAATCCATAGAGGCCTCCAGTTCTCCCCAATTTATGTTAGGTACCCGCTGTAGCTGAGTGAGCAGCATAACATCCCAGGGATCTATGTTGGGATCATGTCTTGACCCTAAGGTCATCAATCATGGGATGACCACAACAGTACCCAATAAAATTGTTATTGTAAACATTATCAATGTAGAATGACCACATTAAAATTTGTGGTTAAAATAGGCAGTTTTTTTAAAGATGAAAAGAAATGAAAGCCAAATGTTAATGTGCTTGGTGGAGTAAACTAACTTTAGTATGTGAAGACTGGAGTTACCAAACTTTGTGCTGGAGAGTTATCCTACTTTTTGTTTAATAGTCTATGCAATGGGTAGTTCCTTAACTTCCATTTTTGTACAATGGTATTCTCTAACTATCCAATATACAATCATCTAACTTTGTGATGTGATATTACCTAACTTCTGTGTTAGTTGGCTCTAGTTGTCTAACTTGTGTGTGTATGTTGGAGAGTTATCTACCATTAGAGCAGGCGACGGAGAGTTATCTATCTTGATATAAGATCAAAACCCAGCAGATTCTCTGCAATGATGCCACTTAGTGACAGAAGCTTGAAGGGGGGATGTTTGCAGATTTCCTCAGCGTGGGGGATGGAGTTTGTGATCCAGAAATGGGTGAACTTGGGGTCATCCTGCGTGAACTTTTTCCACGACTGGCCAGGGAACACTGGATGTGTCACGTAAGCACTCAGTGCGATGGCGCCAAGATCCAGCAGAACCTGCCAGAACAATTTACAGAAAATTTAAAAAAAAATTTTTTTTTTTAAATCAATGCCTGAAGTTTAATAACAAAAACGTTAATATTCTAACTATACATTTCTAATTCATATTTCAACTAAAAATACAAAAATACTTTTTAATTGAAACTAAAATAAAAAGTAAATGACCAAAAAAAAAAAACTGAGATGGATAAAAGTGTTTTAGCACCTTGCCACATTCCCTCAGTGTCCCGCCTGTCTGAACCAGATCATCAACAATAACCACATGCTTGCCACTGGGGTCACCTGGTAGAGTAAATGTGGCACTGATAAAATGTACACATATATTGTTTTTTTTCTTCAGCTTCCATGTTTTTTAATAACCCATGTAGACCAGAGTTGCCAGATTGGCACAAGGATTTGGTAGTAACACAAGAGATACAAACATCAACAACAGTGATGATCATGGAGCAGTGAGGTCAAACAAAAAAGAATTTCATGGATTACATAAAAGTCTCAAATTCTTTTTCCAGGATTTAGTCCATATGATATCATAAATTCAACCAGTTCTGATGAATATCTAGTTCTATCTATATATATAATTCTCTTCTTGGAGAAGTTACAAAACACCAAGCTGTAAGCGCGCATAGCAGTCCCCTCTCTGGTCTGGTGAGCTGTGGTTCACGTTAAATGTTTACAATCTTAGAGCCGGGTTTAGTGACGCCTATTAGGGGCAGATAATTTAGTTTGAAACTATTTTTAACTTAGGGGAGGTAACTAAGAAAAGGCTGCTTTCACAAGGGGGGGGGGGGGTTGGGGGAAAGGAGGGTTTTAGTGTTTTAAAGCAAATATTTTCAGTGGCAGCATTCAAATTATGAATGACTGAAAAGTAGAAAATAAAACAACTAAATAGCGCGTATGATTCGCAGCGAGTCGGCTCGTTAATGTAAATAAAGCTGGCTATGTATAGTGCTGACATAACTCCTTATGTGCAGATGTAACAGAATTAAAAAAGTTCATTCTTCATATAAAACAAATATAACAGCAAATATTACAGAAAAAAAATATTTAAAATGAATCCCTTACCATCTTTAACTGTCACAATTTTCTTGTTGCCCTCCATTCGCTTCTTGGCACAGATAATTAATTTGTCATCGTCAGGAAACATGAAGTGGAACCTCTTGTAGGCCCCGTCATCAGGGAAGGCAAACATGATGTTGTCTTTATCTGGCAACTGGGCCAGGGCTTTATCTAACAGGGTGACAGCAGTTTCTAGCCTGCAAGTGAACATAGGCAAACATGATGTTGTCTTTATCTGGCAACTGGGCCAGGGCTTTATCTAACAGGGTGACAGCAGTTTCTAGTGTTTTTCTAGTGTTTATTTAAACACTATTAAGGTTGTATCAATACATTCTCAAACATTCAATATTTAATTGAGATGTAGAGGAAAGAGAAAATATTCAGGTTAACAAAAATAATTTTATCAAAGATATTTTTACACTCACTAGATTGGTCGTAATTTTTATACACCACAGTGAAAACTGTTAATAATATTGCAGGAAGTTTATAAAATTTTTAATAATGTAAAATTTATCCTGAACATAGCATCACTTCAATATACAGTTTGGATGTGAAACCATTGTAATATTGTTAAAACAAAATAACCATCCCTACCTGGGTATAACATTGTCTGAGAAATAAAATCTTTCTTGAAGTGCGTGAATATCATAAATAATAATTTGTGCTGGTCCTCTCGCACTTAATGGAATAGATGAAAGTAATGTCGCCAACGTCTAACAGAGGAAAAAAAAGACATTTTACACTCACAATACAATGGTACCAAAATTTAATATAAAATGACAGCTAATAAAAAATAATTAGCTTATAATAAGACAATGGTACCAAAATTTAATGTAAAATGACACCCAATTAAAAAATAATAAGCTTATAATAAGACAATTGTACCAAAATTTAATGTAAAATGACACCCAATTAAAAAAATATCTTATAATAAGACATTGGTACCAAAATTTTATGTAAAATGACACCCAATTAAAAAATAATAAGCTTATAATAAGACAAAGGTACCAAAATTTAATGTAAAATGACACCGAATTAAAAAAATAATAAGCTTATAATAAGACAAAGGTACCAAAATTTAATGTAAAATGACACCGAATTAAAAAAATAATAAGCTTATAATAAGACAAAGGTACCAAAATTTAATGTAAAATGACACCCAATTAAAAAAATAATAAGCTTATAATAAGACAAAGGTACCAAAATTTAATGTAAAATGACACCGAATTAAAAAAATAATAAGCTTATAATAAGACAAAGGTACCAAAATTTAATGTAAAATGACACCGAATTAAAAAAATAATAAGCTTATAATAAGACAAAGGTACCAAAATTTAATGTAAAATGACACCCAATTAAAAAAATAATAAGCTTATAATAAGACAATGGTACCAAAATTTAATGTAAAATGACACCCAATTAAAAAAATAATAAGCTTATAATAAGACAATGGTACCAAAATTTAATGTAAAATGACATCCAATTAAAAAAATAATGAGCTTATAATAAGACAATTGTACCAAAATTTAATGTAAAATGACACCCAATTAAAAAAATAATAAGCTTATAATAAGACAATGGTACCAAAATTTAATGTAAAATGACACCCAATTAAAAAAATAATAAGCTTATAATAAGACAATGGTACCAAAATTTAATGTAAAATGACATCCAATTAAAAAAATAATGAGCTTATAATAAGACAATTGTACCAAAATTTAATGTAAAATGACACCCAATTAAAAAAATAATAAGCTTATAATAAGACAATGGTACCAAAATTTAATGTAAAATGACACCCAATTAAAAAAATAATAAGCTTATAATAAGACAATATGGCTGAGTGAGATAACCCATCACAGATTGTTCCATCAGTACATAAGGGGTAAATGAATCCACCTAGCTTTGAGGGTTAGCCTCCCCCTGACTTACATACTTACACACACCGATATGTGTACAGGATTATTATGAAGTCACAACAACTAGATAAAACTCTGAATACATAACCTCACATGCCCAGCGCCCACATCACAGAAAGAAAGTTCTGGAATGTTATAATTCTGTGTGAAATACTGACCTTAGCCGTGGCGATCTGTCCTTCAGTGTCCACTCTCTCCATGGTCCCAGTGGGGAAGTAGGGAAGAATAAAGTGGAATGACCTTGACAGGTACCTAATTTAAGAGAAAAATAAACATGGGTTGGATATAAAATAACATGTATGTTGTTGAGGGAAAAATAACTGAATAAAACATTTTCAGGTTTGATTTTTTCTTTAATCGTTAGGATGGGGTGTGGAGATAGTGATACAAGCATACTATTCTACAACTAGCAATGCAATTTGTATCAACAATTACATTCAACAGTTTCCTTTCATGATCATCTCATGACTTTCAGCATATCTATCCACTTACAGACCACTCGACCAGCAAACTCTTTATCCATACAATTTATCACAAATGGTCCACTTGTTTTTCAACGATGTCATATTTTTATAAAATTTCACTTTACACGTCACTCCACAACCAACTCATGTACACAACTTATCTAGTGCTATAGGACACCCCTTTCCTATTTTATATCATTTCCAACTCAAAACCACACTCTACTTCCACTACCTGACAGTGAGTTACCCTGACAGCCACACTCTACTTCCACTACCTGACAATGAGTTACCCTGGGAAACCTGACAACCACTCTACTTCTACTACCTGATAGTTTACCTGAGGAAACCTGACAACCACTCTACTTCTACTACCTTATAGTTTACCTTAGGAAACCTGACAACCACTCTACTTCCACTACCTGATAGTTTACCTTGGAAAAGCATACAGCACTGAGAGTTGCTCAAACACTATGGCAGGTGAGTGGAAGCTTCCAATGAAAATAACTGCGGAGAAAAAGGTTCTAAATCAAGTACATACAAGAGTCAATAATACCATCCTCGAGTAATCTTTGATCCAGTCAATTTCCTATTCTTTTGAACACTTGCTTCATTATAAAAAAATCTATTATGGTCTTTTGGGAAAGCTGCTGTTGGCTATATAAAAATGAAACATAGACTATAGTAGATTATGCATAGAGATGTGGCCAGACTTGAACTCTGACCAAAATAGCATTAACTAACTTCTGTATTTCTTAATACATAAATTTTTTCAGCATTGAATAAGCAACACACACATGGACAATGACACAGACGATTGGTAACTTTTTTTGATAAATATTTAGGAATGATAACAATGATTCAGTTTGTAGCCCCAACATCTTTATTTACCATCAACCTGATTACCATCAACTTAACTACCATCAACCTGATTACCATCAACTTAACTACCATCAACCTGATTACCATCAACTTAACTACCATCAACCTGATTACCATCAACTTAACTACCATCAACCTGATTACCATCAATTTAACTACCATCAACCTGATTACCATCAACTTAACTACCATCAACCTGATTACCATCAACTTAACTACCATCAACCTGATTACCAACAACTTAACTACCATCAACCTGATTACCATCAACTTAACTACCATCAACCTGATTACCATCAACTTAACTACCATCAACCTGATTACCATCAACTTAACTACCATCAACCTGATTACCATCAACTTAACTACCATCAACCTGATTACCATCAACTTAACTACCATCAACCTGATTACCATCAACTTAACTACCATCAACCTGATTACCATCAACCTGATTACCATCAACTTAACTACCATCAACCTGATTACCATCAACTTAACTACCATCAACCTGATTACCATCAACCTGATTACCATCAACTGAACAACTATCAACCTGATTACCATCAACTGAACTACTATCAACCTGATTACCATCAACTTGATTACCATCAACTTAACTACCATAAACTGAACTACCATCAACTTACCATCTTTCCCAGCCATATATTTCACATCCTCAATGAATAAATTGGGAAATCCGTCTGCAAAATTTTTCCACTGAATTGTGTCCCTGAACTCAACTTTTCTGATTGGTGTTTGACTCTTATGATTCTGGTGTAGAGAAATACATTAGATACTCTAAGTATTAATTTCCAAGATTGGTGTTTGACTCTTTTGATTCTGGTGTAGAAAGGTACATTTCTAATTTTTTTAAAATTATTTTTATATTTAAGTACAGATAACTTTTACTTCATTTTGCAATTTAATTCTTTAATTTTCAACAAATTAAAATCAAACGGTAACCAAAATAACAAAATAACACATAAGCTTATTTTTTTCATTGAAAACAATGAATTACTCTGCTTTATAAAAAAGAAAGTGTTTAAATGCAGTAGATTTTTATAAAAATGTATGTTGCATGGAATTTCAAACATAAAAAAAAATATTACTTGTTATTTCATTAAAAAACTTGTGGTTCACAAACATTAAAAAAAGGTGGATGTTTGGGAAACATGCAAATGACAAGATTTATGCAAGCAACCACTCAAAAACATCTATTAGTATCCATCTGAACTCATTAACCACAAATTCACAAAAAAAACTGGCCACTTGAAATAGCTTTGGGTTTAGGCCTACATTGGTTAACCTGTTACCAATCCAAAGAAACACAAACAAAAAAAAATGCTACAAACCAAAGCACACATTAGATCATCACAGGGTCTAGTAGGCCAATTGAATTAAAATTGTTTAGGTATAAATTATAAATACACATTCACACACAAAACTTACATTTTTTCACTGTTAAAAAAATGTATATAGGACTACATTAGGATAGTAAAATGTGTTTGCCACAGCTATTCAAAGGATATTTATAAAACCAATTCACTTTTTTAAAAAACACAAAATAGAGGCCTATAAGCCAAGTTGAAAATTAATAATCAAGCAACCTATTATTGAAATACAGTCATAGAGTATAGAAATATGTTTGCATTACTAAAACAAATATATCCAACAGCCTCCCAAGACCAAAACTAATAAATAACATTCATAAAAATTTTTAATGTTTCATACCTGACTTGGCTGATCTGCAGTAGAGTCAGGCCCACTGTTGACTCCAGAGTGGTTGGAAATCGACTCTTTGCGCCCCTTATGGCAACACTCTGAGATCTCCCTGGCTAAGTTATGCATGGTGGGGTGTGCATAAAGCAGTACCACGTCCACATTATCAAACGGTGACAGGCTCATAGTGATTCAGCTGGAGCTATTGTACAAGATTTAAATTAAAATTTTGCCACTGATTGTTTTTAAAATCATTTATTTAAAACAATGTTATTAAAACTGCAATGTCAAACATGCTGGCCCGTTTACAAACTTAAGGCTTAGATTAAGGGATATGCTGATCTCATTCTAAAAAATAATCATGATTTATGATTAGAATGATTAATGATTATCTTTATGATTTTATGGCATCTGCCAGGTTTGGTGAGAGATGCAATCAGTTGTGCTGTCATAAATCAAAATGTGTCTTTGTTTATAATTATTTTATCCTCTAGTTACACTTTAAAAACAATATTTTAAAATTTTATTTAGGCTAGGCCTACATTAAAAAAAAACATTTTAATAATTTAAGTTATAGGCCTAATAAATTTATTAAATAGGCCTTTGCGCGGTTCGCTCCGCGTTACGCGTAAGGCCGCCTTTGCGCAGTTTGCTTCACGTTACGCTTAATCTTTACCCTAGGTGGCACGCAATCTAAAAAAAAACAGATATCAGGACTGCCCGATTTTTTTTTTCGTGGTAACAATTTAATGTTGACATATATCTAGATCAAGTTTAAGTGTATTTAGATCTCTATATTATTTCAACACCTAAGAGTCTAGTACTTGTAAAAAAAACAGTACAGTGTAGTGTCAAGGAAAGTTTGTGAGGTCAGATGGGTCAGATGATAGTCCTAGATCTAGCAGCAACCTAGCTAAATCAAACTGTCCTTTAACCTTTAGGCCTAGCTGTCTAGCATGCGTGATAGTAGATCTAAGTCTATATTATTTATCCTACGTGAACTTAAAAAAAAATTCAATTTGCTTGAGGGGGAGGGGGTGGGAGGAAGAGAGAAGTGAAGACAAACGATCTCGTGTGAACGTCTATGACGTATGCTTTAGGCCTTCTGAACTCACAGTGACCTCGCCGACCGTGGGCCGTGGTGGGATTTTCCACTCATGCGATAGTAAATGTAAGGCAAGCAATCACGACAGTGACGATGTTTGGAAATTTTATTTAAAAAAAAAAAAGAATCATAGTCTACGTCATATTTTCTATATGAAAAAAAAATGTAAAAAAAAAACAAACTACTAAGGCCGAGCTAACCCCGGGTTCGAACTCTGAACTACGGGTCTATGAACTTCAGACAACAGCTGGTACACTGTTGACTCAACCACAGCGGATGTGATAGAAATGTTAAAAGTAAGCATTTTTAATTACAAGATGGCAAATCAAACCTGCCACGCTTTGCGAGACGCATAGTCACTTCGAATAATTTAATAAAGTTTGAAGTTCCAGAAAACAAGAAAAAAGTATTTTTACTTTGAGGATATTACACATTACACTTGTTTACTTTTGAACATGATACTAAAAGTAACTAGATCTAGATCTCTAGTAGTAGTAAGAACTTACAGTTTACAGTTGTCAGCAGTGAAGTTTGAAAAGTTTCTTACCACTCACACACCAGAGAGTCAGTTGTAGATAGAGAGAGAGAGAGAGAGACTGAGTGTTAGTTTCTAGTGGTAATCTATCGTTTTGGGTACGTAAAATCGCCCGCGACTATTAATGTACGAAAACGTTACCTCATTGTCAAAGCTGTAATAGAAGTATATTGTGATATGTTTGTGTCAAATATTATAGATAAATGAATAATAAACCTAAATCAATGGCTAAATATATCAATATAGGCCAGAAATTAACTTTAAACAGCAGTGTCTGCAAGCAAGATTTGCTATATAAACAGCAGCCATTTGAAAAATAGAGTGACTTCCGCCTGAATCTTGCGCTATAAGTCTATAAAAATAAAACTTAAACAAGATGGCTGCTATAGTAAATGAGCATGGTTGCATCTGTTGGAAACATCCCTGGTGTTCATTTATTACTGAAAAGTTTTAATTCAATTGTTTAAAAACAGGTACATAAATGTAGGGATTTTGGTAAAAAAACACTAATCATCATATAAAAATAAAAATTACATACTCTTGTAGAGCTCAACTAAATGAAAACAACACAAAAAAGATTTTCTGTCTAGCTCAAATAGTTTTTTTTTGGCGAATTTTTTTGTGAGGGGTGGAATCCCCTTGCTTTTGCATTGGCCAATTGTGACAAGTCATGGTATACCTGAATAAATTGAGCATAGTTATTTTACTTGCAGTTGTATTTTGTTCATATTTGCAGAGTTTAACTAGAATGATATATAGAACTTGTAAATGCTGTTGAAATTAATAAAAATAATACAGAACTTATATTTTTGTGTTGGCTTCCTCCCATAACCCCAAAAAACGGTGTGCTGCGCAAATATGAAAATGTTTCTAAAGCCATATTTTATATAAATACAGCAAATGAAAGAACTACAAAGTTAGAAATCTAAAGTAAATGACTTGAACACTGTTATGTGCATATAATTGCCTCATTATTTTGGGCAGGTGAAGTAGAGTCCATCTTCAAGCCATTTTGTTATAAAACTGCTGCGCAAATATGAAAATGTTTCTAAAGCAATATTTTATATAAATACAGTGAATGAAAGAACTCCATAGTCAGAAATCTAAAGTAAATGACTTAAACACTGTAATGTGTCTATAACTGCCTTGTTATTTTGGGCAGGTGAAGTAGAGTCCATATAAAAGCCATTTTGTAATAAGTGAAATGAAGTTATCAGATCAATGTTTTTATGTGTGAATTGTGTATGGATTCTGATTTTCAGCATATAACTATATCTAAGGGTAAGTAGAACTTGAATAGTTAAAATTACAGTTAGCACAATGCTAGTGTATAGCAACAGACAGGTAACCTAGATCTAGGTCTGACTCATGACTCATGTCAGTCTAGAGTCTAGTCTGACAAAATTGGATTTTTAGGAAAAACATATTCTGCAAAACTAGAACTAGAGCTGAAAAAATTAAAGATGGGTATGTAAATATATTTTGAAATAAAAAATTAGATTTGATTGCACATGCCATAAGAATGCTGTTATTAGTTGATCAAACTTAAAGGCAGGAAGATCGGGATGAAAAAATATAACAATGGTGGCAGCGTGACCTACATACAGTGACTACGTTCGGAGGGGTATAACTAATGTCGGAGTCAAAATATCCAAAAACAAATTTCATTTCCAATTACTTAAGATATGTCTGATCAGTAATCTACTCTCATCTAGAGGAATCTTTTAAAAAATCGAGATTCCAACGTATTTGAAACTAACCTTGATACAGAGGGAAGACCAAAGCAGAGACAGCATGCAATCAGGTCGCAAAGCCATTAAAACTAAGGGACAACCACTCTACTTTTTAATTAACCTTAGGAAATGACCTTTTAAACTTAATTAATTACCATAAATTAAAAACTTATTAGTATGCAAAACCAAATCTCGTGGGTCCGGTATCAGAAAGTAATGGGCGATTTCGGGTCATGTTTTTACCGCGAACTCGGCGGATGCCGACAACCCTAATAAATGAAACAAGGAAACATTTTTGTATTTTTCAAAACATAAATCCTCCTCAAAATGTGAAATAATTATTAAAATGTAAGGAGTCACCTGTTTTTCACATTACTAGTCGCGGGCGATTTTACGTACCCAAAACGATAGATTTAAATAGATTACCTTTCTAAACTAGTAGTAGTAGTATATCAGAAGTATATCTAGTTACTAGATCTAATAGTCTAAGTCTAGGGTTTATTAAAAACTGGCAAATAGCTTCTAGATCTAGATTTAGAATCCAGATCTAGTAAACCGTCGTGCAAATAATTTCTATTAATCAACTCCTTGAAATCTATAAATAAACAGCTGTGGTTTTCAAAGAAAGAATGTTTTTGTTTATATCTACAAATTAAAAAATGTAAACGGAAATGAATTTGTTAAAAACATAAATTTTATCTAGATCTAACAGCCAGATATGAAATAAATTATATATAGATCTAGAATCAAGATCTATGTTGAATGCGCTTATTTCAGAGATTGAAAACTAGTCTATAAGTATATATATATATATATATATATATATATATATATATATATATATATATATATATATATACATATATATATATATATCAATGTATATAAAAAAAGAATATACACTAGAGCAGGGGTTCCCAACCTTTTTGTACTTTAGAGCACATTCTAAAATATCGGTAGGGTGGCGGGCACAACCTATTTTAAATCGACAAACTCCTTCCAGAGGCGTAGCGACCGTTCCCGTCACCCGGGGACAAAAATTTCGATTTGCACCCCCCCCCTCCCCCCCACTCAAACTTTTGATTTCCATTCCCTTCAACCTTTCAATAATGTTTATGAAAAAAAAAATTCTCTGTCGAATAGTGAGAGGCGGGCACACACAAATCGCTCGGCGGGCGCCATGGCGCCCGTGGGCACAGGGTTGGGAACCCCTGCACTAGAGACACGATGTGCAACACTAATCTTTGACTAGATTGCGTGCTCCGGCACCCCGGCATGGTGCGTTTTGGCGCTCTGTGCTTTTCCGTGAGAACAATGGTGCCTACGTTCGTTCTAAATAGTGCGATAGACAATGGACAAGATGGGGCATTATAATCGCTTACTAAATCGAATCGGGCGCGTCTGTCGGTGTGATTAGGCGCCATGCACTATCCTGTGAGCACTTTGGCGCCTACGTTAGTTTCAAGGAGCGCCCTACAATATTGACAAGGCGGCACACAACATTCAATGATCAAATCGAGCCAGGGGCCGTACGCGGCGCCACTGTGGTAGTGTAATCAAGCGTCCCTCTGCGTTCTTGACGCCTGGGCGGTCGATGAAGTGTGTTCTACCTCACTATTACGGAGATTGATTAACGTACACTCAAGGCTTTCAAATTAAAAATAGGCCTATTATTATTTCCTGTAGATGTAGTATTTATATAGATCTAATCATCTAATGTCTGTCTAGCTAGGCTCCTATATGTATTTTAAATGTTATTAAGAGTGGATCTAGACCTAGAGCCTAGGTCGGTCTAGGCTTGGTCAAATGAATTTGAAGTGTTATAAAAAACAGTTAATAAAGAGTATTTAGCATCTTGGACTTAAGCATTCAAAACATTCTTTCAAAAAATGCAATTGATATTAAGCGACTGTGAAATAAAATTGATAATTTAAGTACTACTTAATTTAATGTTGATCCAAATTCACTAAAAATTCCAGTATTAATAAGTGATTAACAATTTTTCGTTTAAATCTGCCAAGCTAGTGAACAGTTTTCAGTTAGGGGTCGTCCATAAATGACGTCACACTCGTAGGAGGGGGGTCCGTAATTTTGTGACAATGTGTGATTAGGGGAATAGGGGGGGGGGGGGGAGTTTAGATGGTGTGACGTCACTTATTTGCATTATAAAAAAGCAATGTTAGAAAACGAGTTTTAACCGTTATTTCGCGTTTTAGAAAACGGTTTTAATAAATTGTAATAGAAATTGATCAAAATACTCTATGTTGACAGAGTTGACAAGATTTTGGAAAAATATCGATGTTTAAAAAAAATGCAACTGCAATTATGAGGGCGGGGGTGGGTTGTAGGCTGAGGTGTGACGTCAGTTTAGGGGAGGGGGTCTGGCTTTTGTGACGACGTGTGACGGAGGGGAGGGGGGGTAAAAATCGTCCAAAAAAGCGTGACGTCATTTATGGATGACCCTTTAGTAGTAGTTGCAGTATTAGTTATAGTTATTATTTAAAGGGAGACAGCTGAGAAATTATTTGTTGGTTTGGTGCCATTTATTTCATGAGTTGCTTCCCTTCATTTAATGACAATCGCGTGTTTTCAGTATCTATTACCTACCTTTTTTACATTAAAAGCTTTAAAAGAACTTAAAACTGGAGGAAAGGTTAAAGTCAATTTCTCTTTCAGAAATCACTCCTGCACCCCTTCCCCCCCCCCAAAAACACACAAAACAACAACAACAAAAAACAACTTCTTTCAGCAAGTCTACCATATCTGGACGAAACAAAAAGTAATTTTAAAAAATGCATACTTTTACCAGTGCCCCCCCCCCCCCCACTGAAAAATAAATGTTTTAAACCAGTGTCTACCACTCCTCAACTTTACCTCTTCCATACTTTAAGGTATAGCTATAGAGGACAGTGTGCTTGAGTTTGTATTTTTTAAAAACAAATCTTATGGAATAGGCATATATATATATATATATATATATATATATATATATATATATATATATATATCAGAGGCGTAGCGAGGGGGGGGGGGCGTGGGGGGACATATGTCCCCGGGCGCCGACCTTAGGGGGGCGCCAAATTGAAAGTTTGAGGGGGGGTTTGTCCCCGGGAGGGGTCGCTACGCCTCTGATATATATATATATATATATATATATATATATATATATATATATATATATATATATATATATATATTAGCATATATATGAGAGAGAGAGTAAATGTTCTCGCTGTATGTATTTAAAGGTAAAGTTCTCAAGTTAGTATACCGTCCCTGAGTCCACCCAACTCTGATGGGTATCTAACTCACGTTAGGGAAAGTAAAGGCGGCTGGGCATAGTGCTGACCACACTATCTCTTCATATGCCGAGGTCACAGAAACAAGTGAACTCTACTTCACTTGCCCCATAGACCGTCAGGTTTGAAATGGAAACTTTTACTTTTTTTTTTTTCTCTTTTGGATCCTGATGGCACTTAGAATTCACCTGTTTCTGTGAAGGGATGGTGTCATGGAATTATGCATCAGCTGACATCCCTAATAGATTGAATATGTCATGTGTTGCAATGTTCACGGTGCTATTAAAAAATGTTTATCTATTCGAATTTTAAAGGACTTTATACCAGTTACGACAGTAGCTGGGATAATTATTAATCCACAAAAATTACATTCAGCATTTATAATTTAACAGCAGTTACGGCTGACAGTAACAGAGTAATATTATGGTTTAAAACAAGTCAAACAGAATTAAAATTTGATCATTTGTTTATTTAATTTATCTGGCATCTCAGATTCACTATCTCACAGTGACCTATGAACTATGACACCAAAGGTCAGCTCTTTGAATTTAGAGTGCTCAGTTTTTGTGTCATTTTATTCACTGAATGTCAAACAGGGGTGGTGTTGGTAGTGGTGATGGAGGTGATGCTGATGGTGGTGGTAATGGTGTCACTTGGTTCACATCTGGGCTCAAAGTTCATTAAGGCATTCTTTAATAAAAATATAACAAACAAAACTGGTATAGACTATTGAGTATAAAAGTAAGAATTTAGGCCCTAATGATTTTTTTTTAGAAAAATATCTTCAAAATCCTTGTTTTTAACAGAACTAGACATTTAAGGTAATTCAAAACTAACCATAATATTAATGTCACTATATTTAAAAATCTCAAATTGAATTTTAAAAACTAAAATTAATGTATCGGTTTAAAAAAACATTTTGTTTCGGTTTAAAAAAACATTTTGTAGAATATATAAAGATTTTAAGTATCTGTGTTTAGTGCTTGTTAACCTGAACATATGGCCAATCTATGGGATTTTCTTCAGGTTCAAAGAAAAAATGGGTAGGAATAATTATACTTAAGGCCCAGTATGAGCCAAATACGGCTCTTATCTTTTGCCGCAGGCTACGTGTGTCTTTAATTTCCAAAGAACTTTTTAAATAAGCTTTCTCAAAGGACGTTAACCCCCATGCTATAAGACAGGTGTGTGCATAGATGAATGTCATGGTGATGGCATCAAAGTACAGCAGAAGTGTTAAAGTTGTCACAGTTAAGGCTGGAAGAAACGACTGGTATCCTAGAATAAATCTCATTATGGTGATCGGAAAAAATACATCGAAGTAAGACATATCTTGCCAGAGGTACCATGCAATATAGGGAAATCCATGGAGGGTTGCGTAGATGCAGCTAAGCCAGGCCCAGATTAAAAATACATAAAAGAATCTATGGTTGCGGTACCCGACGCAAGCACCAGCAAAAAAACAATGGTGGTCTCGTTTTAGGACACAGGTCCGACACACTGGACAGTGGTGGCAGCGTGGGGGGCGAGTCCGATTACAATCATAACAAGGCACCCAGGACCAGTATGGGTAGGTTTTAGTAACAACCTTCCCATTAGTTGTAATCACTGGCTTGGGCGAGATAATATCCTCAGTAGTGATGGAGTGTTGCTGCTGGTTTGAGTTTGAATCTGTGGTGACACTGATGAGATCAGCTATAGATCGGCTACTGATCTGTTGGTTAACCTTGTTCATCTCAGCATTGGCTTGAGCTGCCTCTTGTCCCAAGTCTCGTTGCTCCAACCCTGCATGCCCATTCGTGGAGTGAATGGATGAATCTTCAGTAATTAATGACATGAGCATAGCTGATGATGAATCTCGTTGGTTGATCTGTTAACACATTTTCAAAAATTCCAATTTATTTTACAGTTAAATTTTATTTATTAAAAATTTTGAAAATGTCCTTTAAGACTAGGTGGGCTGATATCTCAATTAAGGTCAAGTAGGCTATTTATTTGACCATGGCAAATAAAAAGATTTTGTGGTCTGCACAAGACTATCCTTTCACAAACCATCCCATAAGCCCTATTAACTAGCCTTTATATATTTTTAATGTCTGAAACTGTAGTTAAAGAATTGTATAATCAGTATAATGTTTAAAGTTGTAACTTTCATTTCATTCAGACAATGAAAGTTTAACATATCTTATTTTTAGATAAATATTTAGTTAATGTCTGAATGTTGAAATGGTTTAATAATGAAATTTTTATGAAATAGTTTCATTAAGGCACAGAAAAAATGTTGTCTCATTATTATTGAGTTTCAGCTCTTATGCACAAATTTAAATACATTTTTTTAGTGATGAAATCTTTTTCATTGGGTCTGAGATTAAAAATCACGACATTAAAAAACAATGAAATAAATTATCTTGCCTTTTGGTTAAGTGTATTCCCTGCTAAAGCTCTTTTCACTAATGGATCACCATTTTTGCAAATATACCATGAATAGGATGAATCAACATATCGAATACCAATCCAGTTGATCATGAGCTGAGTGGCCAACACAATGACCACTGCCTGCTGTACAAAAATGACCGTGTCATTGCCCTCGTACATCTGGGGCATCACATGGAACAGGCCAATTTTCAAAGTAGAGAAAACAGTAAATAGATATAATGGAACTGCTATTCTGAAATAGACATTTAAAAAAAAATGGTAACCACAAAGAATTAACATTAGGGGTGGATTATCTCCTAAAGAGATTACTTGATTTACCCCACACACCATTTAGTAAACTTCATCAGAAATACATATCCCACCACCCTTCCTAAATAAACTAGATCTAGTCAAAGTTATCATTCTCTAAAAAAAAAATAACTGTAATTCTAATGAAACACAACATTTCTTTTTTTTCTTTTAAAAAAACACAAAAAGTATATTACATCACTTTTCTTAACCTTCCCTTCCCACCCCACAACCCTTCCTGAGCTCCCCCCCCCCCCCACCCCAACCAGAGTTTCTTTTTGGCACCTCTTCAGTGCCCTGTCCCTCTGGAGCATGTCCACCACCCCTCTGGTTGAAATGAAAATATATATTTACGAGAAAAATGGCCCGTTGAGGAAGGATACAACGGGCGCTAGGCTGATAGTGCTGTCTCTTTTCTCTAAACTAAACCCCCCCCCCCCCACACACCCCCCACCCCCAAAAAAACATGTCTACCGTCCCATTCAACGAAATATAATTATATACTTTTTCCAGTGTCCGTCCCCTCCCCAAAAATTCTACCCCCGCCCCCGAAAATTTCAAGTACCCCCACCCCTCTCCGGGGAGGAAAAAGTCTGAAAGAAACACTGGTGTCGCGCTTAGCCACTACCCAAAGAATTGCATTAAAGAAATTGCAAGAAAACCACTTTTTAGATTAGACACATTAATTAGGCGGTAATTTTATTATAGAGTATCGATGAGGAAATTTCTTTTGTGTTGGGGAGGGGGGGGGGGGCTCAGACGTTCTTACGCGGGGGTGGGGCTTCGCCCCTACCCGAAGAATTGTATGAAAGAAACTCTTCACGCAAACCACTTAGATTAGACAAAATTGCCTTTTTATTCAATGTTTACTCGAGAATCAATGACGTCATATTACTGTGTGCACTCTCCGGCTTGATATTATTTTCTACTATACGACGTCATACTTCGTTTTCGTTTCACTGTGCAAGTTTTTAAATTGCTTGTGTTTTCTCTAGAGCGTTCTTGTCAGATAGATACACAGACAGTGAAACTATTAGTATTAATAGTGTGCCCTCCCCCCCCCCCCCCAAGCACAAGAAAGCTTTTAGTACCTTAGGTACTTTAAATCAGGGGAAAACATCAGGGGGGGGGGTGTTAAGTCCTGTAATGTCCTGCTTCCTTGAATATTTAACATGTATGTTGTATAGGTCAACAACTTTATTTAATTATTCTGGCCCCATTATTTTCTTTGGATGTCTGATTTTTTTTTTAAACATTTGAAACAGCACCTTCAGTAAATTTATAAGTTAAAGAAAGTGCTTGAGTAACCAAATGAATACTTTCAGTGTTCAAACTTTTTCTTTTAGTTAACTTAACTTGATACTTCTCCCCCTCTCCTCAACATCAATTTTATAACAAACTGTGTACTCCATCTCGTTGTAGATTTAACTTAACATCTTAGCAGTGTTAATTACATAAGCAACATCCTAATTGTCAGAATGTTAAGAGGTTCTCACCTGTTCACTGCTTCTGGGGTCAGTGGAGAACTCAAGGCTTGTAGTTTTGGTCGCTTAACACCTTTCTGGTAATGTGCTAGCAACTTTCTGCGCAAACTTTCCATTGGAGGAGGCTCTTTAGGTCCGGTTTCTGATCTATCCATCATTAGAGATTCAGGCTGGGATGGGCAGTCAGTATCATCCATTTTGAAGACTGTCTGTTTGAAAAGAGAATAATTCTTTAAGATCTACTTCTTTTTACAATTCTTGACTTTTAAGCTTATATAAGGATTTACAATCCATAACACATTTTTATACATCCATATATATGGATTAAAAATTAGTTATCAATTTTAAATCATGGTCTATACTTAATTGCATAATTTCAGGTATTTTATGCTCAAAAGGCATTACCTCCCTTCATTAACTTGATTGATAACTGATTGATTTATTTTTTAGATTTTTGTATTGATCTGAATATTGGCTGCTCCCACCCACTTAGAAATGCTGAGAATTGCCTTGTTGACATCAGCCCATATTAGACTGTATGGATTAAATGCTTTCTATCACAAAAAAGGTTAAAAATAACAAGGACCCTTGCATCCCCCTTTCTCCCCCACAACCTTGCAAAAGGTGTTCATCAAAATGATAAATTTCCCAATTAAAATAATGTTATTAAATACAAAAACAAATCAAAATTGAATGTTAATGAATGTGCTGCAAAAAATGTAACTGTGAAATCTATATTCAAATTAAAATAAGCATCCAAAATGTAATAAAAGTTTATTTTTTCTTTCAACCAGTCTTAGTGTTACAAAAGTTATTTGAAGCCTACTGACCTTTAAAATTGTTTGTTTGGAATTAAAATTATATTCTGATACTTCTTTTGACTAGTACTAAGGCTGTCTCTTCATTTAAAAAAGTATATTTGAAATGTTCACTTGCCAGTCTGGTTTGTAAATAAGTTATTTTCTTTTCAAGCCTGAAATTGAGGAAGGATTAAAGTGATGTGATAACCCAACCAGTATTACTGATAACAAGACCAAACCCTTAAGTCCTCATCCCCTCTTTAGATATTTAAATCTACTTGTGAAATGGTTTATTTTTCAGTTTTTTGTTTAATGGGTAACAACTGTTAACTCTTCATTTACCAAATCTGTAAGCCCAAGATCACTTTATGAATTACAAAATTCAGGAAAGTATAACTGATTATCCACCATTAGAAGAGAAAAACAGTTGTAGACCCTAATGGATTAGCCTAATGCTGTTTTTAAGACTCTAACTGGGTTTTCATATTGATTGTATGGATATTTAATAATTATAAATCTGTGGAGAAAACCAAATTCCTGTAGGCTAAATTTTCAACAAGCTAAGTCACTTGGCCTATGCCTTTATATTTTATATTTAATAGGGCTTAATAAAAGGCACTAGATATAGGCGTATATATGTTATAGAATCTGATATACCATACCCAAGTAGACTGGAAGAAACCATTCAATCCACTCAGAGTAGGCCTACCGTTTAAAAATGTATCATGATCTCATCATTAGAGGCATGACGGAGTAGAATTTATCACCTTTCAACTAGGGGGAGCACTGAAATATCGACTGATCAGTCTGGCTTGATTTGTTTGTTAATTATTAATTAAAGGAAGACCAGAATGATGGACGAAAATAAAATGCCACATTTCTAACTGTAACTAGATTCTAGATCTAGAAGCTAGTAATTAGTAATTACTTATTCATGTTGAAAGACCAGGGTATTTTTTACTATTGGTTGGTAGGCTATAACTATAGATTAGATCTGGATTCTTGATAGACTATGCACTATCCTATACATTATAGTATAATTATTATGTGTAATAATATGTATTATGTATAGTATTATAATAATACATATAAGACATATTATTTATTATATTACATATTATTTCACATAAGGGGTCATCCATAAATGACGTCACGCTTTTTTGACGATTTTTACCTACCCCCCTCCCCTCCGTCACACGTCACAAAAAGCCAGACCCCCCCCTAAAATGACGTCACACCTCAACCTACAACCCCCCTCAAAATTGCAGTTGATTTTTTTTTAAACTTCGATATTTTTCCAAAATCTTGTCTAAACTATTACAATTTGTTAAAACAGTTATCTAAAACGCGATATAACGTCTAAAATTAGTTTTCTAACATTGCTTTTTTATAATGCAAAAATGTGACGTCGCAACATCTGACCCCCCCCCCCTCCCCCTCATCACACATCGTCACAAAATTAAGGACCCCCCCTCCCCCTACGAGTGTGACGTCATTTATGGATGACCCCTAATGAAGTCGATTTGGATGGAGAGTGGTGATTGTCTAAATACGGTAAATAGGCTTGAAAACCAATGACAAAATATCACGCAACAAACTATGAGCAGCACTCACCCCGGGCTCTCGTCTTCAAGCTCAGTGAACCGTACTAATCAGTACACATTGATTTGAACTAAAATATTAATAAATTCGATGCGGCCAATGAGGGCACTTCAGCGGTGACCGCGGTCTGGCCTAAAATCTGTATATTAATTAACCGAAAGCAGCAAAACGTCTTTTCCATTAAAATCTTCGATCTACATCTTGAACATGTGACGCTTTTACTTTACTGGTCCTGGCCCTTAGGCTTACAATACACTCAACTGGATTACACACATCTTTGACAAAGGCGTCCATGGAAACGGGTAAATAATGAGCGAGATCAAGAAGTAACTCGTCTTGGGGAAAAAAAAAACACTAACACAGTTGTTACGGCTGGTTTGATTTTATTTTTATTAGGCCCAATAAAAAAAGTCACTACCTTGAGTACAGCATAAGTTACACTTTCAACGACTCCTTTTTCACATTTATTTTAAAATATTTTTATTTTATAAAAATGAGCATAAATGAACAATAAATAATTTATTATCGCTATTTTTCCCCTCTTGAATAACGCTAATCACTAATCAATGCATTGCTTCACATGAGTGCTTTCCCTTGTTCCACACTGCTCTTAAGAGAAGGTTGGTTGCTGTTTACAAACTTTTGGAGCTTCTCTATTACCCCCATGACCTAGCACGCAAGGGAGCATTTGCTCAAAGGTATAAAAGGCTCGCAGAGTTTCCTTCAAGTTCCAAATAATCTTAATTTTCTTAGGAGTTTACCGCGTCAGCTCTAGACTCGAGTCAGAACTTAAAAAATTGTCTTAGTCTTAAAATTTAAATAAATTGCTAGAGACTCTATTGACCTACTGGGTTGGCTACTACTACTACTACTATGTTTTTGCTATTAAAAAATTAACGTAAATTTAAAATTATAGATAGATCTAGATCCATAATTTAATTATTTATATATATAATATATAGATCTAATATACTAACACTTAATGATTGAGCTGTATTTGTAAAAGTAAAATGTTTAATCGGTTAATCAGTAAAAGCATTTATCAATATTTTTAGTATTTTAGTCTAATTAAAATTATTAGGCCTAGTAAAAATTAAATTGTTATAGTTATAATCAGTGAAGAATTCATTGTTTTAAAAATGCAAATCTCTTAATAATAAATTATAGGGCCTAATACTTAATAATCTTACATTATTGTAGAATGTAGACTTCTATTTTATATTTTTGTGAAAAAATAATTCTTGTACTAAACAAAACAATTGATTCTCTACAAAGTGAAATAGGCCTATAGACTATAGATCTCGACCCTACTTAGTTTTAATTTAGTATTATAAATTATTAATGCAGATAATGTCAGTATGGTAAAAATTTTAGGATTTACACATGATTACTTATACTTATTAAATTTAAGTTACCCTTTTGTTAAAAAAAACAGAACCATGCTTATGTTGAAATATTTTGGCTTTGTGTAATTTCTGGAGTTTTTATAATAATGCTATAACTTTTTTGCTACTAAGTTTATGTTTACTGGATATGCAGTACAAAACAAATGCCACATAGAATATAATTGCCATTTTATTGTTAAAAAACATTTGAACAGGCCTCTGTGAAACTTTATAATCACTTTAAACAAATCTTGATTATGGGTCCTTGTGATTTTGTGTTGTGTAAGTGTAACATATTTTAAAAGAGTTTTTCAATTGAGTTTGCCGTAGCTACATTTTTATGTATCACAGATAATAATTCAGTGATGATACTTCGAACTCTAACTTAAGGATTTAAGCCTCATCATCTTCAATTACTAGGGGAAGACGTGGCCTAGCGGTAGAGCGCTAGACTACTAACCCGAAAGTCTTGAGTTAGAATCCTGGTTCAAGTCAGTAGAACATCCCTTAGTCCAACCAGCTCTGATGGGTACCTAACTCACATTAGGGAAAGTAAAGGCAGCTGGGCAAAGTGCTGACCACGCTATCCCTTCATATGCCATGGTCACAGAAATAAGTGAATTCTACTTTACTTTCCCCATGGACCGACAGATTCAAAAAGGGAACTTTACCATTTACTTATCTTCAATTTCTGTTTAATGATAGGGGTACAACTGGTGCGGCAGAACAGTAATTTTCTATTTATTTCAATAAATGTCGTGGAGACGTTTTGCCAAATTTCTCACTCACGCTATTTCAGCTCATGGGGTCAACCTCGTCCTCATGCAAGACAGTGCACCTAGAGGCCTCACATCAGAGCCCAAAACAAAGCAGAATGGCATCTAGTTTCAATCATAAGAGGAAGATGAATCTCCCTGATATCATAATCACCCCTGAACCATACGACATGAACATGGATTATTCTGTGCCCCCGGCAACAGATAAAGACAGCCACGTGTCCGAAATAACCAACATCGATAGTTCAGTTACTTTAAAAGAGTCCAAAAATGGCATACTAAGTGAAAGTGAGATTAGGAAAAACCCAATTTCTAAAGGTAGGGGCATGTTATTTTGTTATTTCACATAAACATTCTATAACGATCAAGTATGCCCCGTGTATCATATTGTTTGTGCATTTATGTTGCTGTTCACAAATAAAGAAGTCAGGACAGATTCATTTTTTAAATTTAGAAGTGAGACCCATCTTAACACTAGACAGTTTAGCTTTTAACTTTAAATTTCTTACCCAAACACCTGCATTTTTATAGGATTTTTTTGAACCTTTAAAAGTTGCATCACACTATAAGAAAATTTTTTAGAAAGTTTGTTTTATATTTTCTTTATTTTAACAACATTTTCCAACATTAACATTTTTTAAAATTATTTTTTAGCAGATGAAGCCTCAACCAAAGGAGGCAAGTCAGCACCCACAAAATTATCAGAAGATGACATACAGGAAAAGAAGAACAGTTTTTTGGAGAAGAATGTTCAGAAGATGCTGTTGTTGCAGAAGACGGTCACTCGTGACGCAGTCCTAGAAGGTGCCCCATTCACCCATGACTTCAGGCAGTGCGTTCTTGTTCTAGCCAAATCTTACTTCAATTTCAAGGTTGGGGAAGTGCCGTACTCTGTGATTGCTGAACATAGAAACAATATCGGCCTTGCTCTCATCAAACACGGAACTATTCAGATTTTGTGTGATGCTTTGTCTGAATCATTGAAAAATATGGACTATATAACCAGTGAAGGAAAAATTTTGAATGATTTTTGGTTTCCGGTCAAAAACATGATTTTAATTCTATTAAACTACAGTGACAATCAGCATGAAATAAAAAATATCGTTACAAAGCAACAGAAAGTTTTGCAGCTTTTGCTGCAGTCTCTTCAAGCTAGGATGCAGCTACATATGGATAAAAGTCTTCCTGTAAGCCACAGTTTTGTTGTAGTTCTAAAGATAGCATGCTTGGTTCTTTAAAACCAAGGTGAAGAAAGAGTGGGACTATTGCAATGAAAGTAGTTAAAGCATTTTACTGTCTCTCTTTATCAATTTATACAAATATATCTATTGTTTTTCTGTTTTCTGAAGCATGAGATCAACAAAATGCTCCAGTGGTCCCTTTCAATCATTCACAACTGCGCAGTTAGAGAAGAGAATATTCCTACTTTGCGGGAATTGGGAGTCATCAAGGTTAAAGATCTAGATTCATGTTGTTCCGAGTTTTTTATTTATATTTTTCTTAAAAAGTCATTCCAATTAAATTATATCCTACAATGAAAACTACATTTCCTACAGTTAAAGTCAAAAGCTTAAGTTAATTTTTATAAAATTATCCCAATTCCACTGTTTCAAACTTTTTAATAATCCTTAATTTAATAGATTAGTATGCATCATATTTTTAATTTCTGATATATATTTTAAAAATCAGTATGCCTATGATTCCAATTCATCAGTATGTGTTTTTTCTTGCAGATTACAAGTCCATATCTTGACTCACATATGGAAACCATACGTTTATCCTCTATATCAATTTTAGCTGACCTAGTTAACGAGCAGGAAGCTGAATTGCTTGTTACTCACTCCTCACTGTTTAAATTCATTCTCAAAAAGCTGGACAATGCCCTGAAAGAGGAAAGTCATAAAGATGTGGGCTGGTCAGCTGAGGAATTAACCAGAGGTAACATTTAACTTTATAGACATGGTCTTTTCACCTCTGAACCTTGAACTTACCTTGAACTTATGAGGTTATATTAAACCAGAAATGGTAATAGCTTATTGAGAAGTGATGGGTTTAAATGCTAATTAAGGAGAACCAATTCCTAATATTGAAGTAGCTGTTTGCACAAATGAATCAATTCCTTAGCTGAATGAATTGCTTAGTGTTGACTTAAAATGGTGATTCAACTTGGATGTACTGTTGTAATGTAATGTTGCTCATAACTGACAGAAAGCATTGACCAGTAGATATATTTCATGCTGTAACAAATTATTTTAACTCACCTGATAGACTGCCATGTCTGAAATTACAAAGAAAAAAAAACCAACCACAACAAACATCTAAAACCCTCTTTGTAAACTTCATATTAATGAAAATAATTTGTGATTTATTTCCAAAAGCCATACGACAGCTAGCTCGTAATGATGCAAACAAAGAAGTTCTGGTCCAAGAGGGATGCCTTCCAATCCTTGTTAATCTTTTAAATGTTGGCAACGATGGTGAAACGAAAGGTGACTTATGTATTTTTTCATTATGAAATCGAATATGAAATCGAATGTGAAATCGAATGTAAGTTATATACTGAAACGTGACAAAAAATTTGCTACAAGTTCATACAACGATGTAGCATTGTTAGGTAAAATGATGATTGTTTGATTAATCAAAATAAAATAAAATGTTGTTGGTTTAAAATTAAACTAGCTTACGATTTTTTTTGTATTATGATTCAATTTGTAGATTCTGCTCCAGAATAATTTTTGATATTTTTAGATTTGACCCTTTCTCCTGATACAAATGTTAAGTTAAAAGTAAAGGAATTAATAGATTTAATATTTTTTGGCTGCAATTATATATACATATATATATAATAAGAAAATATATATAATAAATATTTTATTATTTTATTATTTATTTATTTATTCCTAAAATACATTTTTGTTCTAAAGTATTTAGAAGATATTATCCTGATATGATTTTGAATTTATGCTGTGCTCAAATACATTTTGCTACTTAGTCCACTCAGCAATATTAAGTACCATTCATGAATTGGAGAAGTCTTTTTGTTGGGGCCTGTTGACTACATCAGTACTCTAATTGTTGTTGGTTATTTTAGCCAAGGATTCCGATTAGTTTCTACAGCTATGCAGTGCATAAGAAAACTTGTGTATTACAGCTGTTAAAAAAATGTAACGGGAAGATTTTAATTCTTACAAAACTTACAGAGGCCATTAATGCACTGTGGGCACTTTCTTTCAACGATGAGAACAAGAAAAAGATGCTGGACGAGCCCAACCTAGTGGAGAAGGTGTACAGGATGTACTCACTGGCGGATGGTTCCAGAAAACAGGCCTTCCACGGGGTCCTGTGGTCTATCAGAAATGAATTAGCCGAGTCCGAGAAGTTCAAGGAAATTGGTAAGCCGTGGCGTCACTAGTTCGGGTGTCACATATTGCGGTCGTTACCCTTATCTTATGATGCAACTGGTAATAAATCCTAATCAAATTGGTATTTGCAGTGGGAAAAATTGTATGCATATTTTTTTTAAAATCCCAGATAGTAAATAGTTACAATTTCAACCAAACAGCTAAGGTCTACTTCAGCTAATTATTTCATTATCAAAAAAAATTTTGTTCTCTTCTTTTGTTGGTATGTTTACACTTAATTTAATTTAAGTAGACCGTATTTTGAAATGTAAGTCATAATTGTGATTCATAAACCCCCACTAGGGCTAGGGATTTGTAAAAGTAGCATAAGTCTGTAAGTTTTTTAAGAGAAAAAATATTAATTAGGGCTGGGTTTTTGTTATTTGTGATAATAGGGTGTGGAACATAAATGCCATTTAAAAACTACTCTCTTAAACAATTATTTTGTTATTTTGTGTTTCACTAGGGAAGGAAATCTTAACCCTGAGAACTGCAGTTACACCAAAAAAGGAGACTGCCTCATTTCCCCAGCCAGCTGACTCTTCTTTGTTCAAAGGTAGCTTCATGCTTAGTTGGTGCATTATGGGTAAAATTAACTAGACCTTTTCAATAAAAACTAGGCCTAACTCAGTTCAATTGAAAACAAACTTTGCAGGTCATGTGATGATGAGTTACCAATGGGCAAACCAAGATGTGATCAAGAAAATTTGTCATGAACTTCGAGCTAATGGGGTCCCTGTGTGGATAGACATAGACTACATGGGGGGCTCAACACTGCAGGTAGTCTTATGTGTGTGTGTGTGGCAAGAGAGTTAACACTGCCAGTAGTTGACAGAGTTTCTTTCAGGCATCTCATCATGGGAAGGTGCAACCAGTAGCGTAGCGAGCGGGGGGGGGGGGGGGGGGACGTGGGGGGGGGGGACATATGTCCCCGGGCACCGACCTTAGGGGGCGCAAAAATGGGTTGGAAAAATAAATTGAAAGGTTGAGGGGGGTGCAAATCGAAAGTTTGAGGGGGGGCGCAAATCAAAATCTCGAGGGGGGGGGGGGGTGCAAATAATAGAAAATTTGAGGGGGGGTGCAAATCGAAATCTCAAGGGAGGGGTGCAAATCAAAATCTCGAGAGGGGGGGGGGGGGGCAAATTGAAAAGTTTGTACCCGGGTGCCGGGAAGGGTCGCTACGCCTCTGGGTGCAACCCCGCCCCCTCCAAACAAATTTTAAAAAGATATATAATTTAGATAGAAAATATATAATTCAACTAGTGTTGCTTCCCCACCCCCACCCGGAAATTTAAGTCTGCTCAACTTCCCCCCCCCCCCCACCTCAAAAGTTTGGTGCCTCCCTCCCACTCCTTGGAGAAAATGTCTGAAAGAAACACTGGTAGTTAATGGTGGAGTTTGGTGGATATGGCATAGCTGCATTAGCCTACACAATTTGTGTGTGTTTGGAGGGGGTGATTTAGGTCCAGAATGGAATCAAAACTTTAATTAATTACATGGAGGGAGAGAGGGTTATTAATCAACGATTAATTGTGAGGAGGTGAAGGGGTGCCAAATCTACAATGAATTGCATGGAGGGGGTCTTTTTAAAAAACAACACCTCATTGCTACAGGGGTGGGTAACCCTGATTTTGGACCAATAGTTCAATTAGTTTAGAAAGAAATGTATCTAAAGAGAGCCTTGACCTCATAGACAGAAGTGTTATGTTGACTTCTCTAATGTTGTAGGCCATGGCTAAGGCAGTGGAGGATGCTAGTATTGTCATCATTGCCATGTCTCAGCTGTACAAGGATAGGCCCAACACAAGAGCAGGTAACTCTCAATCTTTTCTTTACTAGCAGTTTAAGGTCAGGTTAATCCCTGTGTTTTTTTTAGTAACAAATCAAAAGCAGGCTAATCTTGTTTTCTTTAACCCCCCATTTTACTTAACCACACAAGGGAGATAAACATCACTAAACTCTATAATATGCCTAATGCTAAAAGTGAAAGTTTTTATATATTTACTAACTTGCTTTGAACTTTGGTAAATCCTTTACAATTTTTATTAAATCCTTTAAAGAATTATTCAATCTCTTGAACGTTAACAAAATTTTCTACTTTAAAAACCAAACCTTTCATTTTTTACAATCCATATACAATGATATAGTTCTGGTTCTGTCCTTCTAATGTTTTTTTTTATCTGCAGCGTATTAATTTTTAGTAATAAGCAATTATTACATTAAATAAACCTTTTGGATAGTTGAGTTTTAGTTGCCTATATACTGTAAACAAAAATCTTCAAATTTGAGACATGAGTTAACTAATTACTGTATACAGAAGCTGAGTATGCCTTCCAACTACGCAAGAAGATTATTCCCCTGATAATGCAGCGAGGATATCGGCCTGATGGTTGGCTGGGCCTGATTCTAGGATCAAAGCTCTACTACGATTTCAGTGGCAGGCACCCATTCCAGACGCCGATGGAAGGTTTGTTGAAGGCTGTCTTGAAGTATGCTGACCAGGATACGACAGATTGTGTAGAACAGGTAGGCCTACATATTAAAAGATATTGATAGTGTTTCAAATGTAAAATTCCTACAAATGTTACATTCCTACAAATGTAACATTCCTACAATTGTTACATTCCTACAAATGTTACATTCCTACTAATGTAACATTCCTACAATTGTTACATTCCTACAATTGTTACATTCCTACAATTGTTACATTCCTACAATTGTTACATTCCTACAATTGTTACATTCCTACAATTGTTACATTCCTACAATTTTACATTCCTACCACTGTTACATTCCTACAAATGTATGAATGATTCTCCACAGCCAGCTGTTGCCAAAGTGTCGAGTGGCTTGTCTACTGTACCTCCCCCATCTCACCTGGCACTGACACCAACACAGTGTCAGCCCACACATCCCACAGTGCCTAGCGTCAGTGAAGACGTCAAACGCTGGACGACTGAGGACATCACAAAGTGGCTCACAACACACAAGCTGCAAAGGTCAGTTCTGAAATCATTCTGTGCTACTTATACTTTAGTTCTGAAATCATTCTGTACTACTTATACTTTAGTTCTGAAATCATTCTGTACTACTTATACTTTAGTTCTGAAATCATTCTGTACTACTTTTACTTTAGTTCTGAAATCATTCTGCACTACTTATAATTTAGTTCTGAAATCATTCTGCACTACTTATACTTTAGTTCTGAAATCATTCTGTGCTACTTATACTTTGAGTTACTAAATGATTATGTGCTTGTTATACAACCTAATATTTATTAAGTGTGTGTATCTTGTGCATGCAGTGCTTAAATCATTCATGGTTACTTCTTGCTATTTCTAAATCAGTCTATGTTACATCTTATCTTTCTTAAGTCTGTGCTACTTATTATATAACAAGTTAAGTCTCTGCTACTTCTTATATAACCAGTTCTAAACAAGTCATGTTACTTATAAAAGCAGCATTTTCATTATATCTGCAAGTGAAGTAACTGGTACAAAAAAAATCTGTTTTTTCCCCTCTCTTTTGCCTCTCACAGTAAATGTAAAAAAAAAAATCAATCACCTGTGGTAATAAATAAAAAATATTTTGATGTTCCTTCTCATTTAAAAAAATGATATTATTAAAGATCTGACATAATATTTTACAACATTAATACTTGACTAATTATTTTTCAGCACTAGTCTTCAGAAATTGAGTTTGGAAGAAATAATATTCTTATTTAATTTAAAATTTGAGGTTGGTTGTTTAGCATTTTTCTTTTTACAAAATTTGGCATTAAGATCATGCAAACCTGCAACATCATTTAACATTTACAACTTTTTATGGTTGGGTGGTTAAAATTTCAGTTTTTTCTTTTTTGTTGACTTATTCAAAATATTTTGTAGTTAACAAACGTAAGGACATGAGTAAACATTATGTCAGTTTAAGAGTTTTTATTTAACTTGATTCCTCGTCCTGCTTCATTATGGGAGGAAATTTGCGCACAAAATTGTACCCACTTCTACCAAACCTATTTGTTTCAAATAAATAAGACACTTGACCTAGGTTAAGATCTAATAACAGATCTAATTAAAGTTTGCTGTTTAAAGTAATTGGTGCTTTTAGTTGGCATGCACATTTTTTTAGTCATGCAATTTTCTCAAGGGGTCATCCATAAATGATGTCATGCTTTATTTGACAATTTTTACCTCCCCCTCCCCTCCGTCACACATCGTCACAAAAAGCCAGACCCCCCCACTAAAATGACGTCACACCTCAGCCTACAACCCCCCTCAACATTGCAGTTGAATTTTTTTTTAAACATCGATATTTCTCCAAAATCTTGTCTGAACTCTGTCAAAATAGAGTATTTTAATCAATTCCTATTACAATTTACTAAAACAGTTTTCTAAAATGCGAAATAACGTCTAAAATTCGTTTTCTAGCATTGCTTTTTTATAATGCAAAAGTGTGAGGTCGCACCAGCTGAACCCCCCCCCCCCCCTCCCCCTCATCACTCACTGTCACAAAATTACGGACCCCCCTACGAGTGTGACGTCATTTATGGACGACCCCCAATACTTAAAGATAAAAACAAATCTATGAAAAACGTTTATATTAACAGGGTATTAATAATTTATTGCCATTTTTAGGCTCCAGAATTTTTCTACCATTGTCTTGAGACCAAACTGAATTTGGTTCTGCTGCCTGATCTGGCCCATGCATCAAAAGCTTTTGAGGATCTAAAGAACTAATTGTTTCTTAAGTAAAGTAACTATTTTTATATCGATGAAACTTTAGAAGAAATGAAAACACCCTTTAATCTTTAACTGTTGTAACATTTTAAAATTTTTTTTAATTACTATAAAAACTCAGTACTATAAACATCTATTATTACTATAAGAATATATTAGAATTATAAGAATCTGTAAGCACTTTAATTAATTACTACAAAAATCTATTAGTATTAGTATTAGTACTATAAGAATCTATTAGTACTGTATAAATCTAGTGTAGCATATTATTTGTATCTATGTCACTGTTGGTGCTATAACACTCTATTAGCAGTATAACTATGTAAAATAGTAGTAGCATAACTAGTGACAAGGTGGTTGGATGGTAAAGCGCTCGACTGCTAACCCTAAAGTCCTGAGTTTGAATCCCCGACTAGAGTGTGTTGGATGTCCTTGAGTCCCAGAATCATGTTAGGGAAAGTAAAGGCAGTTGGGCACGGAACTGAGCACACTAAATGCAGTGGTCAGAGAAATAGGTGAACTCTACTTCATCTGCACTGTTGACCATTAAGTGTGTACCTGATTTTAAAGAATGACGAGTGAATACTTGTTTATAGAGTGATGAAGGGAATACTTTTTTACTTTCTCGTATATACGAAGTATAGAGAAAGTCTTGTAATCGTGCAAAAAAAAATCGAGATTTTTACAAATCTCGGCGTTTTACACCTCACTGATACGGAAAAACATAATTTTGCAATCTTGTCCGTATGTCTGTGTGTCTGTCTGTGTGTCTGTCTGTGTGTCCGTGTGTAAACACGATAACTTGAGTACCGTTACAGCTAGGTTGATGAAATTTCATATATAAGTATTTTATCAAAATCGTAGATCCGTATCAACTTTTAAGCGATTTCCGATAACCGGAAGTGGTACTTTTCCTACTTTGAATTTTTCAAAAGCCTATAACTTGAGTACTATTTCAGATAGATAAATGAAATTTCACATGTAAGTAAAAGATCTAATTCTCTACCTTCTGTTAAATTTTGAGTAATTTCCGTTGACGGGAAGTACTAATTTACGCTATTTCCGATTTCTCAAAAACGCATCTAAATTTATAAAGTACTAATAATATTGCGCACCATTATGAACATCTTTATTCGGCGTTCGCTTGGTGTGCAATACTTTTTTCTATGAGATTCTATTTTATTTTAAAAAGCTTATGTATTTAAAATGGATTAAAAATCATAACTATATTCCGAGTTCCCATCCCCTGTTGTTTTATATAAGAATATTCGAGAAAGTTTAGGGGAGATCACTCCCGGTTTATTAAAAAATAGAATGATGAAGTGAATACTTTTTTTAATAGAATGAAGTGAATATATTTTTTTTTTACAGAATGATGAAGTGAATGGACGAACACACACATGCTGTACTACAACAACTTATCTGGTGGTGACTAAACATATTCAGACAACAAGAGTTACTTGACCTTATCAATAGCAACAGTTGTCCTTAGGGAGTATTGTATTTTATGTGCCTTGATTTTTGTAGGCCATTGTATTTTGGAGATTACTGTGTATGTGTGGGGTATGATGTTTTGTAGGCTACTATTTAAGTAGAATTTCACAATGATCATTTATTACACTTTCACTTTATAAAGTGTGGAACCTTTCAAACAATTATTTTGCTCGTATTAATACGTAGTTTTATGTGTAAAAACAGTTAATGGCTGAACATTTGATATTGTGTGTCACGGCCAATGACTAAAAGTAGCAAACCAGGTGGCCATGAGTAGATTTTGGGTGTTTGTATACCTTTCATTGTCGTAAAGTAGATTGCTTGATTCTGCATACAAGAAGATGGTAAACTTATTCATTCCAAAGAGAAAATAAACATATTGATTTTAAAGAGAAAATAAACTTATTGATTTCAAGGAGAAAGTATACTTATTCATTCCAAAAAGAAAGTAAACTAATTATTCATTTTAATTAGGAAAACATTTCAAAATGTCAATTTAATTCTATTTGCTTGTTCAACTAAAATTTGAATGATTTAAATGTAAACATTCCTTGGGTTACACTACCACAAGGGTGTCAGCCTTTGATTCAAGTAGTACCCCAGATTCCCTGCGCAGGACGCCCAATCAGCAGACCCCACATGCTTGTCTCAGTAGATTGCTGGACATCCAGCTACACATTACTTACCAATTATGACAGACCTGACTTCACAATCAAACAAAAGTAGCATGAAATGTGTATGAAAATGTCAAGTAATCTGCAATTTAGGAACGAGTGGAATGCAGTTATAATTTTGTTGGTATTGTTTAGTCTGGTCATGGTGCGGTGGTAGGTCCACTCCATTTAGTATCCACCTTATGTTGACGATGAATGCTAGTTGATCTTATGTATTGATCATTTAATATCCACCTTATGTTGGGGATGTATGCTGGTTGATCTTATGTATTGATCATTTAGTATACACCTTATGTTGGGGACGTATGCTAGTATGCTAGTATTGATCATTTTGATCCACCTTATGTTGGGGACATATGCTGGTTGATCTTATGTATTGATAACCTTATCGTATGTCTATTATTTGCCTTATGATAATAGCATCCATTGCTGCATAGTCTTCTGGATGTTCCACCTTGGTGCTTAGTGAACATTGATTTTGTTCTGGGATGGTGGAAGATGGGGCTATATTTTGTAATGTCAGAAAACTAACTATGGAAGATGGGGCTATATTTTGTAATATTAGAAAACTAACTAGGATGGTGGAAGATGGGGCTATATTTTGTAATATCAGAAAACTAACTAGGAGGGTGGAAGATGGGGCTATATTTTGTAATATTAGAATACTAACTAGGATGGTGGAAGATGGGGCTATATTTTGTAATGTCAGAAAACTAACTAGGAGGGTGGAAGATGGGGCTATATTTTGTAATATTAGAAAACTAACTAGGATGGTAGAAGATGGGGCTATATTTTGTAATGTCAGAAAACTAACTAGAAGGGTGGAAGATCAGGCTATATTTTGTAATGTCAGAAAACTAACTAGGATGGTGGAAGATGGGGCTATATTTTGTAATGTCAGAAAACTAACTAGAAGGGTGGAAGATGGGGCTATATTTTGTAATGTCAGAAAACTAACTAGAAGGGTGGAAGATGGGGCTATATTTTGTAATGTCAGAAAACTAACTAGAAGGGTGGAAGATGGGGCTATATTTTGTAATGTCAGAAAACTAACTAGGATGGTGGAAGATGGGGCTATATTTTGTAATGTCAGAAAACTAACTAGAAGGGTGGAAGATGGGGCTATATTTTGTAATGTCAGAAAACTAACTAGGATGGTGGAGATGGGGCTATATATGTCAGAAAACTAACTAGGATGGTGGAAGATGGGGCTATATTTTGTAATGTCAGAAAACTAACTAGGATGGTGGAAGATGGGGCTATATTTTGTAATGTCAGAAAACTAACTAGAAGGGTGGAAGATGGGGCTATATTTTGTAATGTCAGAAAACTAACTAGGATGGTGGAGATGGGGCTATATATGTCAGAAAACTAACTAGGATGGTGGAAGATGGGGCTATATTTTGTAATGTCAGAAAACTAACTAGGATGGTGGAAGATGGGGCTATATTTTGTAATATTAGAAAACTAACTAGGATGGTGGAAGATGGGGCTATATTTTGTAATATCAGAAAACTAACTAGGATGGTGGAAGATGGGGCTATATTTTGTAATGTCAGAAAACTAACTAGGATGGTGGAAGATGGGGCTATATTTTGTAATATTAGAAAACTAACTAGGATGGTGGAAGATGGGGCTATATTTTGTAATATCAGAAAACTAACTAGGATGGTGGAAGATGGGGCTATATTTTGTAATGTCAGAAAACTAACTAGGATGGTGGAAGATGGGGCTATATTTTGTAATATCAGAAAACTAACTAGGATGGTGGAAGATGGGGCTATATTTTGTAATGTCAGAAAACTAACTAGGATGGTGGAAGATGGGGCTATATTTTGTAATATCAGAAAACTAACTAGGATGGTGGAAGATGGGGCTATATTTTGTAATGTCAGAAAACTAACTAGGATGGTGGAAGATGGGGCTATATTTTGTAATGTCAGAAAACTAACTAGGATGGTGGAAGATGGGGCTATATTTTGTAATATTAGAAAACTAACTAGGATGGTGGAAGATGGGGCTATATTTTGTAATATCAGAAAACTAACTAGGAGGGTGGAAGATGGGGCTATATTTTGTAATATTAGAAAACTAACTAGGATGGTGGAAGATGGGGCTATATTTTGTAATATCAGAAAACTAACTAGGAGGGTGGAAGATGGGGCTATATTTTGTAATATTAGAAAACTAACTAGGATGGTGGAAGATGGGGCTATATTTTGTAATATTAGAAAACTAACTAGGAGGGTGGAAGATGGGGCTATATTTTGTAATGTCAGAAAACTAACTAGGATGGTGGAAGATGGGGCTATATTTTGTAATGTCAGAAAACTAACTAGGATGGTGGAAGATGGGGCTATATTTTGTAATATTAGAAAACTAACTAGAAGGGTGGAAGATGGGGCTATATTTTGTAATGTCAGAAAACTAACTAGGATGGTGGAAGATGGGGCTATATTTTGTAATATTAGAAAACTAACTAGGATGGTGGAAGATGGGGCTATATTTTGTAATATTAGAAAACTAACTAGAAGAGTGGAAGATGGGGCTATATTTTGTAATATTAGAAAACTAACTGGGATGGTGGAAGATGGGGCTATATTTTGTAATATTAGAAAACTAACTAGGATGGTGGAAGATGGGGCTATATTTTTTAATATCAGAAAACTAACTAGGAGGGTGGAAGATGGGGCTATATTTTGTAATATCAGAAAACTAACTAGGATGGTGGATTGTTGTCTGCCACTAGGTCTGGGGACTATTTTAATGTTAGCTATTTATTGAATGCAACAGCCAGGGAATACACTACTCACTAACAGAGTTTCTTCCAGGCATCTCCAGGCCCCCCCCCCCCCCTGAAAAAAGTCTACCGCCCCGAACTAAATGAAATTTATATAGAAAATATATACTTTTGACAGTGTCCGCCCCCCCCCCCCCCCCAAAAAAAAAAGTCTGGAAGAAACACTGCTCACTAAGAAACCGATGCCAGAATAATTAAATGGCAACACAGTAACTTACATCAGACAATTTATTTTGTATATATATAGGTTTATTGATAGTTATTGATGATTTTATTACTTCATTTTATAAAAAGCTATAACGTCATTTTTACAAAACAAAATTTAAGCCTTCTGTGATCTATAAATACAACACGACTGTCACTTTTTAAATTGAACAATTTTTTTGTTTCATATTTGGTAATTTTTATTTTTATAATAAAAATAATTAATGTTATAATTCAAAGCTATTATTATATGAAATATTGCATCTAAGTGTAAGTTTAAATTTAATTTACATTTTTTTTTACGCTTTTAATGTTCAATGTTAAGAGAACCTGGGATATGTTTACAAAGATTTCAGGCTGAAGAAAGATATAAATAATTCATCGAGTGAACTGATTGTAGCTCTAGCAATTATTCACATCACTAAGTACTTGGCTAGTTAATATCCAAGACCTCTAGCTCAGTACATTCTTTAAACTTGGATGTAAAGTTGGACCTTGTAAAAGGGGAGCACGCTTACAAAAGGGAAAAGTGAGGTGGTTTATGTTATAGTGTTTTATATGGGGTTTACACCAATGTTTACGTTTATATTTTCCTTATTATTTTTTCACTGAGTATCCATAATTTAGAATTTTTCAATGCATCTGGTAGATATTTTTACTCTTTTCCCTTAGTATAAGGCTTTACAGTTAATCCTCATGAGGTTTTAACATAGGATTCCTCTGTGATTTGCTGATTCTTGATAAAAATCTAAACATTTTTGTAGTAGCAAATTATGTCATTTTCATGAGGAAGTTTAATGAATGGAATTGTGATCTTAAAATAAATAGGAAGTAGTAGGTAAAATTGTTACATTTTTAATTTATTGTTGTATAACTCTGCCATTTATTTCATGGTTTATAGTTTATACATATATATTTCACATGTTGTATTTATGTAATTATACAGTGATGTCATAAGTCTTTCAAGTTGTGACAATTCTTGTACAATATTTTTACAGACATCTCTCATTTGAAAATGCTGTTATGTTGAACAATAAATGCCATTTTGTAGTACTTTGTACTGTGTTTTTGAATGCTACTGTAACTATAAAAAAAAACATATGCAAAAGGCAAAGGCCTATGCAATTGTGGGATTAAACCAAGAGACAGCTATCTACCTCTTGGTTTTTTCAATTTATGAAACAGGTGAAATTGCCCCCTCCCCCCAGCAAATTCTACAACAAATTTAAGTGAGGGTAAAGCAATTTTTTAATAAAATTAATGGTTAAGCTCTATGTAAATACTCCATTTTTTTTTCAACTGACAGTGATCAGTGTTAGTGCGCCTCAGTTTCAGTATGTTAGTTTCGATGGTAAAATAAATGAGCACTGTTTTTTACAAAATTAGAAAATAAAAGATGCGAAGTAAATTCATTTTACGCAACAGTTAACAAGAATCAATAAGAAACCTTGCATTACAAAACAATATAGGCTTATAGAACAAAAGATGTTTGCGCTTTTTTCTGTGTGCGCATTTTTCCTGTTTGCGCTTGTTTTCTTTGCACATTTATTTTTGCGCTTTTTCCGTTGCAGTAATTTTTGCGCTTTTTTTCTGTTGCACATTAATTTATGGAAGATGATTAGCCCCCCCCCCCCCCCCAAAAAAAAAATCCCATTATCAAATTTTATCCTCTCATAAGGGGAAGTAACCACTTGGTTGATGCTTTCCATACTATTAATAGAGTTGTCGCGCTTCACAAAGAAAATACATAAATACATGTTGCTCCCCTGAACTTTACGACTGTACAATCCTAGCGGGAAGGCAGGGGGGGGGGGGGGGGGTCGAACGAAGATGTGTAATGAGGATAGGGTGATAGTTCATTTAAATAAATGTGGGACTGAATGTTTAAAAAAATATTTAGCATATTTTATTGGACATGTTTAAGTTGTAATTAAAGCAGATAAATCTTACTGAATGTTGATCCTGATCAATAAATACATGAAAAGAAAGAACAATTCTTTTTTTTAAAAGTACCAATTAGAATAGAGGTGTGAGGTCATGAGGGGGGGGAGGTGGTGACAAACTGTGACAATGTGTAACAGGGGGGGGCGGCAAAGTGTGGCGATGTATAACTGGGGTGAGGGGGGATAATTGTGACACAATTTACACTAGGGGGCTGCACCGCCCGACATACGTACTACATCCACCAACTAAACGTCCTACAAATATACAAAGGACACCATACAGAGGCCCTACAAACACCTGACATACGTCCAACAACCACACGATATTTGTCCGACAACCAGGGCGTCTAACAAACCACCAATACTGGTGTATGACGTCAACCAAGACCTATGTAAGACATCTAACTAATCGCTCAATACATACTACATACAACCCACACTACTCAGATATAGCGTCCAAAATTCTTGTTGACGTCTGACGTATGACGTCTTACAAATCTATGTACGACGTCTTACAAATATACGACCAGTACCAAACATATAAACCCATATAAAACTTTGACTTCACCACTCTCGCCCCCGTACAGAGTTTTTCCCCCCAGATATATTTCTCGGGGGAGGGGGGTGTACTTGAAACGTGCGGGGGGGGGGGGGGGGGAAGGATTTACATTTCCGAGAGTGGTGGGGTGGGCTGGTTAAGTAACATATATTTTCTATGTAAACGATGTATTTTTATTATTTTTTTCGATTTCGTTCATGGGGGCGGGGTGGGGTTAGGTAGACCTGGAGTATCCCAAAATTTTTAATTAAAATTACATACACACCAAACGAATTTGCGCACCGATTGTTTGTTTTGTTCGTCGCGTCACTACTGAACACGTCTTTGTCGTCAAGAAACCATACAATGGATGCCGATTTAAAATAAGTAAAAATGATTATTCCATTCCTGATACTCGGGCTGGGTCTGCATCTAATAGCCGCAGGTACGTTTTATTTTCTATCCCCCACCCCCATTCTCGTGTTTTCTCCTGTGTTGCATTTTAAGTAATTAAGTACGTAGGCCTAATTAAAAAAAAAGATTTTGGTAATCTAACGTTTCCGTTTTAAGTTTTAGGACATTTTAGGTACGTAAAATTGCCCGCGACTAGATTCTAGTAATGTGAAAAACAGGTGACTCCTAAAATTTTAATAATTATTTAACATTTTGAGGAGGATTTATGTTTTGAAAAATACAAAAATGTTCCCTTGTTTCATTTATGTAGGCCTACCTGTTTTTAAACAATTGAATTAAAACTTTTCAGTAATAAATGAAGACTAGCTATGTTTCCAACTGATGGAGCCATGCTCATTTACTATAGCAGCCATCTTGTTTTTTTTTTTACTGTAAACTTATAGCGCAAGATTCAGGGGAAGCCACGCTAACTTTCAGATGGCCGCTTTTTATATAGCAAATCCTGCTCGCAAACACTGCTGTTTAAAGTTAATTTCTTGCCTATATTGATATATTTAGCCATTGATTTAGGTTTATTATCCATTTATCTATAATATTTGAAACAAATATATCACAATATACTTCTATTAAAGCCTTGATGATTTTCGTACATTACTAGCCGCGGGCGATTTTACGTCCCTAAAACGATAGATTACAAGATTTGAGATCTCTAGTCACGGATGGCATCCGAGAGTAGTAAAGTAAAGTTTCCCTTTCAAACCTGACGGTCTATGGGGCAACTGAAGTAGAGTTCACTTGTTTCTGTGACCTCGGCATATGAAGAGATAGTGTGGTCAGCACTATGCCCAGCCGCCTTTACTTTCCCTAACGTGAGTTAGGTACCAATCAGAGTTGGGTGGACTCAGGGACGGTCACCTGACTTGAACCCGACCCGAGAGTAGGCTATAGACTAAGTCTGGTGTCTATACGTTATACTATAGATCGTGCGGCGTCAAAACGGCCAATAACAAAACAGCCCCGTCAAAACGGCCCACTCAAAAGGGCCAGCGACATATTTACCCCATCATATCGGCTCCCGACGAATAGGCTCCCGTCATATAGGCTCTAAGGGACGGAGTGGTCTAGCGGTAGAGAGCTGGACTGCTATCCTGTAAGTCTCGAGTTCGAATCCGGGTTCAAGTCAGTAGACTGTCCCTGAGTCCACCCAGGGAAAGTAAAGGCGGCTGGGCATAGTGCTGACCACACTATCTCTTCATGTACCGAGGTCAGAGAAACAAGTGAACTCTACTTCACTTGCCGTATAGACCGTTTGAAAAGGGAACTTTACTTACTTTTACATATAGGCTCCCGTCATTTAGTTTCTCCACAAAACGGCCCCCGCCATTACGACTCCCGACAAATAGGCTTCCGTCATTTTGGCTCACGACAAAAGGACCACTGACTAAGCCTCCAGGGAAAACGGTCTCATTGAATATGACACCTGCCAGTGGGACACCTTCATTAATATTCTTTAGAGTTAGCTTATACAACACTCTTAAATAATAAAACGAAGGCCTATGCATCTATTGTTCGGCAGGCCTTATTTTTATAATAGTTTATCTATTATAAGATATAGTATGTTTTAATTTAAGGGTCATCTGTGACTTTCATAAACGAGTCGGTTATAGGCTGTTCCAACTCAGTGTATGGGGGAGAGGGGTCCACACTGTACCTGCCTACAGTATGCTTGTCGGTTATCAAAACAAAATGCCGTTATCCTGTAAACATCATATATATCACATATTTACACTTCTGTGCTCGCTTTTAAGCAACAGATCTTTACTGTTGTAAATTAAACATTATCAACACTTTAGAATTGGTGGAATTTAACTGTTAAGGGCTCGATTTGTTTGTGAATTGATGTTGGTTCTTGAAAAACAATTTCAGTCAGGCATTTAAAAAAGGTTATAGTGGTAGTGGATATAGGACAAAATGGTTACTTTTATGTCAATAGTGGTCATACGTTTCATTTGTCTGGAGCCAACATGTCGTGAGCCCATTTTTCGGGAGCCCATTTGTCGGGAGCCCATTTGTCGTGTGCCCTTATGTCGCTAGCTAATATGTCGGGCGCCGCTTTGTCGGGAGCCAATATGTCCTGAGCCTATTTTGTCGGGAGCCTATATATCGCGAGTCATTTTGATGGGAGCCCATTTGACTAAAGCCAATAAGTCGGGGCCCTTTTGACGGGTCTATTTTGACTGGGTCGTTTTGTCGGGGGTCGATTTGACGGGGTCATATTAACGGGCCGTTTTGGCGGGGCCGATTTGTCCCGGGCCGTTTTGACGGTGTACCACTATAGATAGACTATAGATCCAGGTATAGAGTTTTCAAGGTCTACATCAACTGAGATAAGTTGTAATGCCTGATGTACTAAGATCTATAAACTAAACTAGCTATAGCTTATTAAAAAATAAAACAAACCCCTTCAAAAATTGTATACATAGCTTACTCGAAAAGACTACAAGGAGCGAACTGATTACCACCTAGCCTCCAGTGTTTCTTCCAGACTTTTTTACCGGGGGGGGGGCGGTAGACTTTCTTCGGGGTGGGGGGACACTGTTAAAAGTATATATTTTCTATATAAATTATATAAATTTCATTTCGTTCGGGGGGGGGGGGGGGGCGGAGGGCGGTAGAATTCGCCCCCCCCCCCCCCCCCCCCGAAGAGATGCCTGGAAGAAACTCTGCTAGCCTCCCGATGGCGCATGCGTAGTTTGTTCCAGCTAGGATCGTCCTAGTTTATTTCCTCATGGTACAATCACTTCCGCATATTAGTGTTCTGTAATCTATTTTTAGATCGTCAGAGCCTTTTGAACCGAATGAAAGACAAGAGTTGGCCGTGGTTCGGCGACTGCTACAGCCAGAAGTGTCCAGCCCCACAGAACGATGTCACGAACTGCTTCAACCTCAAGTAAGTTGCCCAGAGAACGATCTCACCAACTGCTTCAACCTCAAGTAAGTTGCCCACAGAACGATCTCAAGAACTGCTTCAACCTCAAGTAAGTTGCCCACAGAACGATCTCACCAACTGCTTCAAACTCAAGTAAGTTGCTCGTCCAACCCCACAGAACGATCTCACGAACTGCTTCAACCTCAAGTAAGTTGCCCACAGAACGATCTCAAGAACTGCTTCAACCTCAAGTAAGTTGCCCACAGAACGATCTCACCAACTGCTTCAAACTCAAGTAAGTTGCTCGTCCAACCCCACAGAACGATCTCACGAACTGCTTCAACCTCAAGTAAGTTGCCCACAGAACGATCTCACGAACTGCTTCAACCTCAAGTAAGTTGCCCACAGAACGATCTCACCAACTGCTTCAACCTCAAGTAAGTTGCCCACAGAACGATCTCACCAACTGCTTCAACCTCAAGTAAGTTGCCCACAGAACGATCTCACCAACTGCTTCAACCTCAAATAAGTTGCCCACAGAACGATCTCACCAACTGCTTCAACCTCAAGTAAGTTGCCCACAGAACGATCTCACGAACTGCTTCAACCTCAAGTAAGTTGCTCGTCCATCCCCACAGAACGATCTCACCAACTGCTTCAACCTCAAGTAAGTTGCCCACAGAACGATCTCACCAACTGCTTCAACCTCAAGTAAGTTGCCCACAGAACGATCTCACCAACTGCTTCAACCTCAAGTAAGTTGCCCACAGAACGATCTCACCAACTGCTTCAACCTCAAGTAAGTTGCCCACAGAACGATCTCACCAACTGCTTCAACCTCAAATAAGTTGCCCACAGAACGATCTCACCAACTGCTTCAACCTCAAGTAAGTTGCCCACAGAACGATCTCACGAACTGCTTCAACCTCAAGTAAGTTGCTCGTCCATCCCCACAGAACGATCTCACCAATTGCTTCAACCTCAAGTAAGTTGCCCACAGAACGATCTCACCAACTGCTTCAACCTCAAGTAAGTTGCCCACAGAACGATCTCACCAACTGCTTCAACCTCAAGTAAGTTGCCCACAGAACGATCTCACCAACTGCTTCAACCTCAAATAAGTTGCCCACAGAACGATCTCACCAACTGCTTCAACCTCAAGTAAGTTGCCCACAGAACGATCTCACCAACTGCTTCAACCTCAAGTAAGTTGCCCACAGAACGATCTAAAGAACTGCTTCAACCTCAAGTAAGTTGCCCACAGAACGATCTTAAGAACTGCTTCAACCTCAAGTAAGTTGCCCACAGAACGATCTCACCAACTGCTTCAACCTCAAGTAAGTTGCCCACAGAACGATCTCACCAACTGCTTCAACCTCAAGTAAGTTGCCCACAGAACGATCTCACCAACTGCTTCAACCTCAAGTAAGTTGCCCACAGAACGATCTCACCAACTGCTTCAACCTTAAGTAAGTTGCCCACAGAACGATCTCAAGAACTGCTTCAACCTCAAGTAAGTTGCCCACAGAACGATCTCACGAACTGCTTCAACCTCAAGTAAGTTGCCCACAGAACGATCTCACCAACTGCTTCAACCTCAAGTAAGTTGCTTGTACAGCCCCACAGAACGATCTCACCAACTGCTTCAACCTCAAGTAAGTTGCCCACAGAACGATCTCACGAACTGCTTCAACCTCAAGTAAGTTGCCCACAGAACGATCTCACCAACTGCTTCAACCTCAAGTAAGTTGCCCACAGAACGATCTCACCAAATGCTTCAACCTCAAGTAAGTTGCCCACAGAACGATATCACGAACTGCTTCAACCTCAAGTAAGTTGCCCACAGAACGATCTCACGAACTGCTTCAACCTCAAGTAAGTTGCCCACAGAACGATATCACGAACTGCTTCAACCTCAAGTAAGTTGCCCACAGAACGATCTCACGAACTGCTTCAACCTCAAGTAAGTTGCCCACAGAACGATATCACGAACTGCTTCAACCTCAAGTAAGTTGCCCACAGAACGATCTCACCAACTGCTTCAACCTCAAGTAAGTTGCCCACAGAACGATCTCACCAACTGCTTCAACCTCAAGTAAGTTGCTCGTCCAACCCCACAGAACGATCTCACCAACTGCTTCATCCTCAAGTAAGTTGCCCACAGAACGATCTCACCAACTGCTTCAACCTCAAGTAAGTTGTTCGTCCAGCCCCACAGAACGATCTCACGAACTGCTTCAACCTCAAGTAAGTTGCCCACAGAACGATCTCACCAACTGCTTCAACCTCAAGTAAGTTGCTCGTCCAACCCCACAGAACGATCTCACCAACTGGTCTAGTGTCGCTAGATTTGAGAACCGCTTTGTAATTTTGTTGACCTGAAATGTTTTCCTAGGCCAGGAAAAGCCGAGTCGGTTCTTGAACGGATCGGAGTGACCAACGTGGAACTGACCACAGATCTGGAAGTCTCCTTCGCAAGCCCAGCCGGTGAGTGATTGGCTCCGTTTGTACAACTGTACACATTTGTGCAATACAACTGTACACATTTGTACAACGGTACACATTTGTACAACTGTACACATTTGTGCAATACAACTGTACACATTTATACAACTGTACACATTTGTACAACTGTACACATTTGTACAACTGTACACATTTGTACAACTGTACACATTTGTACAACTGTACACATTTGTACAACTTTACACATTTGTACAACTGTACACATTTACACCGCTGTACACACCTGATTCCCCTGTCTTGTACATCCAAGCTGTAGCCCTCTAAATCAGGCCTCGTGTCCTTTAGTGTAATTCAATAGTGCTACAGCTATTCTGTCACATACTGCTGTTTGAATAGTGATACAGCTATTCTGTCACATACTGCTGTTTGAATAGTGCTACAGCTATTCTGTCACATACTGCTGTTTGAATAGTGCTACAGCTATTCTGTCACATACTGCTGTTTGAATAGTGCTACAGCTATTCTGTCACATACTGCTGTTTGAATAGTGATACAGCTATTCTGTCACATACTGCTATTTGAATAGTGATACAGCTATTCTGTCACATACTGCTGTTTGAATAGTGATACAGCTATTCTGTCACATACTGCTGTTTGAATAGTGCTACAGCTATTCTGTCACATACTGCTGTTTGAATAGTGCTATAGCTGTTCTGTCAAATACTGCTGTTTGAATAGTGCTATAGCTGTTCTGTCAAATACTGCTATTTCAATAGTGTTTTTATTATGCTTATAACGTATTAAAAGATACAATGTGATTCTCTTATAAATTAGTTACTTATTTATTTGTTTATTTATTTGTGCGTGTCTGCTGAAGTGTTGCGGGTTATTTACATGATCTGCTTATGATCCATTGGAACGCACTGGCCCACATTTTCTTTTTTTTTTCTTTTAAGAAAACGTTGACGTTTGTGGTAAAGCCATTCAGATGCCGGAAGTCCGGCCATTTAAACTGGACAGTAATGGACTAGCCTTCACTAATCGTCTGAAGGTATTTATTGAATCAAACCCCTCATAACGTGTCCCCGAAAATACAATATTTCATACCATTCTATTCTAAATTTCCCTCAAACCCTTCATACCGTGTCCCCGAAAATACAATATTTCATGCCATTCTATTCTAAATTTCCCTCAAACCCCTCATACTTTGTCCCCGAAAATACAATATTTCATGCCATTCTATTCTAAATTTCCCTCAAACCCTTCATACCGTGTCCCCGAAAATACAATATTTCATGCCATTCTATTCTAAATTTCCCTCAAACCCCTCATACCGTGTCCCCGAAAATACAATATTTCATGCCATTCTATTCTAAATTTCCCTCAAACCCTTCATACCGTGTCCCCGAAATTACAATATTTCATGCCATTCTATTCTAAATTTCCCTCAAACCCTTCATACCGTGTCCCCGAAAATACAATATTTCATACCATTCTATTCTAAATTTTCTAAACCGGTTGTAAATTAGGCGGGGTGCCTTTTTACTTTATACAGACAGAGAATAGAGGAAAAACTTGTAATCGTGTACACAAATCACATGAAATTTTGAGTTTCCACCGTTTTACTTCTCAGTACTTTATCATATATGGAGTATAGGGGACTTTTAATCGGGCACAAATTATAAATGCAGATTTAACCAAATTTAGACGTTTTACGCGGAATCGAGTAAAAAAAAAACTGGCCTTTGCAAGTTTGTCTGTGTGGATTTGTGTATATATGTGAACACTATAACTTGAGTATCGTTACTGCTAGGTTGATGAAATTTTATATATAAGTATTACATCAAATTTTTAGTTCTGTTTTAACTTTTCAGCAATTTCCGGTAATCGGAAGAGGACCTTATTCTACTTTTGGAGAGGGGACAAAAGATTTAATTCTGTATCTTCTTTCAAATTTTAAGTAACTTCCGTGTAACGGAAATAGTATTTTTCTCTATTTCCGATTTCTCAAAAACGCTTATGACTTTATAAAGTACTAATATTCCGGATTATTATACACACATTGTTTGCTGTTCACTTGGTTGGTGCGCAATTCTTTTTTCTGCGAGATTGTATTTTTAAAAGTTTTAATCATTTAAACATTGGTTACAAATCATGTCTGTACCCCAAGTTGCAATCCCCTGTCGAGTTATTTAAGAAAGTTTAGGGGAGATCACTCCCGCTTTATTTCTCTAAATAGCAAGGCCTGCGTGTATTGTTGTTGCATTATGGAGTGTTATATTAATATAATATTATGCAGTCAAGAAATTATTTTAAATTTTAGTCAAAGGTATCGAACATGAATAAAACGTGTATGTTTTGATACTTTTTTTTTTAAATCATCATATTAGAAATTGTTATTTGAACGTGCCTGTATCTAGCTATTATTATGTGAACGTTTACGTTTTTTAAACTGGGATGTTTGGTTAGAATGGATTAAAAAAGAAGACTGGTTTGTTTCAGCTCGGTGCGGAGATCTACCGGCAGCCCCCCAAACTGTCGTGGACCCTCCCTGCCACCACGCCCCTGCATCTGATGCTCTTTGATGTTGGTCTCTTCATCGTGCGCGGGTATTGGAGGAAAGTAAAATCCGATCAAGGCTTCACGGGAGAGGTAATTGTCGCTTACCTCTGGATAATTGTCGCTTACCTCTGGGGTAATTGTCGCTTACCTCTGGGGTAATTGTCGCTTACCTCTGGGGTAATTGTCGCTTACCTCTGGGGTAATTGTCGCTTACCTCTGGGGTAATTGTCGCTTACCTCTGGGGTAATTGTGACTTACCTCTGGGGTAATTGTCGCTTACCTCTGGGGTAATTGTGACTTACCTCTGGGGTAATTGTCGCTTACTTCTGGGGTAATTGTCGCTTACCTCTGGGGTAATTGTCGCTTACCTGTTAGGTGATTACCGGTTACTTGTCAGGTAATGATTGAGCACCTGTGTAGCAGTTATCAGTAGTGATTTCAGGTTGATATGAGATGTACTGAGTTTTATAGTGTGGTTGTTGATTTCAGGTTGATATGAGATGTACTGACTTTAATAGTTGACGTAAACAGGCTGTTGCTGTCTACAGATGGAATACCAATACAGGCCCCCCGCCAACCCTCTGCCCGTGCCCAACCCCATCCTGATTCTGTTGTTAGAGGCACCAGCCAGTACAAACGACGACGCCTATCATAGTAACCCGTTTACGCAAGCTTGTGACGCCACCAGGCCTAGGACGGCTGCTGGGGCGCAGACTTGCATTGCGGCCTTAGCACAGCTACAGAGCGACTATAGTAGGAGCTTTTTAAAATTATTTATGTGTACTGTGTCTGTTAACATTGACGGTGTAATCAACTGATGATGTAAACATTGACGGTGTAATCAACTGATGATGTAAACATTGACTGGGTACCCAACTGATGTAGGTGTAAACACTGATGTAAACATTGACGGGGTAATCAACTGATGTTACTGATGTAAACATTGACTGGGGTACCCAACTGACGTAGGTGTAAACACTGATGTAAATGTTGACGTTAACTGCCACCCCCTCCCCCCCCCCCCTCCCAGAAATCCGAGGTATGCAGGTGTACTACACTGATGGTTCCAGCAACTTTGAGAAGTTCATGGCCTGTGCTGAGGGTTATATTTGTCATACCGCCTGTCTGGATCAGCAGCGCCAATGTAAGTTCTTTATGTCTACAGGACATTACCCCCCCCCGGGACATCCCCCCCTTATTTACCCCCCGGAGCAATTACCCCCCCCCCTCCTTGTCAATTACCCCCCTCCCCCCTTCTCAAGTTAAAATCCTAACTCTAACTAGAATTCTATACCTATATACTACTTTTTTCCAAACCTTAAGAAAAAGACCAAAACCTAAGCTTCCACCTTAGCCTAAAACTTCACACAAAACCACAACCAACGCTAGACATTGGTTTAAGCCTAACCCTGACCCTAGCTCTAACCCTAACCATAGCCCTAAACCTAGCTCTAACCCTAACTCTAACCCTGTCCCGGGGGGGGGGGGGTAGTAATTGACAGGGGGTAATTACTCCGGGGGGTAATGTCGGGGGGAATGTCCCGGGGGGGGGGGTAATTGACAGTTGGGGAAATGTCCTGTTCCCGTTCTTTATTTACTTTTTTGTAGGTCAGCGGTTCGACTGACCGCCATCTTGGACTTAACGACCCATGCTAATGATCTACTCAGTAAAATTTAAATTTATTTTAAATAACACTATTCTGAATCTTTTGTACTTTGTACTTTCTTGTATACTGATTATAGAGGGAGGATTGCAATAATTTAAAAACTTGAATTGGAGATGTTGAGTAGGTGGACTAAATATCATGTACAGGTATGGTGGACTAAATATCATGTACAGGTATAAGACCTTAAGCATTGGTTTCTATCAAATTTTTAGTGATTTTTGTGTTCAAAAGTAATACTGTATTCTCTATTTTCGGCACCCCGTCAAAAGAGCGCACGACAAAAGAGCGCCGACATAAGAGCGCAGACAAAAGAGCGCCGACATAATAGCGCCGACATAAGAGCGCACTAATTTCCCGACAAAAGAGGGCCGACATAAGAGCGCAGACAAAAGAGCGCCGACATAAGAGCGCAGACAAAAGAGCGCCGACATAATAGCGCCGACATAAGAGCGCACTAATTTCCCGACAAAAGAGGGCCGACATAAGAGCGCACACTAAAAATTGAAAAGCCGGGTTTAATAATTAGGAACATGAAAATTAACTCAGATCAGAAGGCATCGTTTGATGTTAAATCTTTATTGTTTCATTAAAAAACTAATTGTTCAGTTTCTTTAACTAAAAAAAAACTGGTATAATCAACGTGAAGTTCAATTATTCAAAACGCAATCTAATAACACATACAAAGATTTTAATGTTAGGCTTAAGTGAGAATATAAACTGAAATGAAATGTAACAAAATGAAAATAAGTTTAATAAAACGTTTCTTTATAGTTGCATTTATATTGCTAAGTTGTGGGCTATACCTCGTATTGAATAATTAGCATAGGTTGAAGCAATCCCCTGCAATCTTTGGTTCAGCTGAACATATTTTTTCTTTGAAGCTTCTGGTTGATTATCTCCAGCTAGATGACGTTCCAGTTCGATTTCGATGTGATCTTGTTCCATACGAAACTGGTTGATCAATTTATAAAATTTTAAAGCAACATATTCTAAGATCTTCTCGCCTCTAATTGTTTCTTGAAAAACGAGCGTTTTTGTCACAAACGCTTGTACAAATATAGCCCGTTTGTTCTGGAAAAGCCATCCAAACCCTATTGTTATATAAGAATATACGAGAATATAGAGTGACTCTATGATTTAAAATTCCTTTTTTTTAAAAATCGAATGAGCTGCTAATTGTTGATACATCTGAAGACGCCGAGAGTGAGAAGAGTCACGTGACCTTTCTGGACATGAACACAGCCCAACTGACCATGTACGTCAATGTCTACTACTCAGCTGCTTTTATGGATTCGAAGACTAGCGGCTGTTGTGGAATGATGAACTCAAAGTAAGCTTTTTGACGAGTCAACAATTGTATAAAGCTAATCATATAATATTTCATTTGTGTCATGCTTTTTGAGTAGTTGGTTTGGTGCTATTTCATGAAAGTTAGTGTGGTTCTATTTCATGAAAGGTAGTGTGGTGCTATTTCATGAAAGGTAGTGTGGTGCTATTTCATGAAAGGTAGTGTGGTGCTATTTCATGAAAGGTAGTGTGGTGCTATTTCATGAAAGGTAGTGTGGTGCTATTTCATTAAAACTAGTGTGGTGTTAGTGTGGTGCTATTTCAGTAATTTTACTAGGTACCACAGGCTCCAAATAAATGGTCTAACATTTTGGGTTGAAACAGAGGGATAACATCACACATCACAGGAACTTTCATAAGAACAACCCACCTGTAATGGCTTAATAGTTAACAAAAAATGTTCCCATTTGTTACAGTCCACGAAAAATGTTCCCATTTGTTGAAGTCCACGAAAAATGTTCCCATTTGTTACAGTCCACGAAAAATGTTCCCATTTGTTACAGTCCACGAAAAATGTTCCCATTTGTTACAGTCCACGAAAAATGTTCCCATTTGTTGAAGTCCACGAAAAATGTTCCCATTTGTTACAGTCCACGAAAAATGTTACCATTTGTTACTGTCCACAATAAATTGATCTCATATGTTACAGTCCACGAAAAATGTTCCCATTTGTTGAAGTCCACGAAAAATGTTACCATTTGTTACAGTCCACGAAAAATGTTCCCATTTGTTACAGTCCACGAAAAATGTTCCCATTTATTACAGTCCACGAAAAATGTTCCCATTTGTTACAGTCCACGAAAAATGTTCCCATTTGTTACAGTCCACGAAAAATGTTCCCATTTGTTGAAGTCCACGAAAAATGTTCCCATTTGTTACAGTCCACGAAAAATGTTACCATTTGTTACTGTCCACAATAAATTGATCTCATATGTTACAGTCCACGAAAAATGTTCCCATTTGTTGAAGTCCACGAAAAATGTTCCCATTTGTTACAGTCCACGAAAAATGTTCCCATTTGTTGAAGTCCACAATAAATTGATCTCATATGTTACAGTCCACGAAAAATGTTCCCATTTGTTACAGTCCACGAAAAATGTTACCATTTGTTACTGTCCACAATAAATTGATCTCATATGTTACAGTCCACGAAAAATGTTCCCATTTGTTGAAGTCCACGAAAAATGTTCCCATTTGTTACAGTCCACGAAAAATGTTCCCATTTGTTGAAGTCCACGAAAAATGTTCCCATTTGTTACAGTCCACGAAAAATGTTCCCATTTGTTACAGTCCACGAAAAATGTTCCCATTTGTTACAGTCCACGAAAAATGTTCCCATTTGTTACAGTCCACGAAAAATGTTCCCATTTGTTACAGTCCACGAAAAATGTTCCCATTTGTTACAGTCCACGAAAAATGTTACCATTTGTTACAGTCCACGAAAAATGTTCCCATTTGTTACAGTCCACGAAAAATGTTCCCATTTGTTACAGTCCACGAAAAATGTTCCCATTTGTTACAGTCCACGAAAAATGTTCCCATTTGTTACAGTCCACGAAAAATGTTACCATTTGTTACAGTCCACGAAAAATGTTCCCATTTGTTACAGTCCACGAAAAATGTTCCCATTTGTTACAGTCCACGAAAAATGTTACCATTTGTTACAGTCCACGAAAAATGTTACCATTTGTTACAGTCCACGAAAAATGTTCCCATTTGTTGAAGTCCACGAAAAATGTTCCCATTTGTTGAAGTCCACGAAAAATGTTCCCATTTGTTGAAGTCCACGAAAAATGTTCCCATTTGTTACAGTCCACGAAAAATGTTCCCATTTGTTGAAGTCCACGAAAAATGTTCCCATTTGTTGAAGTCCACGAAAAATGTTCCCATTTGTTACAGTCCACGAAAAATGTTCCCATTTGTTACAGTCCACGAAAAATGTTCCCATTTATTACAGTCCACGAAAAATGTTCCCATTTGTTACAGTCCACGAAAAATGTTCCCATTTGTTACAGTCCACGAAAAATGTTCCCATTTGTTGAAGTCCACGAAAAATGTTCCCATTTGTTACAGTCCACGAAAAATGTTACCATTTGTTACTGTCCACAATAAATTGATCTCATATGTTACAGTCCACGAAAAATGTTCCCATTTGTTGAAGTCCACGAAAAATGTTCCCATTTGTTACAGTCCACGAAAAATGTTCCCATTTGTTGAAGTCCACAATAAATTGATCTCATATGTTACAGTCCACGAAAAATGTTCCCATTTGTTACAGTCCACGAAAAATGTTACCATTTGTTACTGTCCACAATAAATTGATCTCATATGTTACAGTCCACGAAAAATGTTCCCATTTGTTGAAGTCCACGAAAAATGTTCCCATTTGTTACAGTCCACGAAAAATGTTCCCATTTGTTGAAGTCCACGAAAAATGTTCCCATTTGTTACAGTCCACGAAAAATGTTCCCATTTGTTACAGTCCACGAAAAATGTTCCCATTTGTTACAGTCCACGAAAAATGTTCCCATTTGTTACAGTCCACGAAAAATGTTCCCATTTGTTACAGTCCACGAAAAATGTTCCCATTTGTTACAGTCCACGAAAAATGTTACCATTTGTTACAGTCCACGAAAAATGTTCCCATTTGTTACAGTCCACGAAAAATGTTCCCATTTGTTACAGTCCACGAAAAATGTTCCCATTTGTTACAGTCCACGAAAAATGTTCCCATTTGTTACAGTCCACGAAAAATGTTACCATTTGTTACAGTCCACGAAAAATGTTCCCATTTGTTACAGTCCACGAAAAATGTTCCCATTTGTTACAGTCCACGAAAAATGTTACCATTTGTTACAGTCCACGAAAAATGTTACCATTTGTTACAGTCCACGAAAAATGTTCCCATTTGTTGAAGTCCACGAAAAATGTTCCCATTTGTTGAAGTCCACGAAAAATGTTCCCATTTGTTGAAGTCCACGAAAAATGTTCCCATTTGTTACAGTCCACGAAAAATGTTCCCATTTGTTGAAGTCCACGAAAAATGTTCCCATTTGTTGAAGTCCACGAAAAATGTTCCCATTTGTTACAGTCCACGAAAAATGTTACCATTTGTTACAGTCCACGAAAAATGTTCCCATTTGTTACAGTCCACGAAAAATGTTCCCATTTGTTACAGTCCACGAAAAATGTTCCCATTTGTTACAGTCCACGAAAAATGTTCCCATTTGTTACAGTCCACGAAAAATGTTCCCATTTGTTACAGTCCACGAAAAATGTTCCCATTTGTTACAGTCCACGAAAAATGTTCCCATTTGTTGAAGTCCACGAAAAATGTTACCATTTGTTACAGTCCACGAAAAATGTTCCCATTTGTTACAGTCCACGAAAAATGTTCCCATTTGTTACAGTCCACGAAAAATGTTCCCATTTGTTACAGTCCACGAAAAATGTTCCCATTTGTTACAGTCCACGAAAAATGTTCCCATTTGTTACAGTCCACGAAAAATGTTCCCATTTGTTACAGTCCACGAAAAATGTTCCCATTTGTTGAAGTCCACGAAAAATGTTCCCATTTGTTACAGTCCACGAAAAATGTTCCCATGTGTAACAGTCCAAGAAAAATGTTCCCATTTGTTACAGTGCGTACACATTTCGTCCCCGACCAGGGGACAACCTGAAGGTGGACGAGACCATTAAGATACATCTTGGTGAAGGCTATAATCCTGTTATGTTGGTAGAAGTGTCAGGGCCAGAATCTGTGTATAAAGGTAAGCCCATTGATGTAGTTTTCTTTTAATTGTGTCAACAGAATATAAGTTGTGTACCTTTATAAATACTTTTATTTTTACTGTTGTTCCATTATTTTATTAGATTTATTTATTCGTTGTTTACCATTATTAACTACATGAATTCATAAGATGTTTGCCTTTCCGCTTATACACAAACGTAAAGCCCGTGTATTTTAACTCTAAGGTAGACCCCACGTTAGTAGACCCCACGGTAGTAGACCCCAGGGTACCCTAAGGTAGACCTCACGGTACCGTAAGGTAGACCCCACAGTACCCTAAGGTAGACCTCACGGTACCGTAAGGTAGACCCCACGGTAGTAGACCCCAGGGTACCCTAAGGTAGACCCCACGGTACCCTAAGGTAGACCCCAATGTACCCTAAGGTAGACCCCACGGTACCCTAAGGTAGACCCCAATGTACCCTAAGGTAGACCCCACGGTACCCTAAGGTAGACCCCACGGTAGTAGACCCCACGGTAGTTGACCCCACGGTACCCTAAGGTAGACCCCACGGTAGTAGACCCCACGGTAGTTGACCCAACGGTACCCTAAGGTAGACCTCACGGTACCCTAAGGTAGACCCCACGGTACCCTTTGGTAGACCCCACGGTAGTTGACCCCACGGTACCCTAAGGTAGACCTCACGGTACCCTAAGGTAGACACCACGGTACCCTTTGGTAGACCCCACGGTAGTAGACCCACGGTAGTAGACCCCACGGTACCGTAGGGAAGAGTTTTGGCTAACAAATATCTGACCGTATAAAGTGTGACAGTTAAACCATAATCTACCGCCTCTATCCTTTACCTGCGCACAGCCCCCCCCCCCCAAGTAAACTACAATTTACTTCTACCTTACACTTCTAGCTTACACTCCTCGCTTACACTCCTCGCTTACACTCCTCGCTTACACTCCTCGCTTACACTCCTCGCTTACACTCCTCGCTTACACTCCTCGCTTACAGTCCTAACTTACACTCCTAACTTTCACTCCTAACTTTCACTCCTAGCTCACACTCCTAGCTTACACTCAGCTTACACTCCTAGCTTACATTTTTAGCTTACATTACTACCTTACACTCCTAGCTTACATTTATAGCTTACTCTGAGCTTACACTCCTACCTTACTCCTACCTTACACTCCTAGCTTACATTTAAAGCCTACACTATTACCTTAGACGCCTAGCTTATTCTCCTGGCTTATACTACTATTTTACATTCCTTGCTTACACTCCTAGCTTACACTCCTTGCTTACACTCCTAGCTTACACTCCTCGCTTACACTCCTAGCTTACACTCCTTGCTTACACTCCTAGCTTACACTCCTCGCTTACACTCCTAGCTTACACTCCTGGCTTACACTACTATTTTACACTCCTCGATTACACTCCTCGATTACACTCCTAGCTTACACTCCTAGCTTACACTCCTAGCTTATAGATAGCCTACTCTCCAAGCTTACACGCCTTGTCAAGCTCACCGGGCCGTTTAACGCGTGCTTTGGTTGAATATCTTCATCGCTCATTTCATTGACCATATCAATAGCAGCCTTTTATATTTAAAGTTATCGTATTTTTAAGTTTTATGAATCAACTCGCTTTTCCTTTTGTTACTGCATTATAACTTTGTTACTTTCAACGGTATCCTGCCCGTGATTCAGGTGAAGTGGCACTTATAGAATATATAGGATATTCATTTCAAATATTACCGAATGAATTCTTGCTTTTACTCCGGTTGGATGAGGACACTTGAAACTTTCGGGGGGGGGGGGGGGGGGGGGGCTAAATTTTCCGGGGTTCAGGGGCAGCGAACACTCGTCACTGTATGTAAATTATGTCTCGTTCGGGGGGAGGAGGGCGGTAGTATCACTGAAAGTATCACTAGGTAAAACAATGTTGTGACTATTTAATTTGCTCCACAGAGGACTTTTTATACTCCGTGTTTTTTATCGGCCCTGTCAATGGCAATGAGCCACCCCCCATAAACTGTCTGTTTTCAAACTTCAAAATCACAGGTACGTTTAGAGGTGCACGATAGACGGGGGTAGGCTCCACACTGTTACCCAACTAAATATGCTGGAGGGGGGAGATATACATAATATAATATAATGATATATATATATATATATATATATATATATATATATATATATATATATATATATATATATATATATATATATATATATATATATATATATATAGATATATAGATATATATAGATATATAGATATATATATTATAGCAACATTATAACTAATATAATATAAGAATATTTCAAATTAAGCAATATAATATACAGCTTATATTATAATACTTGTATAATGTATTGGTGCTAGTCCACTATAGGTACCAGCACGTCTTACTAGCACAGACAGTAATGGTGAGATTGGGTTTTCTAAAAGACTTTAAGATCACGGTTACAATACATTCAAACATCCTAACCAAGGGGGTTTGGTTCATTACAGTGGCGTTACAATGTAGTGTTTACTGGGTGATGTAGTACCCCTCACCCACCCCCACCACCAGCACCTCCTTCCCTTCCCCCCACTCACGATGGAATATCCCCTGCCTGCTCCGTATTAATACAGATCAGGTCATACACATGCAGCCGTCTCAACTGATTGGGGAATGTTCTGGACCGACCCTCTCGGGAATGGAAACTTACAGATTGTACCATGTCCTGTTCCAGCACACGACTCAACTCTCCTCGCTACCAGAGAAGTGAGTACACAACTGGAAATAACAGCATCGACATTCATTTATGGTACGCCCCCCCCATGCCTACCCGACTGTTTTACGATACCCCCCCCGTGCCTACCCTACTACTTTACGATTTCCCCCCCCCCCCCCCGTGCTTACCCTACTACTTTACGATACCCCCCATGCCTACCCTACTATTTAACGATAAGCCACCCCCCATGCCTACCCTACTACTTTACGATACCCCCCCCGTGCCTACCCTACTACTTTACGATACCCCCCGTGCTTACCCTACTACTTTACGATACCCCCTCCCCATGCCTACCCTACTACTTTACGATAAGCCACCCCCCATGCCTACCCTACTACTTTACGATACCCCCCCCCCCCCCCCGTGCTTACCCTACTACTTTACGATAAGCCCCTCCCCCCGTGCTTACCCTACTGCTTTAAGATACCCCCCCCCGTGCTTACCCTACTACGTTACGATAAGCCCCTCCCCCCGTGCTTACCCTACTACTTTACGATACCCCCCCCCCCCGTGCTTACCCTACTACTTTACGATAAGCCCCCATGCCTACCCTACTACTTTACGATACCCCCCCCCATGCTTACCCTACTACTTTAATATACCTATACCCCCTTCCATGCCTACGCTACTACTTTACGATAAGCCCCCCCCCCCCCCCCGTGCCTACCCTACTACTTGACGATACGTACCCCCCTAGACTTTGTGGTTTTAGTAGTGTTTTACTAGGTTTGTATATTTGACTCCCACAGAACAGCCGGCAGTAAACTCTTTGATAAATCCAAGCTACCTGCGGACTTCACGCTCAGGGCCATCTCGTGGTTTCTCGCGGGGAATGACGCGTTTTCTAGTAAGTCGGTAGTGAGTCTGGGTCTCACTTTTTTGTCAGTCTGGGTTAGTCAATGGTTTCACTTTTTAGTCAGTTTGGGTTAGTCAATGGGTCTCACTTTTTAGTACGCGTGTGTCACCTTAGTCACTTGGTCTCAATCATTAGTGAGTCTGGGTGGCTAGGTGGGTCTCACTTATTAGTGAATTTTACTCTGTGGGTCTCAATCAGTAGTTATTTTTATTTAGTCAGTGTGTTCTAGCTAGAGGTGTGTGTGCTCTAGCTAGTAGTTGGTGTGTTCTAGCTAGATGTGTGTGTGCTCTAGCTAGTGATTAATGTGTTGTAGGTAGTAGTTGGTGTGTTCTAATGGTTTGTGTGTTCGAGCAAGTGGTTAATGTGTTGTAGCTAGTGGTTGGTGTATTCTGCGGGCAAACCATACAGTTTTGGGACCAGTGTTTAGACTGTGCCTGATTTTACAACTGTGTTTCTTTGACTTTTTTATCGAAGGGAGGGGGTGGAGGGGGCACTTGGCATTTTCGCGGGGAGGGGGGCGGACACTAATAAAAGTATATATTTTGTATATAAATTCAATTTTGTTGGGGGGGGGGGGTGGTTGCCTGGAAGAAACTATATTGTACAATCGGCACTCCTTTTAGGACATGCTGTGCGACAGTCCTGTAGGACATGTGCGTTGTCAGGAGCCACGCCACAAGGACATGTTTCGTAGGGACCGACTTGAAGTTTTGAAACATGTGTTGTTTCAGACTCTTGCTGTCTGTCCTGTGTCCGAAAATTGAATTCTGTTCTAGCCGTGTTGATGTGTACAATCTTTCATCTTCTGTGTAATTTGGCTGTGTGTCAGGACACAATTGTAATCGTTTGCTGTTTTATGCTTTTGATTTCTTTTGGACGGTTAGCGATTTCTGGTTAGGGTATTACAAAGATGGTGTAAAGCCCTCTAAGAGTATTGCAAATATGGTGTAAAGCCCTCTAAGGGTATTACAAAGATGGTGTAAAGCCCTCTAAGAGTATTACAAAGATGGTGTAAAGCCCTCTAAGAGTATTGCAAAGATGGTTTGAGAACCTTTAGGGTATTACAAAGATGGTGGGAGGCACTTTTAGGTATTGAAAAGATTTTGGGAGGCCTTGTTAGGGTATTACAAAGATGGTGTGAGGCCCTGTTAGGGTAGTATAAAAGATAAAGTGAGGAACTATTAGTGCAGTATTTTTTAGTTCGAATTAGACCACCCATTATCCTTTGGATGACTATGGGTTTACGGGTCATTCATAAATGACGTCACGTTTGCTTGACGATTTTTTAATGTTCCTCCCTCCCCTCTGTCACACATCGCCAACACATGTTTGTCTTTATAAAAATCGACTTCGGCTGAACATGTTTGTGACCACAGTATCCATTTGCTGATGCTACAGAAACAGGTGAATTCTACTTCACCTGTCCAGTGGCTCAACAGTTGCGAAAGGTTACTTTACTGTACACATCTAACAAGAAGTCAAGCTTCAGTTTATGTGTTTTTGTCGTCCAAAAACATCAATTTCTTTCTAAAAATATTTTCTAAGTGCGAACCTCATTCGAATAACAGAGTGGTTAAATCTCATTTATCGGTGGGTTTAAATGAATTATCAAATTAGATGATAAGTCTCGCGTATCCTGTTGGTGAAGGGTGGAAGCAGGCGTTGTAACTGAAATAGCAATATATATATTGTATCTATATCTATATATATATAGATATTTCAACGCCAAGGGTAGACAAAGGTACAGAATATATTCTGTACCTTTATCTACCCTTGGCGTTGAAATATCACTTTGCGTATCCTGTTGTAAATTGGTAAAAGTGTTGGACCCTAATATGAATGACAAACCGATATATTTTTAAAGCTATAGCCGGAGGAAAATAAGACTTTTCAATGCATTAAAGTGATTTTGAAAATTAAAGCAATTGAAATTACATTGTGTTCTAAATTAGAATATTACTCCGAAAAATTTATTATACATTTATTTTAAACATAATTTTTTAATATAAATATGTATTTTACAGTTCTACACCAAGTGCTAAATATCCGATCTTTTAAAAGTGAAAAATAAATATATATAGATATACAAACTCGTAAACATTGGGTCAATTTTAGTAGAATATAGATATTTTTTTCTGTTATTAAAAACAATAATGCGTGCAATGTGTTTCTATATTTCTTCTGCCCGCCCCGCCCCCCCCCCCCCCCCCCCCAGAAACCAACTGCAATGATCCTACCCCGGCCTGTCCCACTCAGAGTGAACCGCCAATTCCACCACCCTTTTCGTTTACCAATCCTGAAATGGGTACAACACCAGTCGACTCAGAAGCGGACAAGTTCGACTTCTCTTGCGGTCACGCCATGACAACCGGCGGGACGACCGTCGGGACGACAGCGGAGGGGGCGGCAACAACAACAGCGAATGCCAGGAACACAACGGCAAAAAGCCAGGCAAACTCCGTCAGCGCTAATGTAAAACTAGTTTTGTTGTCGGCCATCTTGCTGAGCTTGGCTTTACCAAAATAAATCATTGGTTTCGGATTTTTTAAAAATATTTTCAAGAAGCTCGTGAGCCATTGTTTTCATCTAGCTCACAAGCTCAACCAGTTTTATGATATTTTTTACAAGTCCTATTGACTTTTTTACTAAAGCCTTACCACAAAGACATGTCTTATTAATTTTAAGACTTTTGGCCAATTAAAAATATAGAAGTTTAATTCGGTATCTGTATTACATAACATCTAATAAACATCCGATCTACACACATAAATTTCAATTTTCTTTAATGTTTATAATTTGTTTACAAGCTATTCTTTATATGCTATTTAACTTCCACTTTACGGATATTTATTTTTTGTCCGTATATTATATTGTTGTGGTGTTTTTTACCACTATTCAAATACTTTTTTTTCTGGCAATGTGATATTTTTACCACTATTCTGGTAGTTTGATGTTTTTTACCACTATTTTGTTAGTTTTATCGTTTTACCTCTATTCTTGTAGTGTGATGTTTTTCCACTAATCTGGTAGTTTTTTTTTATTTTTTACCACTATTCTTCAGTGGCGTAGCTACCGTAAAGCTAGCGTAAGCAAGGCATAGGGGCCCAAGGCAAATAGGGGCCCTTTTTCGAAAGTTTGAGGGGGTGGGGGTGCAAATCGAAAGTCTGAGGGGAGGGGGGGTGTAAATCGAAAGTTTGTCGCCGGGAAGGGTCGCTACGCCTCTGAGGGGCCCACTAACAATTTTCGCATAGGGGCCCAAAAATCCTAGATACGCCACTGCTATTCTTGTAGTGTGATGTTTTTTGCCTCTATTCTGTTAACGTGATGTTTTACCAGTTTTCTTTAAGCAGGCAAGAGTTGAATAAGTCTGAATTCCCCCCTCCCCCTCCCCCCGCTGTAAGAGGAGCTTAATCAATGCGGCATAACGGCTGTTTAGCCTAGCGACGTAGGATCAAAGGTGCGATGTTGGCTAATGCATTCAGTCGTGAACTGGTAATCTTCAATCAACCTGCCCGATGCTCTATCAACAAACTCGGTGGAGCTAAAAATAGCCAGACGATATGGACATGTCTTTTGAACGTCTCAAGGCGTTTGAATGTAGACACGTTTTAATAAACCACTGAAGGCAAGCGCTGAGTCTGTGCAACGTGGGCTTAGGTTATGCTTCATTTTTTACTTTCTCGTATATACGAAGTATAGAGAAAGTCTTGCAATCGTGCAAAAAAAATCTCGACGTTTTACACCTCACTGATACGGAAAAACATAATTTTGCAATCTTGTCTGTGTGTGTCTGTCTGTCTGTGTGTAAACACGATAACTTTTGTACCCTTACAGCTAGCTAGATGAAATTTCATATATAAGTATTTTATCAAAATCGTAGATCCGTATTAACTTTTGAGCGATTTCCGATAACCGGAAAAGGTTCTGTTTCTACTTTGAATTTTTCAAAAGCCTATAACTTGAGTACTATTTCAGATAGATAAATGAAATTTCACATGTAAGTAAAAGATCTAATTCTCTACCTTCTGTCAAATTTTGAGTAATTTCCGTTGACCGGAAGTACTAATTTACGCTATTTCCGATTTCTCAAAAAACGCATGTAAATGTATGAAGTAGGCCTACTAATAATATTGCGCACTATTATGCACATTTTGTTTTGGCGTTCGGTGGTGCGCAGTTCTTTTTTCTATGAGATTCTATTCTATTTTTAAAAGTGTAAGTAATTATTCCGAGTTATATAAGAATATTCGAGAAAGTTTAGGGGAGATCACTCCCGGTTTATTTTCAAAGGGTTTTGTATGATTGGGTTGTTTTATGGGATCATTTTGATTGGGTTTTGTAAGGGTTCTTAATGATTGGGTTGTTTTATGGGATCATTGACATTAGGATAGGGTTGTTGTATGGGGTCATTGACATTATGATAGGGTTGTATGGGGTCATTGACATTATGATAGGGTTGTTGTATGGGATCATTGACATTATGATAGGGTTGTTGTATGGGGTCATTGACATTATGATAGGGTTGTATGGGGTCATTGACATTATGATAGGGTTGTTGTATGGGATCATTGACATTAGGATAGGGTTGTTGTATGGGGTCATTGACATTAGGATAGGGTTGTTGTATGGGGTCATTGACATTATGATAAGGTTGTATGGGGTCATTGACATTATGATAGGGTTGTATGGGGTCATTGACATTATGATAGGGTTGTTGTATGGGGTCATTGACATTATGATAGGGTTGTTGTATGGGGTCATTGACATTATGATAGGGTTGTTGTATGGGGTCATTGACATTATGATAGGGTTGTTGTATGGGGTCATTGACATTATGATAGGGTTGTTGTATGGGGTCATTGACATTATGATAGGGTTGTTGTATGGGGTCATTGACATTATGATAGGGTTGTTGTATGGGGTCATTGACATTATGATAGGGTTGTTGTATGGGGTCATTGACATTATGATAGGGTTGTTGTATGGGGTCATTGACATTATGATAGGGTTGTTGTATGGGGTCATTGACATTATGATAGGGTTGTTGTATGGGGTCATTGACATTATGATAGGGTTGTTTGGGGTCATTGACATTATGATAGGGTTGTTGTATGGCGACATTGACATTATGATAGGGTTGTTGTATGGGGTTATTATGATAGGGTTGTGGATAAACAGTTCAGCTGTCTGCAACTTAGGCTGACTTTGTGCAATATTGGATAAGGACACAATAACATTTGTTCTGCACCAGTTGACCCGAGCCTCGATCGGAATGGGTGACGGAACAAAGTAGCGTCACAAAGGTTAAAGTTCAAGTGGGGTTTAGTTTAGGGCTGAAGAGGTTAGATGATTTGTTTGAAATTAGGGCGAAAGTCACAGTTAAATGTCGGAATTATTTGGAAGAACTCTCTTAGATTGACTACTTTATTTTCAATGAAAATGTATTGATTTATGAGTACTTTATGGTATCTATATATATAATTCTCTTCTGGGAGCCGCTAGAAAACAAGCTGCAAACGCGCCTAGAAAACAAGCTGTAAACGCGCTCCTTACCACCCCCACCCCTACATGGTTTTAGTGAGCTGTGTTCACTCTAAATGTTTACAAGCAGAGCCAACGATTTTAAACGTAGGGGGGGGGGGGAGGAAGAGGGGGGGGGGGTTATGGTCCTTAACGAGCTACTTGTAGTGTTTTAAAGAAATATTTTCAGTTTCAGCGTTGGTACTGTCGAATTCACAAATTTTGATTTACTGAAAGTAGAAAAAACAACTAAATAGCGGCGTATGTTATGCCGCGGGCCGGCTCGTACTTTATATTTAAGTTACATAAACTGTGTTAATTCAAGGTCATTTATTTATATATATAATTCTCTTCATGGGGAACATAGAAAATACCACGTAGCTTAGCCACCACCCTCATCCCCACCTGTCAGGTGAGCTGTGGTTCACCCCGAATGTTTACAATCGTAGAGCCGGGTCGGCTATTAGGTGTAGGGGCAGATAATTTAGATTTAAAAAGGGGGAGGTAATAACAATTTCTGCCTTGACTATTCATAGTCTGTAAACTGTCGTCACGGACGGTTGCTTTAATGGAGTTCGCGGGAGGGGTGGGGGAGGGGAGGATAATCGCCTTTACCAGCTACTGATAGTGTTTTAAAGCAAAATATTTTCAGTCGCAGCATTGGTAGTGAATTATGAATTACTGAAAAGTAGAAAATAAAACTCAACAGCGGCGTATGCTTAAGGCGCGGGTCAGCTCGTAAGTAAAATTAAATCAATGTGTTTAGGCCCACAAAGCCTCCACATTTTTATTATAAATATACAGTTGTAAATAGAACAACCACATTTCTCTAACAATATATAGAGATCTAGTTCTCCATGTAAAAATTCGAAATCGGACATCAAAAATCCTCTTTTCACGATCTTCAAATTTTTTTTCAATCGTCTGCTAGAATCCGAAGTCGCGTGCCACGCAATTTTTCAGCTGGATGCTGTTTTTTTTTTTTAATTCAGGAAAACTCATTAAAAATTCATTCGTTAAAAATTCTCGTAATTTTCTATAATTAACCAAATTGGCGTCGTTCCTGCTTTTAGTGTTTCTTTTTTTTTTTTAATATATTTTTTTAAATTTCTACATTCAATTTATTACCGCGAAAAGAGGTTTGAAATGACATCCAGAAGTAAGTAGATGGTTTCTTTCTCTATCTTAAAATTCTCGATTTATTATTCAAAGCCAAATTGTTGTACTTTACCTATTACCCAGTCAACCAATACGACGCTTGATTGGAAAAACGTTATCAGGATAATTAATTTTTAATTGAGATCTGCCCGTTAATTGCATAAATTGAGACGTAAAAAAATTGGGGGGTGGGGGGCGATGATTAAGATGTGGGTTTAATGTGATGTAATATATTTGAGATGTTTTTGTCTTGAACTGTTGCTTGCAAGCGGGATGTTTTTTGCTAAACTGTGATATTTTTAGAGTCTTCAACTAAACTATAGAATTTTTACTTTTCGACTGAATTTGGTGATGTTTTTTGAGTCTTCAACTAAACTTTATAGAATTTTTACTTTTCGACTGAATTTGGTGATGTTTTTATTTTTTGTAATTCAAACCTTTGTGATTTGTTTGGAAAGTTGTTTTTGTTTGGGAAGAGCAATCATGTTTTAAATTGACATTACATAACAAGTTTAGCTCGTGGGTTGAACTTGACATTTGTGGGCTCAATAGCGGGGCGGTGGTAGGAGTTGGGGTGGGGGGGGGGGAGTCCATTGCTTAGACCAGTTTTCATTTGCTTACATCATACGAGCTTCTTCTTCATTTCTTGACATTTTTGGTCCTTATTTTCAATTTAAATCACGTTTTATATTTTATTCTTTTAAACTTTACTAAACTTATACATGTTGTTTTTAGGCTATCGATTGGAGAATATATTTACATTATGTATCTGGAATATTCATGGAATTTATGATGAATGCATTTTTGTACATCCAAAGAAATCCTAGACAACGAATGTGCTCGTGTTTTACAAAATGTATTGCGAGGATCAATCGCCATAACGATTTTTTTCATATATGCCTTAAAGTTTCAAATTGTGTTTCGTTGTGCAAATAAAATTATCATACCTTTACATATCGAACACACGTTAGTTCGGTGGTTTGTTATTATCAAAATTGTTTTTGTTTTCATTGCGTTCACCTGAAATGTCGCAATGTGTTATCTTGAAAAAATGGTGCACTGCGTTGACTTGAAAATGTCGCTCACTTGAGA